TTCAAACACCTTTTGATTTTGATCCGTTTTCGATACAACGTTTTTTGGAAAATTGTAGAACGCATTGGGAAAAAATTATGAATTTTTCAAATCCCTCCAAGAAGTCTTGAAAAACTACACTGAATGTTGTTGATTCTCATTAGTATCACAAATTACTCTCTCAAGCAATACTGTTTTATATATTTCGTACCTTTATTATTTTCTTAGTGTTACCTAGACATTTCTAAAACCAACAAATCTAAAACCAACATTGTTCTGGCTACAAGGTGCTGAAAACCGGCTTTTTTTAACAACTGTCGTATTTTTGACAAGGAGGGTAGCAGCTATTTTAATATAAGCACATTTATGATGCACTTATATGATAATAACAGAGTAACAACCGAAGCAATACAGATATTTTTCTCCATTGAAACGGAAAAGCCACAAATTTTTTTCTACGGCACACTTACAGTGAAACCTCAACTAAAGTAACGGACATTTTTTGACGAAAGTTAAAGTCCGTTTTAGAGGGGTAATGAATGTCTGGCAGTTGGTTATAAGTTGCTTTGACCCCCTAAGAGGAACCTTTGGACAATGTAATTTTCTGTTGTTTGAAGTGTCCGTGATTAAGAGGTATATTTTAATTGAGATTTCCCTGTAATAAGATGACTCAGTGATGACGTCATAAAAATATACTTCTAGAATTGTCAATTTTGGACCACGTATTCTGAAGGAACACCAGAAAATGCGACTACATGTGCAATATAAACTGAATATCTTACGAGTTTGATAAGATTTGGCCGTACCAGCACAAGCTTTTCCTTTATAAATCGCTGTAATCTGGTCTCATTCCTAAATTTGTGAACTAGGCCCAAGCAACTGTAATTTTTTGATAGTAAACTTTAAAGCTTTTTATTAAAGCATCTTTGCAAATTTGCAACAAAATTAATTTATTTTGACTACAAATTTTCCTGATTAAAAAATATTTGCCTGAAATTCTTTAGTTGCTGTCACAAAAAACATTTTGCCAGTCTAACTCTGTATATCATTTGCAACTTTCATTTTTATATGATAATAACAGATTTTCCTAATAGTTTTGTCAAATCTCTATATCGGGACGGGCAAAGGATATAGTTCCTACCCGAAGCAGCACCATGGTTGCCGCCGAAGTAGCAGGAAATTTTCGAATTTTGATGCTTCTAGTTCCCTGGAAAATGCACTCTTTTAAGCACATTTCAATAAAGCAATCTTCCTAGTTCTACTGACAATTGTTTTTTGCAACAAATTGAACAGCAGATAAAAACAACTGGTACAATTTCGCCGTGGTCTTGAGAAATACCATGTTATCAGTTACTTCTAAAGCTAGGTAACAAGCAGCACTGGTTGTTAATTTAGACCCCTCTTTCCATCTTAGCATGCTTTTTGAATGTTAAAAAAAATCTGGAGCTCATAGTGAATTGCAGTTGACGCTTCTACTGAGAAACTTTAGGAGAAATGGACACAAGACACATTTTTACCTAAAGAGGGCCTGGATTTTTAGATTTATTGCCAACAAGCAATCTTCAAATCATTAGTTTGTTTACCTTCATTCATATCAAGGAATATCATATTAAACCAACCGAGCAACTACCTTTGCTTGATCCTTGATTGACTTTATGGCATGAAGGTCTCTGAAATACCTAAAGCGTTTCTTCCACCGAGCGGATTTTACCTGAAATTTCCTATTGAGATACTATTTGGAGGGGGGGGGGGGGTATGGTAGTAGTTAGTTTTTTAAGAAAACGCCCTGATGTTATAACGCCTGTCTTTTTGCGCTTGTAAAGAAGACTGCTGAAATTGTAAATGACGTATAGTGTGCTCATTTTGGTTTGTGAAAGTTCTACGGCAGTTAAGAGTCAATACCTATTCAAAGTAGACTAAAGTAGACTTTAATGCCACTTGCTTGATCCTTCGCCAAGTAATCTGTTTTAAGCAATCCTTCTTTAGTCCATTTACCTTTAGTTATTTACTCGTCTCTTGTTATGAAGATCACCGCCATTACAAGTAATATTATGATCATAGTAAAGGGTATCCAGAACCGGGAGCTTCTTAAACTGCACGATATTGATGCCTGGCCTGAAGCTTCCCTGCGGACTCCTGCAGTACTCACTTCTTGCTTCTTTTCATTCACTGTCGTAATATCAGCCGAATCGCCCTCACTCCCTTTTGTAAAGTATTTTTCTCTGTCTGTTCCTATAACAACGACTATATAGCCTGCTTCTTTACAAAACCCATCGTTTAAGTCCGTTAACACGTTTTCATTCAGAGGCCAACTTGGATCTATTGGTTTTTGCCTCCTTATCATATCTTTATGAGAGTGATCCTCGATTTCGATACCATGGAAAGGCCTAATCGTATTGCTCCGAGTATTTCTCGCATCACAAAGGGCGTGAAACAACAAATCCATGAATTCTTTCGTGCCTTGCCACGTTCAGCAATCGTCCATATGAAGCGAATATACAAACATTGTCTCCAATTTCAATTAAATAGTGTTCATGGCGAGAAATTTCTTCATTTCCCTCTCCATTTCCATTTGAAAGATATGTTTGATGTGATGACATTCAGCTGTATCCTACTGCGTGACCTATTGAAATCATCTATTCATAGCAACAGCTTTGCCATATTTAGATCGACTAAAGCCTTTCCGAATACCATCTGGGATACATGTGTCCCTTTAAATGATTTCGCAAAATCCTCAGCTTCTGTAGAGACGAAACGGACAACGCTTCGCATATTCAAATACTTTATGACAATAATAATGGCTTGAACAGTTAATACAGAGATTAACTGTGCAAAATCCATGGAGCATTCTTTATTGTTTCAGATATGACCTGACTTTTCTTGAACTGACTTCCTTCGTTTTTTTGCTCTTTAAGTTCACATCACACAATATATGCGAATTCAAGCTCTATTTGTCAAGGGAAGTGTAATATAACGCCGACAATAATCAAAATATGTGCATTTATAACAACAAGAACAGAGCATTAGTGATATACTAACTTGGAATTCGAGAAAAAGAGACAAAAACACCACTTTGTGAAATGATTAACTTTTTTCTATTGTTTCACGAAACCAAAAACATTTAAAACATTTCATATATTTTATAACATATTGGCTAAAAGCTTTTTCGTCTGAAACTCCTCAGAGCCGGACCCTTATTCTGACGTTTCTAACCTGCGTCACTGACCATTGGCTAGACGTTTCATGTTCCGAGGTGTGTCAGACGAAAAAGCTTTTAGCCAATATGATATTAAATTTTTGCTTTATTCAAAGCCATTTTCAAAGTTTTGTACCGCCAAAAACTGTACACTTTATACACTATTGTTATCAAAAACCAAAAATTTATTAAGTCTATGACACGATTTTTTATTAGTTTTTCTTATCACTTCTAAAAAGAAATTGTAATTAAAATGACTTATGGATATATCAGAAGCTCATTGTCATACGCAAGTCTTATTCATAAGTTAATCTTGATTTCTTTTAAAATTTATTGCCCTGTTTGTAGAAACAGTGAAGAAACTATAAAAAACCTAGAAGGAGACTTTACCGGATCCACTTTTCCCAGGGTAGTTTTTGGTGTAGATTTCGAATCTGAGTGTTGATCAGGCCGTTTGGGGGGCTTTTCCAAGATATTGGGGGTTTAAGTCTTCTTAGGGTGTTGTCTTTGGATAACGATATACTTTCTTTTAGAGCACAAACAGTGCTAAAAACAAGCATAAATCAATGAAACCTACAAAGATCTAATTGTTTTGATAATTGGGGAGAGAGCTTACACAAAACCTATGGTTTAGTGTGCTGTTATTGAATCAGTTATTACGTGCATAAATTATGCGAAATCTTTAGTGCGAAAAGCCTCGGTGTAGTTGTTTTCTGTAGTACTCAAGATATTTTAGGTCCTGATGATATATGATATCCAGACGGAATAATCCTCTGTTTCACAGGAAAGATTAGCTTGCTGCCTTCATTCGTTTGACAGTGTTTCTATGTGCTGCCACCTGAAATCTTGACCTACTTCGTTGTTTTGGGAAAATTGCTAGGCTCTTTCTTAAAGTTCTGTTTATATCTCACGTTGATTAACATTGATTGCTATTTGCAATTTGCAAGAGTGAATTGCCCCTCGATTTTAACTAGAGTGAGTCTGGTATCCAGGGTAGCAGCAAGATGACCCACGCCGGTTTATCCGTTGATTGGAATTTGGAAGCTTACCCGGAAGATATTTGTGACCTTTTTCTCGGCAATGGCGATGAAACTGCAATTAGTGTAGTTGAAGTCTCTGATGACGAAAATTACGATTAGATGTGATAGGCTGGGTATATCAATTTGAAAAAATATTATTTCTCACTGGAATACGTAGAACGGACGTGATGCCATCTCGGAAATTTTCGGACTTGCCATTCCCCAAAGAGTTAAAATTGCTCCATTTGGCAACAGACAAGTCTCTTAACTTATTTTTCTACTGATTTAAGTGCTTTTATAGTGCTTACAGGTCATAAAACAAATTTTTACGGTAAAATAAATTAAACCATCCCAAAATAGATTGAAACCTCCCGTGTCTCGAAAAAGCCCCCAAAATGCTTGGTTAAAACTCTTGAGAAAACAAGAATTTTGCAAATCGACGCAGATAACAAAAAATGTTCGGCAACTGCGTTCTTTGTGCTGGCTTTGGAGATTCTTTTGAAAACATATTGTTATGTACAATAACTCTATTAAGCCCATGTGATGCCTATTAAAATGCATGGATTTTATGTATGTGTGGAAGTTTATTCAAGTATCAGGGATTTTACCAATCTTTGTACTTCTAGGGTACGGGGCCTATTTGAGGTGGGATTATATGATTGGATGGCGAATTCGTGGATTTACGGTACCGGTTTCAAGACCTCAGCAATGACTTGTATCTTGTATGTTCGCCAGTCTAAACCGTTGGTCTGAATCTTTAGACAGTTCATGTTTCTTGACCTATATTCATGAAATCTTCGTTTCAGGTTCTACTCTAAGTTTCACAAGGGAACACTCGCAACCCTAAACGATGTTGGTATCAGCAATTTTATAAGTCTCTTTCTTACCCTGGGGCACTGTTTGAAAGCCGAAGACTTGGTAATACATTTTCCTAATCATTCACTAGATACACCTATGTCTAGCACAATGATTTATGCAGAAAAAATATGAATATTTTCCACATTGAATTCGGACATTGATTACATTAACCAGTTTCTACCTGTGCTAACTCTTTATCGATATACATGCATCAGGCAAATTGATTAAGTCGAGAAACTAATTCTTTAAGACGATTAATGAAATGGCATGCAGCCCAGAGCCCATTACATATAGGGGGCTGGCTTTTGATAGATGGCACAGTGGTTAGGATCGCTGGCTGCAGATCCAAGGATCTTTTGTTTGAATCCCTGGAATGACCGAACTTTCACTTTAAGTTAGGAGAGTCGCAAGCTCTCTGTATTTCCAGGTGTAGGAATCGTGAAGCGAGATCACATTGAGAGGAAAGACCAGGGCACTGCAAATCTTAAAGATAAGCAAATCTTTTCAGCTTCCTAAAAGAGTCCCTTCAGGAGCTAGATAGCAAACAATAAATTTAAATGCCATCTAACTAGAATACCTTTTAAGGCAATTTGTTGTCTTTGTCAATTGATGCTTGTTATTCTGTCAAAAGTCAACTTTATTTCCAACTTTGGTTTTTTTTACTTTATGAATGGCTAGATCGATTGGGACTGCATTCACTGAGCACTTCTCCCCAAAGCTATAACATTTCTTAACGCGCTTGCAGTGCTGCTGTCGTGCTTGTTCATAGGTTAAGCGTGCATCGAAAATTAGTTACGTGTAGAAGTCAGTCACAGACGTGCATCACATTGATAAATAATGTAACTACAACTGCGATGAATGAATTTGTAACATTGCAATTATTGATGTTCTAGGTTCAAAAATTATGTTCTTTTCTTGGTTTGATACCAACAAAAAACAGAAGTCAGTCGATGTCTCTGCTTATAATTAAAGGTAAGATGGTTCATTAAGACATTTAACTACAAGCTAACTACAGTAAATTCTCTTTAAAGCCCTTTCTCAATTAAGCCCCCCTCTTTTATTAGTCGCCCCTTTCCAGAATAAAAAATTTAATAAGTTCTCTTCTCAGTTAAGCCCCACCCCAAAGAAATATAACTGATGCCAAAATAAGTAAATTTAACAAAAAAATGGAGATTTTCATTTTATTTATTTGTCATTCAATGCTTTTCATCGAATCAAAATTCAAAGAATGTTTCTTCCAGTTTCCACGGATTCGAAGACAAAGATTTTATGTGTATTAAGCACCGGCCATGTGAGAGCCTTTTACAAAATTACAGGCCGTTGCTACTCAAAGGAATGAAGTCGACCCTTTCGAATGCTCGATTTCGTAAAGTTTCAGTATTAGTCTACCACTGAAAATGGTTTTTTATTACGAAATATTTATCAAACCCCCTCTCTAAATTTAGCCCCCCTCTCTTAGAAGCCCCTTCTTTGAAATGCTGAGATAAAATAGGGGGCTAATAAGAATTTACAGTAGTTCCAGTCTACCTTCCCAAATATCTTGGTTGGCGCAAAAAATCCCGTATAGCAGATTTCGTGACTGAATTATGTTAAAATGTGTTCTTACATTTTTCTAGGCTTATACGCTATTTACAGTCACTGTGAGCAGAGTCTAGAAGCTGCAGTAACTGTGCTGAACGAGAAAATCCAATCAAACTTTGACGATGTCTGTAGGTCAGTATACGCTTTTTAATAAGAATACTTTAGAATTTTTCCAGCCTCGATATTCTGAAGAATTTCTTAAAGTTTTCTTGTGTTTTTAATCTGATATGGTTTCTTGAATGAACATCGCTTGCTTTCGAATAGAAGCCACGCTTTTGAAAAAAACGAGGAATATCAGTCATGAAGTTTTCTGTTAGGAACGCAAAGCAGACAACTGTTGAAACATGAGTCACAAATATGCGAGCTGTGGCTGAGCAATGTTCCTATAACATTATTGAATGAGCCTGAATATTCTTATAAAAGAGAAGGAGTGTATTGGAATCATAATACTTTCAGAAAGATGGAGATTGCCATTACGTCTTAGCTGTTAAACAAAGAAATTGTTATGTTTTTGTTATAGTGTAGGCTCTGATATGTTGGCCTATCCTTATCCTTAAACCTGAGAGCTAATTTTTTAAGATTCATAGCTCTAGGTTTAAAAATGATTAACCTATCCTATGAGTTTGATGACAAATCCTTTGTTAATGTGACGTCAGAGCCCAGTTCTTTGTTTCCACTTAGTCCTGTTGTCTAAAAACATATTTTTCACTATGTCTGTTACTTCAAGTATAAATTTAGTCAACAAGTTGGAGCATCGTATCATTGGGTAAAGTAAATGTGATACCAAGACCAGCCTGTCATAAAATATCTGTTTCATAGAAAAATACCCCCTATCCCAGTCTGGAAAGTGCAACTTATTGAAATTTTCAGCTTCGGAGTAAACATAATTGCTCTTTTGTTTGGTTCCAATTATACGTCTGTGTCTAGATATGTCTCTACTGCTTTGTTGTCTACTGTTCAATGCTTTTCTGTGTCTCTTTTCTTTTTGCAGTTTGATTTGCAAAACTGATTGTGTTTTTTCCTGGCAGGAAATTTGTGGAGCGTGGTTCAAATCCAAAAACCAAACAACTGTATTGGCAGCAGCTGAATCTCCATCTATCCTGTACTGAAGATCTGTTTGTTAATGATACTCCTTCTGTTCCAATTGATTATCCAATTGACATTGGTAAGTATAATAATAGTCAATCACATACTATCACATGCTATCATATGCTATCACATGATATCACAAACAAGCGGTCACATGCTATCATATGGGATCACGTGCTATCACAAGGGAGCTGTCACATGCTATCACATGCTATCAAATGCTATCACAAACAGGCTATCACATGCTATCACAAGCTATCACAAACAGGCTATCAAATGCTATCAGATGTCATTATTTTTTGTTGCTTGTATGATTGTTGTGTTTAGCTCTAGGCTCCTCGTTACAGCTTCTAATATTATCGGAATAGGGAGGCTAATATAAGCTTGAAGAATATACTGTAGGCGAAGCTGATAGAAGCTAGGCTAAGTTAAAATGCAGTGTATATCTCATTTTCTTCTTCTCCTTTGTTGCAATGCAATATGACGCTCTGGTACCACGAGAAGGTTCTACTTGTTCGATTCTTTCAACTTTAGGCCCTTGAATCATTGCCAAAAGTACTTGGAACACCCAACCCAGTACCCTGGGTACCAGACTCACTATATATAAGATAAAATAGATGATTATATAGATCACTCTATTATTTTATATAGTGAGTCTGGTACCCAGGGTACCAACCCAGCAATATATGCTGTGTTTCAATGCTTTTCCCGAATACTCCTACTTCTGCAACCTCTTCCCTCAAAACAATTTTGATAGATTAGAAATATTTCTTAAAGGTGGCAGGAAAAGACGCACTTCCTAATCCCCTACGTTGTTTTGTAGTCAACCAACATTTTACAAAGGGAAGGCGGGAGGGGCTGAATTTGCTTTTAAGAACTGACGTTAGTGTACCAAGACTTTTCGCCAGCATTGTAGTGAGGTTCTATCGATAACTCAAACTTGTTAGTAGTTGAGAGGATATCCTTGTAGCCTTTTCCGAAATTAAATGTGTCTTTACTTCTCTCCCACCGAAAGGCTTAAGTTTAAAAACCGAAGCTTTTTTTTAGATCGATCAAAAATATATTCGTTAAAATTTGGTGCAAGTAGACGGGAGCAATATTACCTGCTTTATATCGATTTTTTCGTCAAAGAAACTTCTGCAACTTTGAACAATTAAATTTCCAGGCACCAGCTTATTTGCTGTTTCAAGCAACTGCACTGATGTTGAGGCCAGACGCATTTCGTCATTTCTACACAGAATTTTGTCTACATCGAGGTATGTCTACTTATTTTTGCCTACAAAGATTACTGCAGACATCATCTGATCTCCTTATGCGTTTGTCGTAGACTGTCTATTCAGTGTAATTGTATTTTGTCTGTCTGCTGTATTTTTGCGGAAGCTATCAATTTCACTGTATGTATCGACATTTGTTTGTGCCTGTCGTAATTTTTGCCGAATCTTTTCATTGTAATAGTATGTATCGACATTCATTGTTGTTTTGCCTATCGTAACGTTTACCGAATCTATTCATTGTAACTGTATGTATCGACATTCATTGCTGCTTTGCCTATCGTAACTTTTGCCGAATCTTTTCATTGTAATAGTATGTATCGACATTCATTGCTGCCTTGCCTATCGTAACTTTTGCCGAATTTATTCATTGTAACTATTTATCGACATTCATTGTTGTTTTGCCTGTCGTAATTTTTGCCGAATCTATTCATTGTTACTGTATGTATCGACACTCAGTGTTGTCTTGCCTATCGTAACTTTTGCCGAATCTATTCATTGTTACTGTATGTATCGACATTCATTGCTGCCTTGCCTATCGTAACATTTACCGAACCTAATCATTGGTGCTGAATTTATCAAATTTGTTATTTTATGTCATATTTTTTTGGAAATCATTGCATGGGTTACCCAAAATTTCGATCAACTAAAGCTAGTGTGACATGTTCTGAGATTCGCAATAAAAATGCGTCTGTTATTTATAGCTTGGGGCTTCTTAAGCACTATAAACATGGTTGACATACAATAACATTGCTTTCTGACAGACTTGTAGGTCAACAAGGATATAACCCTTTCACTTGTCAACCAAAGCTAATTTATAAACTGTTTATAGACGTACGCTTTTCAACTTTGCCCTTTGGATAAAGGTCTCAGCAACTGTTCATTTTTCGTTTCTTAATATTTAGAAATTATATATACATTGGTGGGGCCGAAAAACCATTGGCTAAGTCCACATGAACACAATCTTCGTCATGCGGTCCAAGCAAACTATAGATTGTTTTGAAAGTCTATCCTTAGAAATCAGTGTAAAGTATGAAAGCCTATACTGTCGTTGTTCCAAAGAAAAATTTACCATACTCTTTTACTCTTCTCATTGCAACAGACTACAAGGACAAAATCAAGGTAATTTGCAGTTTGTCTGGTCTGGAATTTACCCCTGGCTGAACAAGGTCTTACAAGGTGGCGAAGTGATCAAGAGGATCCCAGAATCCCTTGCAGGTCCTGCTGCAGGCTTAACTTTAATCTCTATTTCAAGGTTAGTGTGACTGATGTTATATTCTGATCATCATAATCATCATGATTATCTCTGCGTAGTGTTTTCCTTTTAAGCATTTTTGTCCTGATATAAGTATCCAATCTACATTTCACTTTATAGAACAAAATAACTGTTGGTTTAAAAAATAATGCTTGTTATAAAAATGATAATCATTACAATCATTATCATAATCATTATTGTGGTCTTTTATTTTCGATCTTTATTATTGACTTTTAATTAATTTTTTATTGCACATCTATCCTCTTGCTGCCAGCCACCTTAAGCTTGTTTTTTAATCTAAGATCTACACCAGCGACGATTCTTTTTCTTGCACATGGCTTAGAATTATTGTACATAAAATTATTTAGAAATGATGGTTTTTGGCAAATGCTTGTACTCCTGAACACTCACTGACACTGTTTATTGCCTGATTCCAGTTCATTTCTTCCAGATCTGAGCAGTCTAGCCTTGCACCGAATTTCAATGAGCTTGTTCGAAAATTCTCTTCCGCGGATTTGCCTGCCAGGTATTGAAGGTCGTCCTACCATATATTTAAATTGATACCTTTTAAGAAATGTTCATATTTTATATTTCCAACTTTCCTCTGTCAATATTTTGTTACCATTCTTCTTTTAATTAATAAACTTGGATCTTAATAAATTAAATGTATAAATAACGATTTTGATTGGGTAGGCTTGCGACCCTAAGGTTCTCCAGACATAACATTTGATTAAATATGTACGTTGCGTGTGGTACTTCATCCAGAATAACGATAATATAGTTAGCAAATAAATTGAGTACCAGAATGAAAATAAAATAGTTTGATTGTTAAAAACACAAACTATTAACAATCAAACTATTATATTTTCATTCTGGTACTAAATTTATTTGCTAACTATATTAGATTTGGTTCCTTGTTTATGTTTCATTGATCCCTCATAGCTAAAGAAATTCCTAAGATTGAAATCAATCTCCCCCTCCCCCCACCCCACCCGAATCGTTTAATTCCGTTTAAAAGTTACTGTTGGGAGACCTTTCTCCAATCCTCTTGTTTAATGCACAGCTAGTAACAGTAATGACCTTGTAATGACGTTTGCACATTAATTATCATATATTATCTATTCCTTCGAATCTTCCAGCACGGTAAAAAGAGTCATATTATCTGCGTCTAGGTTTTCTTCTCAGTACCTCAGCCACGTGCTTAGTGAGTCCAAAGTATTGGAACGAATCATTTCTAGTGATCTTCAAGCAACTGTTATTCGTGCTTGGATTCGCTGCTTGATCTGCACAACAGATAAGCAAGTGTTGTTACTGGCGATAACGAGGTAGCTAAGAGTTTTGAATTAACAAGCTCATCGTTGTCTCATTTTTGCTCTCTCCTTTTCTATCCTCTAATTGTTTCCTTTTGTCAACTATTTTATCAAACTGCATAATTTCGGCCATTACGTATCTGCGGGGGCACGTTTTCTGTGCCGCGGTTTTGTGTGGGGGAAGGGGTTCTTGGTTCACCCTCGGCGTTAGTTGGTTCTTCGGTAATTTGCACCTCATGATGAGGGGTCCTTGCGGGAACCAGCTCGGTGGATTGATCAAGGAAGGTTAGCCACCCAGGGAGGCCTTGTGAGAGCCCGCCTTGGCTGGTTCACCAAGAAAGGCAAGCCAGGGATTAAGGGGGCCTGGCAAGAACCTGCCTTGGCTGGTTCACCAAAAAGTATTGACCTAAAACACAAAGAACCTTTGACCTTTGACGTGCGTGACAACTCTACTGTTACCAGATTAATTAATTGATTGTGATGTTTATCAACCACGAGCAATGCTGATGTCATTATCACTGGTAAACCAAAGGTGGCCACATTATGCCTTCAAACTACTCCAGTCCATTGTTGGTAAGATTAGGCCCCATAAGAAACTATTTCGTTTGAACGTGCCAAAGTTTCTCCGTTTACAAAAGCCAAAACTGGGAACCATACTCGTGAAACCGGGTTCAGATACAGATGGGTAATAAAACACTGAGATCGCCAGTAGTTGTTTCTTATTTCTTTCGACCTGCAAATCGAGGGTTTTCTGCTGAAGCTTAGATTCACGAACTTTTAGCAGCCCAAAATTAGGCTGGCGTGGAAAACATGCTTTTTGGATGCTTTTCCGCAGGAATCGAATTGCAGGAATCAGTCAAAGATATCGAATTGTCTTCTGTTTTCCAAAATACAATCTGACCAAAATAGAAACAATCAAATAGTATTTATAAACCTCCTGCTTTTTCAATATTAAACGTGTTTGCAGAACTGTTTTGCACTTTAAAACTAAGGCATTAACTTATCATAATTTATAAAGTTAAATTTTATTGTTAATTGTTAAAAGCATGTAACTTTACATGTCTCAGGAAACAAGCAACAATTTTGTAAAACGTTTTTGAAAAGCAGAGTTGCAAGGAGAGGAGATCAAAACTAGTTGAATACCCCCATTTTCTTGACCACGCCCTATTAAAAATGAGGTTTTAAAGGTTTTAAAGTAAGATTTTCTTGGCCAGAGAAAGATTGACAACTTTTCTGGACTCTGTGTAACCGATCTTGTCACAACCCCAAATCTAAAAGATAGGCGGATTTGGATGAGACCACTCTGACTGGTCCTGTATAAATGAGCCTTTGTGCATTTTGCCGAAGCTGATTGGTATAGATGTCTGCAAATGCGTATGATGAGACTTAGTTGATATGTGTTGTAAAGCTTTTTGAATCAATTTTAGGAAAGCTGCATAAGTTCAAGGTGAATTCTGACACACGAAAAGTTCTGCACAGCTGAAATCGTTACTGTTGAAATAAATTCAAAGATAAAAGGTATTTTAATAACATTTCGCAGCTAAGACGTGAAATAATGAGTTTGATTGATACTAGATGTAAATTAATGCACAAATTTTCGTTTTTCTTTTTAAGAGGCATTTCACAGCTACCTGAAGTGAAGGATGTTATAGGGAAGGAGGTAAAGTCATTTTTCAAATTTCGATAAACTGATGTTGCTCGTTTGTATTCATACTAAAACCATGTGTACTGTTTTATATGCGTGTCTCTCTTCCTTCGGTTGCTTTAAAAGTTCAGTTCATGTTTTTCAACAAATAAAATCTTGAATTTTGAAACAGCTTCAAACCCTAAGAACATCGTCAATATATGCATTGCAGATTTAAATTGCTGCAGTCATACTCAACAGTCATTTGTATATGCCACAGATATTTCAGGATATTACAATGTGAAAGATTTACGCGCAAAGAGATAATAAATCATAATTCCACAAGTTAAGGAATTTTCCTGTATTTATACACATCCATTTCCTGATTTCATTGCATACTTCTGTGGGTACCAGAGCCTCAGTGGGAGAGTGAGATCAGACAGTAAAAGAGTCCTCAACTCGACTTCTTTTTACAGGCATTAGTACTAAATTTGCCTTTTTCTGCGCTTTCAACAGATGATCAATACATTTTTTACAGTTCAATTTTACTGAGCAAATGATGGATACCAATTTAATATTCTCCTTTATCGTGGCATTTGGGAAGCAGCACTCGTATGCAGTAAGTCTGTTTATGCATATCAAAATCCATGAAGCCCTCTATCATACTGCTTTGGTTAGACATATCTTATTACAAATAATCCCTTGTCGTTGTTTTAAAGAGTTTTAAATTTTGGTCGTTTTAAGCTGTAACCTGGCAGTATGTATTGATGAAAATTAGAACTAGGCTCCCATAGACAAAATGCCCTTGATAATGGGGCGGTGACGTAATAATCTCAAAACGTTGATTAAAAGAGCTTAAGTAGTACTTTACACTATTCTATGATAACCATTTTCCGCTCATTCTAGAAAAGTCCTTTTCTGGCTCTTCATTCACAGAAGAGAACAATGACCAATTTACAGTGATTTGCTAGAAAGAATCTTTGTTCATATGGTCATATCTTGGCCAATTTGTAACAGATAGCAGATTTTGCCTATATAGTGATCTTTTATGTTGTTCTTTCAATTATGTGGTCAAAATTCAAATCTTATTAGGTCGCCTCTTAGCCACTATTTCCAAATTAATTTATTCTAAAAAATTTTATGAATATTTAGTCAGTTAGTGTCCCATAAAGCTACCTACTGTCTGGCTCTTCTAGGGCGTAGTCAAAAACTGCAGTCTGGATAAGAAAGCATTGCTTTATTACACATTCTATAGCTCAAAGTTTTCGACGAAAAGTTTCAGTATCTTTAAAATGTTTGCTTTTTTCAAAGCAGTTGCTAATTTTTGTACCACCACAAAAATTTTCACTCTAGTCTTTGTTTTTGGTGTCATCAATTTGAGTCTAAGTAAAAATATTTATTCCTAGAGCCAGCTAGCTGAAATAGTTCAACTACGAGCAAAAGCTGCAAACTTCTTTGGATCTTTGATAAAAGATTGTGAATCTATAATTCAAACGGGAAACCCTCCTGATTCTCTAAGGTGAGCAGAAAAGCCATTTAATTGTTGCGTTCTGAAAAGACTTCACATTTTGAGATTTGACTAAACCAATCCAACATTTGTTCCAACAGAGCTAAAATCCTTGGTTGCTTTTTTAGACACTGTTGGACTTTGTTGGATGTGGGAGTGGCCTAACCAGAGCAATATTTCATCCAGCATTTGTCGAAAGGAGGTTGTCGATTAACTAACAACGAAAACCACGGGGCTTAGCTTTATTCCCACAAGCTGCTGTAAATTGATCATCGCAACTCAATTCTAAGCAAAGTGAAAAGCGGCAGTCGTGTTTTTTACGCCTGATCCAATGAAACAGGGAGAACGTGACAAGACAAGGCAATTGATAATTAGGGAAACCAACTCTTCCAGCATCCTACACAACATCACATATTTTTCATCAAACTCGAACCTCGTCCAAAATTGACTATTATTATCCAACATCGTCCAACAAAGTCAAACTTTTTTTATAAAAAGTCCAACAAAGAAATTCTATTTTTGATGTAACTTTGAAGTCAATAGGGCACGAAATAGAAATTACGTACTGTAGAGTACTACGTTTGTTACTTAAAGGTTAAGCGTAGATTTAACTATGTATTTAATTTACATTCCTGGAATAAAATTTGATAATTGCTTTATTCCTTATTTCAGGCTTTTATATTCAATTGTTGGCAAGCTTGTCAAGCATTGTGCAAAGCTTATTTATTCAAAAGTTAGTCCACATGATTACCTTTTAGCCTTTTTTAGCCTTATTTTCATTGAAAACCAACGATCTAGCGAGAAAGTGGAATTATTGGTGGAAAAACTTCTGTTTTCTACTTAAGGCATGGTTTTTGTACCTTAGTGAACTTAAACATTTAAGCAGTTTAATTTTACTCAAGTATACTGCCTTATCAATTTTCAAAAGATTTAGAAGAACAATGTCAAATATAAAGAACCATTTTCAAACCTTATTTTATCCTCGTTGTTTGTCTTTCCGTCAGTTAATAACTAGGCTAATATAAAACTACTTTCTTGCAGCTATATTACATAAATAATTGCGTATTCGAATGCAAAAAACGCCTTCTAACATGCGTTTTGTGTTTCTAAAAGTACTTTTCATCTTTCTTCACAATTTTGTCAACTCATAGACGAATCCTGAATGTCTGCTACCTCAAATCTTGGATCAGCTTGTCCTTCCGAGGCAAGGGCCTAAGAAAACCGTACCAGCAACAGTGAATCAATGTCTGATTGGGCATCTTCATCAGGTTTGAGTGTCTCTCATTAATCTCATACATCTTGCTCATCAATTTCATCTCATTTTATAATGACAGCTGTGTTTATTAAGTCATGGTTGTTTTGTGTCTAATACAATCTTCTTTACTTTGCACAGATCCCTGTCGATCTAAAGCATATTTCACTAAGCTTTTAAGGGCATGTTTGCTATAACATTCCACATAATAGTAGACGATACATATTAGAAGGTACAATGCCTGCCAAAAGTCTTGGAACACTGACATCAATTTCCAAGGTCAAAACCAATCATCCCCCTCTCCCCTTCAGAACAATGTTGGTTTACTATCAAACGGATGAGGATTTTAGGAAGCACTTTCTTTTGCGCTTCTTTTATGATATTTTTCTAAATCATCAACATTGTCTGAGGGGGCGGAAGTAGCAAATTTTTTTCATGAAAGGAATGAAAGATATCAAATGCAGCGTAAATTGGTGGGTGTTCCAAGTACTTTTGGCAGGCATTGTACATATCACATGATGATAGACCTTGTCTTACATGTCATACACGGAAGGTAACATAGATTGAGAAAGATTACAGATGGAAACTTTCTTGCTTTAAGTTCATTTTTTTTGACAATAGACAATTATGAAGCAAACTAACATGTTTTAAACTAATATTTTATTAATCTAATTGCTCAATTTAAAAAAAAACTCGTGATGGAAAATAGAATAAGCATGACCTACACCAAGAAAGGACTCTTAACACTTTGGCCATGGTTAATTTCATCATTGTTTACTTATATTCTTTTTGCTTTTTTCTTCAGTTCCTTGGTGGACTTTCAACTTTGGATTATAAAAACGACAGCTTCATAAAAAGGAAATTGAAGGAAATATTCAGCAAGTACTTTTTAATGATAACAAAGGTACGTGGTATATTTCTGGTTTCTTTTGTTTGTAATCCAGTGAAATTCTCTCACTAGCCCAGCTTTTGTTCTTTAAAATTCTTTTCTTTAGTGCAAATAAAAATTTTGAAAAGGAAATATGTTGATCCTGATTTATTTGGATGCTCGCCGGTTCAATAGATTCTCAAATTAATTTCTAAATATTTTTCAGAGATGTAACTCTTCTCCCAATTCAACCAATCCATTTCTGGTAAGCATTGTCTTCTTTTTGCTAAACTTGTTGGATGTTTTTTGGTCAATAATTCCCCATATCTTCTTTCTGTGTTAAGCGTGACAGTCAAGAAAAGAGTGGTAACGTCCTCTTTTAGACATTCAAGTTTGAATAGCTCTTGCTTCATTGCATACAGCACAATAGACCTATTAACAGTAATTTGCGCGTGGCCTGTGGTTTAATCTCTCTATAAAAACAAGTCCTTCCTCAATCTTTTCCCCCACTTAGCAAGTCGTTTAGCATCGTATTGCTTATTACCTTGCTACATGCCGGCGTATTAAGAAAATGTTATAACATTTAATTCAATCTTTTTTCTCTTTTTCCTCTGCTCTTTCACTCGTCTCTCAAAAGTTCAGAATTTATCTCAATCTCTTACCACCCATTGCTGATACTGCGAGTTTCAAATTTTTGCCAATGTCTGCTCTTTCATCTCATTCTATTTCGTATTAGTATCCCAAAAGCATAATCAATGTGTATTTTTGGTTTGAAGCTTGTCCTCCAAGATCAGTCCACACAATCTACTCCAAGATCAAGCACGGTTCAGTCCACAAAGCAAGCCAGGTTTGTTTATCAAATTCTATTTTACCCTTCATTGAATTAGCCTTACTAAGTTACCTACTTGCCCTCGCTTATTTACTCTACTTACCCTTACCATAACTTGCTTCTTTTGTAAAACATATTTTGAACATATTTCAAAACATATTTAGATTATTTTAAAACATTTTATTGAAAAATTATATCAAATTATTATCGTAAAATATTATAGGAACTCTAGGTTAACAGGTCCTTGGTTGATAGTAGCAAATTATTTGGCTGAACAAGTTTACATGTATAAATATAACTTTATTTTTATCATTATTAACTTACTTAACTTTTTTTACTAACAGCAAAGATGTAGAAAACCGCAGTATTTCACTCAGCCATGTAAATTGTTTCATTCATTTTCAGCTTTCCTATCGAGTGACGTCGTTATTTTCCTTCTTTTTCAGTGATTTTCGACAGTTCGTGATGGAATTAATCGCAGATCACTTTCTCGTTCTTCCTCAACCACCAGACAACCATTCGGCGGTGAGAAGCATGTGTTTATTGTCTTCCTTACTTCATTTTCTACCTTCATTTCTCCGTTACTTTCTTCCTCAATTCTCTTTCTCATTTAAAGTGTTGTTAAGGATTTCTCTTTCTTCCCCCTTTCTTCCTTCTTTCTTTTCCCCTTTTTTCCTCTTTCATGCCCTTTACTTACCCCTTTCTTTCTTCTTTCCACCTTCTTTCATTCCTCTTTCTTTCCTCATCTTTTCCCACCTTTTCCTTGTTTATTCTTACTTCCTTCGATATAGATAACCCAATGCTTTGGTTGGCAGTTGATAAATAAGGGAGGCTTAGAGGGGAATAGCAGCCCTCTGATAAAGTTTAATGTTTACTCGACAATGAATTTTGAATATTATTTTGTATAATCAATTCACCTGTATTCAGATTAAATTCAAAATTGGAGATGAAGTGTAATAATTCATATACAAATTGGTGCTAGATATCAGAGGAGGTTTAATTTTTTGGAATGCGCTGTTTTAAAACTGTGAATGCTACAATGTTGTTTTCAAAATTTGTTTTTAAAGTATACAAACTTCGCCAGCCAACAACAGTGAAAATATAAATAATAGGTTGACCTAAAACAAGATTAAAATCTGAGCATTTTATTTTGCAATAATTATCAATTCAAACATTCGTACAATTTTTGTTTTAGGCTCTTTACTTCTTGTACAAGTTATTTAGAAGCACTAAAGATCGATCTGAGATCATAAGGTATTTGAAGATTGTGGGAAGGCTATTTCACCGGCTGGCCTAGTTTAACTTTGTATTTACCTAGATAATTTTATTCATAATGCAGAAGAGACTGTGTGTCTTGAAACAACTTCTAATTCAATCGGTCAACATTGTCATCGGATCGGTCATCAATCGAACAACTTCAATGAGTAACAATGTTTAAAATGTCTTTATATTAACAAATTAATCGACCTATTTGAAATTTAGCTATACCCTTTTGTGGCAAAGGTAGAATCGAGGTGACAAGATACTGGAAATATTGGTTGGATCAAATGAATACCCATCAAGAACGGACGTAAAAAGCAATCGACTTGTGTGATTGACCTATCACACATGAGCAGTTTTTGGTCTTGAAAACAAATTGAAAATTTGCATTTATTGTATTGCACTATAATCAAGTGAATCTGAATAAGAAATATATTATGACTGATTTTGATTTATGTATGCAAAAACCAAATGTCACAAATTCATACCATGAACGTTGACAGCCAGATTGCCATGGGACCACTTGGATTCAGTATGGCCATGAGATCACATGGAAAATCAGTTCAATTTTTACAAAGATGTGCGACACAAAAAACGTACTACCCTAGCAATAGAATTTCATACTCAGGGGTAGTCACTTAGATTCATTATACTTTAATCAAAGAATGTTAAGGAAGCAAAAGGAAGCAAGAATTTTTATTTGCACTTTGATGTTTTATGTAAAAGAACAGTAAAAATATATGATTAACGCATAATGTATGTGGTTTTCGTGAAAAGTATTCAAATAATATGAATTGATTGTGATAAGTGGTAATTATGACGTAGGCATCAATATGACTAAGGAACAGTTCTTTAGCTTAAATTTCTACGGTGGTGCTTTTTCTTACGATATTTCTTCTTTACCAGGAATAGTCCAGTTATCATAATGCAAATTATGGGTAGTCTTATTTCTTGCGATGCTTGCGGTGGAAATGCAGAACCACCAGGAATACGACAACCAGGTATGCTAAGGAAAAATTGCCCGCTCAAGCTTACCGCATGCTATACTATGTACCCAGGTGCTATACTATGCAGAGGAAGGCGGTTTCGAAATTTGTCAAAAGCTCTCTTTGATAAAGATTTTCAAAACCGCATTTTCCAAAATTCGTAATAAATAAATAATTGTTTCAGAAACAAAAAAGTCTAGTGTAAGGAGATCAACATATTAGCCTTGTGACATATAACACTTTCAGACAATAGACTGCTAATTGTTCTTCAATGATGGAGAAATTTTGACAGATATTTCTTCTAGATAAACTGGCGCTTACCCAATTTAGCCTATGGGTTTTTCCAAAAGATAACGGCTTGCACTTTGCTTAGATTTGAGCTGTTACATCCTTTTGAAGAATATTATGCAATCAAATCTCTGGCTATCTCGAAACAAAACAAAGCTAATGAAATTCAATCACATTGGCAAATAAAATTTGATATGTGACAGGGTACGCCTTTTCGATGTCCCTTGGGCTTTTGTTTTTGGCACAGATTGCACGATTGTGGAGTTTGTGTTCTTTGTAGCAGTGCTCGAGTAAGCATTATATTGTGTTTTTTATTGTCTTTGCGATTAGCGCACCGATAGCCCAAACATAAATGGTTCAAATGAACCTTCAGTCTTGTTATTGATAAGGATCAAATATTCTGAGGACATCTTTCCCCTTATTTGCTAACGATTTCTATCTGGCAACTTCATTTAATTTCGTTAATTGTCTCTTTTAGCCATGGACATTCTTGCTTTAATTTTGAAATCGTACAAAGGTGCATCCAGTGACGATATGTAAGCTATCAAAAGCCATTCCTCGTTCCTTTAGTTTTATTAGTTCATTATTTCAAAATAAAGCAAATTCTGCTTCTACTTTTGTTTTTACTCTTTTTACTCAACCTTTTTTAGCACACAGTTATCTTATCCTACACGTTTTTAATAAGCCACTGAAAAACACTTCTTTATTTTCTTTGTCCTTGTTGTTCCATGTAAACCAGCTGGCATGCAGATTTTCACTACCCTAGTGCACTGAATCTGGATTCTACGAGTGTGTCTTCCTAACCCCCCCCCCCCCCCCCTCCCCCCTGATAATAGGCACATACGGGCCTATCTTGCACAATTAGTAATTCTACAATAAATCCTGTAACGTAACTTGGCTTCTTGGCTGGAGAGAGCGTATGAAAATAGTATCGCACTGACAATGGCCTACCGTCCAACTTACGTCTATACGACCAACAAAAGATTTTACTACCCAACCCATGAAAACTTGCAGCGGTGTCAAACACCCCTCAACTTCCTGGCAGATGCACCCCTGAATACTCATTATGAAGTGACCTCTGCAACACCAAAAACATTTGGTTTCCGCAGGAATATTTCCCAATATTTCCTGTTACCTTTTGTCATGTCTTGAATCAGGTTTTGTCTTTTATGCCCACCGTCTGTTTTTAGTAGCAACAGAAAGTACCCCAGTAAAATCCCCAGTAAAAGCCCGATCTTGGATGTCATTTACAATCGGTGCTTTCAATTGTCATTTCACGTAGATCGAAACTACAAGAACAGCTGCAGAACGTGCTGCAACTCAATATCCCTCAGTTTCAGGTAGAATTTTTAACATGTTCTTCTTTTTCTGTTGATACAAAATTTAGTTGTTCGCCTAGATTACAATTAAGGTCCTTTAGCAGCAGCATTTGTTTTAGTTTTATGTTCCCTTTATCATTTCCTCAATGGAGATTGGCTGTTTCTAGATATTTTTGCTGGGATAATAACATGATGATTATGCTAACGGACGTTTAGTAGCCAACAAGCCTACAAATAAAATGGGTGTTTGATGAACCCTCCCTCCATTCGAATTGGCAGTCTAAAGCATTCTAATAGCAGATCATTAATTAAATATTTTGCTGAGACAACACATCTAAGACCCCCGTTCTATTTGACTTTGCTCCTGTTTTAACGCAAGGATTGCAATTTTCCAGGGCACAGTTTTTAAATCATTTGGAGTATTGGCGCAGAGAAATCCAGCATTGGCTAGAAGCCTCGTAGGAACTGCAAAAAGAAGTGTCGAAGAAGACGAGAGAAATCGTGGATGTGGTGAAGACAAACGCCTCAGGTAATTATCAGCGTCGACAAAAGGGATGTTCGGGGTCTGGAACCAATATAAATAGCATGAATGGAGCCTGGGTCCCACAAACTGAGAACATGAATAGACTCCCAAGTATAACGTACAGTGTCTTCTTCCAATAAGCCTGCAATAAAGAATGTCCTATACCCACGCTTTCGCTTGTAAAACTAATGTATGGTTGTGAGCCGATCTTGCTAAGAGTTTCCTTGAGCCCCCTGCATAAGCCCTAGCAGTGGTTAAGTTCCTGGTCTGAAATTTGAAGTACTTTAAAGCGACAACTTCAATGCATTCTAGAGCTTATGAATGTAGCACTTTGTGGTGAATGGTTAGTACAAGACAGTTACACCGCTCTTTTGTCGCTGATAGTCGTTACTGAAGTTTTTTTTGCTCACTTTACGTATCTAAATAATCGCTTTTTGACATCTAATGAAGTTCTTGCGAAGTAAGTCCGCTTAATTCACTGCACAATTTTCCAAATTTCTTAGAATTTAGACAAGGAAGTTTGCCAAAGATTTCTTTGAATTGGGAAACTACCTACAAGAGGAATTGAATTTCGGGAATTGATTTTCAACGAATCATGGCTCTTAAATACTGCGTACCAAAACAACTTGAAGCAATAGTAAAGTTTTCTAAGAAAACCTTGCTAAATCAATGCGAAAATTTATACTAGTTAAAGTTTAGTATACAAATCTGACAATGTTTAATCGCTATTTAAAGAACAATCCCAGGTTGCCTATTAATCATTCCTTGTGCCCATCCTGGATAGTTAACAATTACTGAGCTAATTGCTCGCTGTAAAAGCAGAAGCTTTTTCTTAAACCTCTTTTATTTAATATGTTTACTTTTTTCAAAAATGTCAATAGAAACTTCATAAACCTCGTGGCACTAAATTCAATATATAACTTTGAATTGGTTTTCTCGAACATTCTTTATACTGACTTGAGCTCTGTAGCTGCCTGCCTAAGCAGCTTCACCATTCATATTATAATTTCGTTGTTTTCTCTGGATTTTCTGAATTCGCTTAAGTATTTCAATTTACAGGTATTCGCTACAAGAGTTCATTGCCGCAACAGAAAGATCGTAACGCGCTCCCGTTGACTCAGTGGTATGCTAAAAAACCTGGTCCTTGGTCAAATCCGCTTTTTGATTGAAGACAAGCTTTCTCAAGTCTATAATGGACCTCCAAAGTTGCAAAGACACATTAAAAGTACCATTATGGAAATTGAGTGGAGGTAAATACACAGCGGTTCATGTACTGGACACAAGATATGAGAACTTGCTATAAGAATCACAACCACAAATTATCTAAACATCTTTAGATCATCTTTAGAACATCTTTTATTGCAATAACCTTCAGGTAACTTTGCTGCTGAAAGACGTAATGATATACTCTTAGACAGCAAAGAGAGTTCAGTTTATAAATCACCATGCTTTATTATCTCGAATACATTTTGTTTAGTGAGTCCTGAAATGCTTCTTATGAATGGCAATGGTGTAGTCATATAACGGAAGAATAACACGCGATCTTAGAGGCCTTAAAAAACTTTCAAATTTCTGTAGATCCAATGATAAATAACAGAAACATGAAAGCAAGTCAATTAGCCTAGCCTTTTACGTCTGTTTTGTCTCTGTCTCTCTTTCCTCCTCCACACACTCCTGTCGCATTTACCTCATTTGGGCCCACGCCACCGGGAGACCATTGGGGGCATGGCTCCCACATTTTTTGCTAGCAAATTATTTCATTGCTGCAATGAAAGGTGAAAGAAACCTTAGCCCCCTACTTTCGTTAGCTCTGCTTCCCCCCTCCCCATTTTCTTTAGCCATGAATGAAATGCGGATGAATTTGGTTATTATCTAGAGAGCATGGAATTCAGATGCAGACGGAGGATATATAAATTCTCGTTAACGATCTGAGAAGTGTGTTTGCCTGCATTTTTGATTGAATGTATTTTATGTCATTAAAAATTAAGTCGGTTCTACAGGACACTTGTCGATATAAATCAATGTTATTGAGTGATGTGTGGGGAAACCTCTCTGAGACTAAACTCATGTATTTGAAAGGTCTTATGATTAAAATTCTTTCAAAAAGTGTGAAAACATTTCCTTTTCAATGGGTAGACAACAAATATCCCCTCCGTACCTGGTAACTCGTCCATATATACCTTAGTTTTGTTAAAAGTAACTCTGAGCAAGGGGTGTATAACTCTTTTCAAAAAGCGTGCGAGATTTTTTTTAGAAAAATAAGCTTTTTAAGGATTCTTTGAAAATTTTTCTCGAAAACAAGAGGGTTTTTGTCAAAAGCGCACGAGATTTTGTAAAATGTATGCCCCTCGCCTCGCAGAGGCTCAAAAAATCCCCACAGAAGCATGCGATGTAGAGCCATCCTCCACAATGACCCATTTTATACTACAGAGATTTTATCTTTGAAGAAATTGCGACCTTAATGTTGATGGTAATGTTGACGCATTTAGGTCAAGCAAGTTTACAAAGAGTTGCATTCCACCACTCAATTTTTAAACAAAAACTCAAGTTCGGTCATTTAATTGATGGGTTTTTCTAAAAAAAAATCTCGCACGCTTTTTGAAAAGAGTGATACACCTCCCGGCCACGATGCCCCCGAGGCCCGTCAGTCAACGGTCACAATTCACGCAGCTGCAAAAGGGCCCCCGATTTAATAAGTTCGTCCTTGGTGGCATTATTGGACCTTTCAGACTTGGAGAGGGCTTTAGAGAGTCATAAAATGTGAGATTTTTTGTAGATGGCGACAGTTTTGTTCTTATTTTACCCATTATCAGATAAATTCAACAACCAGCTAATTACTCTGTCTAAGCATATGAAGATTCTATCTAGCAAGTCGTAAAAATTGAGGATATACCCCTCACCCCTGTGCGTTACCCCCTGGCTATTTCAACGCGAGCATCTTTGTCAAAACAACATTTCCTTCGAAGAAGGGCCAGCCTGAGCAGGCCTCGTTTCGGACCAATAACATTTGGGACCTGGCCTAACGAAAATCTGAAGTAAACATGGTCACGTAAATATAATCCTTGCTTAGAAGTCTGCAAAAGAAGAGAACATGGCTGGTTTTTCGATGAGAATAGTAGATGCAGACTTCTACTTAGCAAAGCCAGTTCCAGATTTGGACATCTGCTACTCTGGATTCAAGCAGACAATGACCAAAAGGGTACCAGTGGTAAGGATTTTTGGAGCCACTGCAAAAGGACAGAAAACTTGCCTACATATTCATCAACTGTTTCCCTACATTTATGTGAGAATCTCAGAGCACGATGCTTCAGGAAGATTTGCCAAGCAGTTTGCCACAAGCCTTGATGTTGCAATTCAAATTGCTTTGGGCAAGACAGTTTCCAGCGACTGGCATTCTGTTCACGAAGTTGATGTTGTGAAAGGATTGTGAGTTGCTTCCAGCTTTGGTATTGGGTATTGTACTTTTTATTTTGATAGGGGGTTTGCAAGTAACATTAAGCTAAATATAATCACAATCACAGTAAAGGTTCGCAAGATTACGAATAGGTGTTATTAAAGGCATGGCAAAAAGTATAGCTTCTCATTAATCATCATGAAGTGCCTATATCATGTAATATCCCAAGTGTTGATTGTCCTTCAGTGTCTTCTTTTGACTGTTAATTTATTCATGATATACAGTTCATAATCATATTATATTACATCTTTAGGATGCATTTTGGTCATATTCTCTTGCCAAGCAATATGACTGATTTAATCATTTTTATTTTAAAAAAGACTGAATCAAAGATTGAAGATCCAAGATCTGTCAAGCAACTTATATGACATAATAAGAACATTTCTCAATCTCTTAGCGATTCTAATTGTAATATTTTTCTTTCTTCAAGCACATTTTATGGCTTCCACGATGAAGAGGAACACTTTCTGAAGATTTCAGTATACAACCCAAATCACATAAACATGTAATTTCTGAACATTTCTCTTCCAATTAAATTCGATTTTATCAATGTATAAAGACTCTTTGTACATGTTGTCAAACAATTCCTATCAGTAGAAGCTTGTCATAGTTAAATAATTGTAAGGTGTGTACATTCCCAGGACCATTGCTGGCTATTGTGCTCAAGGGGGTGCTTAGGTCCTATTTGCTGACAAAGTTGGTGAGCCATCCTTCATTCCCCGACAAGTTTAAAAATTTGTTCATGAAGCATCCCTAGGTGGCAGAAAACTCATCATTTTTTCTCATCATTGCAACAAATTTTTTTCAAGGTGTTGTCACACCCTACACCTCACTAACTGCCTTGTACATTTCAAGGTATCACCATTCAATAACCGAGGTTGCCTCTCATGTATTAATCAAACAAATATGACATAAAAGCCTGCATGCTCGAGTGTAGTGTATTCTGTTGCTCAGTAGGTATTCGTTGACCTCAAATATGGTGAAAACATTCCGTAATAGAGAGACCTTGCAACATGCAGATATTCAATCACTTTTGGAGCTATTTTATGTCTCATTCACTCACGCACTCACTCTCTCACTCACTCACTCATTCACTCACTCACTCACTCTCTCACTCACTCACTCACTCACTCACTCACTCACTCTCTCGCTCACTCACTCACTCACTCTCTCACTCACTCACTCATTCACTCACTCACTCACTCACTCACTCACTCACTCACTCACTCACTCACTCACTCACTCACTAATATACTCACTCACTAATATACTCACCAACTCAAAACCACCCACTCATTCACTTGCTAATCGATAGACTCACATATTCACTTGTTTACTTACCAATTGTCTAACCCTAAGGGTCATAGGCAAATTTATAATAACAGATATTATCTATCCACATTATAGCACAATGTATATGGCTAATTTCTGTTAGCTAGAATGCCCCTGTCATCTGTAATGTTGATCCATGTTGATCCTACTGCTGCTTTGTAGTATCCCTGAATCACCATGTGCAGTAGGCATAATCATGATGTTAGAAGCATGAATCATCGCAATGGTTGAATGACCTTGTGTTTGTGGTTTCTGCTAAAAACTGTATTTATTTTTCAGGATTGAAGAGCTATTGCTTAATGGAACAATTATGGGCAGAGTATTTCAACCCTATGAAGGTCACATCCCATTCTTGCTTCAAGTAAGATCTATGAATTAACTGTATGATACTTACAAAGAATTAAGACATGACTTTACTTGTTTCTGGTGTTTTGCATGGCTTCATGTTAAATTGATCAGAAAGTTACTCCATTATCCCATAACTAGTTATAAAATGTGTTTTTCTTTTCCTTTGATTTGTAGCTTTATATTTATTTTGCTTATGGTAATTGTTAATAATTAAATGCTTTTAAAGCTTAAATTTCTCGAGTCCTTTATCTAGGACTCAATATTTTGTGGATGTTATTTGCTCTTTAGGGACGTGCAAGTTTGAAAACTCTCCCTTGTTCTGCCTTAAAGGTTTGATTGGTTTGTCAGTAACAAACAAGATTATTTTCATAGAGAAATGAAACATATCTTGATTTTAGGCAAAGCTTATTCTAGGATATAACTTCTTAAAAGACCAATGTATTTGGGGGCTTTATCACTGACTGAAGACAGCTCTTCACTGGCTTTAAACAAAGGTGTATTTATAATAGACCCTAATAACATTTCCTTTACCTTGGAATGCACAAGATTATCTGAAATTGCAGTTTGATGTTTCAATAAAATAATGCAAAATAACTAACAGGATTTCATAATAACAGGAAAATTTACTAACCTGGTTGTTAAGATTAAGGCACAGGTGGGGTTGAAACGATGTAATAGAAGTTTATTAAGGACTGTTTTGGAAAGAGCAACTTTAAAAATTGAAGAGATTAGATATATTCTGACGAGGAGGAAGAAGAATGTAGCAAATTGAATGAAAGGCAGGGTCCACTGCGAAGTCGAAGATATCTAAGAAGCCTTGCTTGACATAAGGTCTTATTAGTTCAAATATACTTATTTCGATTTATTTAATAATATGCACTTTCAGTTCTTCATAGATTGCAACTTATATGGAATGAATTACATTAATCTTGCTGCCGTTAAATTCAGACTGCCTGTCTTGTTTGTTGGAGGTATGGAAGGTCTTTTTCTTCATTTTCGATTTATTTTCAAATCTCTAGGCATTTTGGAGCGAATTATTGTCTTCGTTCATGAGTTATATTGAAATTCATGGCTTAGACCGACTCTTGGAACTATTATAAATAATTTTTATTGAGCCCCATTACTGATTGTTTCTCAAGTCATTTATCATTCGAGACTCCAGAAATTAAAAAAAAATAACCATTCTAATACAGTGTATCAACCATCAGATAATAATCATGAAAATGAAATTGTATTTATAACGAGGTTTCTACATCTAGATCTATATAAATACTTTGCAAGACCAATTGGTATCCCTGCAAAGGTTTGTTTTGCCAGTAAGCAGAGACGGAAAAATGCGATTCTGATTTGTTTTGTCCAAACAGAAACAGAAAGCAGATTACTATTTTCTGAGTTCAAAGGATATATGTAGAGATTAAAAGCCAAACCTTACCTTTTTATTGATTCTGCGATCAGTGTTATATCACACCCTACTTTTTGCGATTTTCAAGAGAACTATACAAAGTTCTGGTGGTGGTTGATCGGGATCTCATCGAACATGCCGTTTCTTTTAAGGCTTTTACTAATCCGAATCTGGTTAAAAATTTCACCATTTCTTTATCATCCGACAGACAAAAAGTATGTTGATATTTTACTAAATTAGAAATGTGCAGCGTAGAAATTCTATGATAGGAAAGGCGGCTCGTAGTACGAACTTTGATAGTTTTCTCGCGTTATATATTGGTAATTCAAAGAACAGACTTTATATGAAAGTAATGTATTGAAATTAAAACTTCATCCAAATTCTGTATTGTTTCACAAAATTTTTTGATGCAATGCTTTCTCGGTATTTATTCTTGAACTGATAATGTTAATTTTTTGTATTGTTTTACCAATTTTCCAAATTTTTATCTTTGTTCTCTCATCCAAGATTTCGAGGAGAGCTTGAAAAATCCTTCGTTTGCAAGTCCGGTTGTCAACAAACAGAGAAAAAGCCAACTTCTCTCCCCTCTTGGTTCTCCATCACAAACATGCTACGAAACTTGGCTTCCAGAAAACCTTTCACGGTAATCTATTTAAAAAATATCTCCCTGATAATTTTTTTTAATAGCCAAAAATATTATTTTTTGCAATAATGGCAGTATGTAGGGACCAGAAGTATAAATGGTAAGGTAATAACTGCAAGAAAGCTTAAGTAGCTACGTTGACAGTAAAGCCATATTCTCAGCAGATATTGATGAACGATCAAGTTTTCCATAAAGTTACACCACTTGTTTTTTTTCCATCGCAGGGAGATGCTAATGCCTGCATGGGTTTCACGTCAAAGCACTTGTCTTTTGGAAGTTGATGCCATAGCAGCAGACATATTGAACAAAAACGACGTTAAAGGTACTTATTTGGAAACGTGGTAACCAGTTTCGACTGATACTCTGATATTATCACGTCTCTTCAATGGGATTTACTCTGTGGCAATAATGATGTGATGGAGATGTTTCGATTAAGTGTTGGGATAAAGAAAGGGATAGGGAATTATTCGAGAGGAATAAAGAAGCAATTTTCTTTTCGCTTAAAAGGGAATGATTTGTTAATCTAGTAATGGAATACATGTATCAGGTAAATTTGCTTATTTTCTCATGGTGTCATTATTTGCAGATTCATTGGGGAGCTGTCCTGGTCTAGTGGCACTTTGGCAAGAAGAAAAGCAGCGACGAATATTGAATAACGAATCGGCTGATATTTCTGCTGCTGTTTCTCAAGGTATCTGTGCCCTGTTTACCTTTGTAGCTAAAGGCCTGTTTACTTTATGATAGTTAATCTACATTCAACCCAGGTACCAAGGATGAAACTCTCTCTCAAGCCTAAGTTGAACTTAAGTTGAACCCGAGTTGAACCCGGACAAGATTTTTAACGTGTTGTTACCCTTTTGTTAAACTGCATGTATGCACCGCTTTCATAAGTAACTCAGATAATTTTTTCGCAAAAAAGTCAGATATTAACAATGCAAGCTTCAGTCCACGTAAAATGGCTTTGGGTGCTAGTTATTCGACGAGTAGAAATCAAGACTTTTGCGAACCATTCCTGCTAATGGGACTCAAAACACTTTACGTAATGTTTGAAAAGACATTATTATCGTTATCATAATATCATCATATGGTTAAATCCAGCCTTGTATAGAAAACTTAAGAAAACTTAATAAAGTTAGTCCTTCACCTTTCCGTGCAATGTACCATCATGGCCAGAAGTACTTGGAAACCCAGTAATTTGCGTTGTGTTTTTCTATTTTTCAATTCTTTTCCCTTATATTCTTATTTCCTAATTCCTATTCCCCCCGCTAAGCAATGTTGATCATTAAAAAAATCATAGAAGTCGCAGAAAATAGCGTATTTTCTTATCCCCTAAGTCGTTTTGTTGTAAACCAAAATTGTTCAAAGGGGGTAGTGGAGTGGCTGAATTTTACCTTGAAAACTGACGTCATTCTACCAAAACTTTTGGCAGCCATTGTAACTCCTGTTCCTCTTATGATTTGGCAGATATTTTAGATTATTTCCATTTCTCAGGTGAACGGCAAAGGATTATTTTTGAGCCTGAGCGAAGATATCTCGAAGATTTCCAGCTCATTTTGAAGACAAAATTAAAACAAAAGTAAGCAATGTCTTCATGTTTAATGAATTCTATTGCAGCTTTCAACACCAGTCTTTAAATACATCGACATTCATTCTAAAATCGTCTGCCTTTATATGTTGATAATTTATTACTCCATTGAATGATCTTGATGCTCTATTTCTATGATGATATATTTTGAATAAGGCTCCTGGCGAACTTAATAGCTTAAAATGATCATAAAACTAGTCCTTTCAAAATTTCGATTAAAATATGATGCTTTGCAATGAGTTTTTTATAAAACTTTTAGGAAATATCATAAAAGCCTAAATTATTATACCAAGTTACCTGAAATTACCACACACCTATGTGGTAAACTTTCGTACAGAAGGAACCTTAATGATATAACTACTTGATAATTCTAGGAGCTTTTGGAGGCGATCGATTGTGTTTGGGGTTAGTTTTGCAAGTCTTGCATTCAATTTTTTGATATTGTTAGAGGTACAACTCTTAAAGTCTTTTTAATATTTCCTCTGTATTTTTTAGAAATTCAGAGAATAGTTCACCAGTAGAAGAGCCATTTCTTGAAAGTCCAAATCTTATTTCTGGGGATACTCCAACTCCAGAAGACCAGTTATGCAATAAAGATGTAGATTTTGACGGTAAGAACTGAAATCGTTTTTAAACATAAATATCAATACTCAACTGGTTCTATGTCCTAGATATTGACAATAGCTATAGGCGCTCTCCTAGGCAATGTATATGTTATTTTTGTTGCTTGCGAATAGGTATCCTTGGCATTTGCCAATTGGAAATAACCGATTGTATAATGACTTATTCAGTTTGGTGTAAAATTTAGTCTGTAAAATTTTTTATGACATTGAGCATTTTTTCTTTTATGGATTATTTAAAAAGATCTTTGGCGATGATCGAGATCGGATTCGTCCCCCCTTTTGCCCCCTTCCCGTGACACCTAAAATGCTCTCCATATCGTAAAATGCCCTTCAAAATGAATACAGCAAATGAGCATCTACTCAATCCTTTTCAAAATTTTGTTTTATGATTCCATCTTTTTATATTTATAATCGTGAGTTTTGATCTAAATATAAGATGTGAAGATGCTTGCCCACTCCTCAGACAGTCTCTAACATCGAACATATCTCATCTTTGATAAAATCTGATAAAATCGAGCACTGTTATGTTAAAATAGAGAATACATGCAATGATGATGATTAATTTATATTTATGTTAAGAATCACGACCAATCGTCGACGAAGAAGCAATTCGTCAATCACTCTCGCAAGTGTCGTTCATAAAATCACCTACATCGCCAAGACAGAAAACTGCATGTGAGTATGAAGTCAATTTTGATTGTATGAAGCTCAGATGATTTTATGAATTCAGCTTAGACAGCAAGGCTGGAACATTTGAAGAGCACAAGACGGTTTTGTAGAAAAATAGCAACTGCGAGTATTGTGCTGATGGGTAAGAAAAACTGCTCGAAAAAAATTTTTTCCTGAACAGTTGCTGAAATCAAGCTTATTGTGTTGCGGGCAGCCATTTACTAGACTATTTTTTATAATATAAGAATTTTATAAGAACACGAGCCTCAAAATTGATCAAAAGATAAGAACAAATCAAGAACAAGCGGAGGCTGAGCTACTAAAAAATGTAATTTTGAACAACGTTTTTCTCAAAATCGAGGATTTTTAGCGATGTGTGGGTGCTTTTTCGGTGAATATTCAAATTTGTCAGCAAATTGAGACTGTCTCGCTCACTTGTGGCAAATGAGGCCTGAACACCACCCTAGAGCGAAAAAGCTAGCACTCGCACTGTATTAGAACTTCTCGTGTTCTTGCTGGCAGGGGCGTAACTTGGCCAGTAGGTTTGGGGGGGTGAAAAGGGTTTCTGCCCTGCAAAACTGAGTGGTGCCCTGCAGACCTCGTAGCAAAGGTTTGTCTATACTCTATAGGTTTCTAGTGAAAGCTTCACCAGTGTACACTGGTCTTTACCAAGGAAAAGCAATAAAAACAAACTTGAAACTTCATTGCCTATGAAATATCTATTTCTCTACGTGAGCGTAAATTATGTGTCAAATTTGGTTTTCCTTGATAATAAAGCTTCTATCTTCGTAGCATATTATTTTTTGGTGCATTATATGGGCGGAGCAACGAAATTGAGCCCGGGGGGACTAAGAATCACGTTTAGTGATAAAGGAGGACCCACCATGGTTGGGTCCGACGTGAAGAAAATTTTTGAAATTATACCTTGTAATAGGGCTAAAAAGCATCTTTCAGACTGAAATTTAACAAAATACTATTGTGCTAAAAACTGATTATTGTTTATTGGGAAAAATAGGGAGGGGCATGTCATGCTAAAACTCTAGTGATAGACGTTGTGGAAAGAAAGAAACGGCACATAGTTGTGAATGACAGAGGAAAATGTTGTTTTGATTGGGGGAATTTTATTTCCTGAACAGAAATGTGCAGTTTCTTGTATCGAGAAGGCCATCCAAAATTAAGCATTGCAATGATACAGAAAGTGATTTACTGAATTAATGCAAATAAAAGAAAAAAAAGAAAAAAATATGTGAAAAAGTTAGTAATTAGATAAAAAAATCGGCATCTTAACAGTTTACTCTCTTTTTATTTCATGCACTGTTAACAATTAATAGAAAAAATGATAAAAAAGTTCTTATCCTGACCAAAGTGAGGGCTTTCAGCCCCCTATTCCCCTCAGTGACGCCGTGCCTGTCATGAAAATAATTTACAACTTAAATAAATTTATATGGACTCAACCTTGCCCTCAAAAACATATGCATCAATCATTGCATCCATTGGCTATGACTTTCGGTAAGAAATGCTTTCGCTTTGCAAATAACGGAGCTTTTCCTTACATACCTGTTCCGTTCTCTAAAAATGCAATATCAGAAAAGTTGGTTCATAACAAATATGATATTTCCATTTCAAAATTCCTAAACGACCCTTTACGAACTTCAGAGGTGACATTTCTGCGTGGCAACAAAGCTCTTCTTGGCGCCCTGCGAAATCTTCGATTGCCCTGCGAAATCGACTATTTTTTTAGATTGGGGGGGTGTCACACCCCCCCACACCCCCCCGGTATTTTCGCCCCTGCTTGCTGGTTCTTTTGACAGAGTAGATCTCAAAAATACAAGTTTTGTGAGATTTCCAATTCTTCATTTCAAAATATAACCTCTAAGCCAATCTATTACTCAACATCAACATAACCAACAACTTAACCAAAAAATGAAATTACTTAGTGTTACACCCAGTATTGAATTAGTCTACCAATCAGATACAAGAATTATGTAAACTATATATTTCATCCCATCAGATTCTTGATGTTATACGTGTGATATTACTCAGCCTGCACACAAAGCAGTTCGTGATTAGCCCTATGGGTATAGTTATTATTGGTACACGCAAAAGAAAGGATTGGTATAATTATGCTCAAATGATTAGTAAATACATCTGTTGCTATGTACTAATGCACACAGTTAATTATAAGAATATAAGCTTAAATACCAAAACAAATAAACAGCTAAACAATAGAAAATGCACTGTGGAATTCCACAATACACTGCTTACACCCTATTAGATTAAGAACAAATTAAGAACAATCCAGCCTCAGATTTTCTAAAAATTTAAGAACAATCAGCCTGAACTTAAAAAAAAGTGTGTACACTCTTTTTTTATAAGAACACACTTTATAAGAACACTGAGGCTAGATTTGCCGAAAAAATAAGAAAAAGGCTAGAACATGCTCAGCTTTAGATGAGAAAGTTAAGAAAAAACAATTCGCATTTTGAAATTTATGTCATGTCAACAGAACAAAACTATGCAATTTATATATAAACATAAAAACAATTTATTTTTAAACTTTACCCAGTAAAACGTCTTAGAAATTATATAGAGTACCTATGTAACTTCTCAAATATTTGCAGAAAGATCACTCTTAAAATCAGAACAATTTTTAGAACATTTGGGCCTAAAATTATTAAAAAGTTCAGAACATCAAGGCTCGGCAAAAATTATCTGGTTCTTACAAAAAAAAGTGTATAGCGATCAGGGAAGGCTATTTTTTATTGTGTGAGAAGGAAGAACCGCAGGATAGGCTGTCCGCCGGATTCTGTGAATCTTGCAATGAGTGTTGTTATGAAAGATATACAGGAACAAAGCAATACGACGACGAGAATCCAATGTCACGAAATAAAATTTTCAAAATAAATTAAATTTTAAGAATATACTAATATTTCGCCCCGGCATACTATTTTTTATCGATTGCAAATGTTCTGAATTTGGGTTACGGTTTGTTTCTATCTACTTTATATAAGAAAGCACCTTTTAGAAGAGAGAGAAAATATTTTAGCCATTCTTGTGTTCAATAGCTTAAATGCTTTCAGCGATATGAATAAAAAATGAGTAGTATTATTGGCTACTGACTTCGTTGAACGTGCAGAAAAAGAGTGATTCCGCCCGGGCTCGAACCGGGGACCTTGCGCGTGTTAGGCGCACGTGATAACCGCTACACTACGGAATCAGATGCCTAAGTGAAGAAATTTTTAGTTAGAGTTTATATGTGGCAGTTTATTCTTTGTCTACCAAAGCTAATATTAGATTTTTCCACTAAAAGTTCCCTCATAGCAATCTATTTTTATTCCAATTCAAATACGCCTTTTTTATCAGTTAAATATGTTTAGAATAAACCCATTAATCTAATGGATCTCATATTTTGAAAGTGATAAATACACTTGCTTTCTTTGCGGAATATGTTTAACACATGCAAAATAAGGATAGTTTGCTTCAAATCTGTCGCATGATGGCTTTATTTGATGTAACAGTTAGGATTTACACTGTTGTGTGTGACACCAACATCAGAGAGTATTTGAACTCAAGGACCGCGGAACATATTATGGGTTTAGAAGGCTAAAACGTTTTGGGCGGCTAAACATGCTAAAAACTAAGAGCAAGGCAATTTTTGTATGGTTTTAAGAAAATTTTAGGAATTATTTGGGTTGGGAGGGGGGGCTAAAGCTCCCATAGGCCACCCCGCTTCCGTGGTCCCTGTTTGGACCAAACACCAAATGTCCCAGTTTCATGAGACTTTCATATTTTCGAGAAAGTTGGCCAAAACACAAGTTTGAGTTAATTTGATGAGTATAGAACATATGTTTACTGTTTAAAAAACCCTGAGTTTCTACTATATTCATTGGTTTCAGGGACAACAATGGACGAAGAACTATTAGATTTTCTGTTGATGCCATCAAATGATCAAGAAACAGTTTTGACACAAATGTCTTCAATAAGCAATGGTATGTTTGAACTAGTTCAAGATCACGTGTAGAATGTGCTTTAAAACGTGGACATATGGACAAGTGGTTTATCCCACAGTTGTAGGTTCTGTCTTGATGTTTCGTTTCATACACAATGCTACTTGCTGAAAAATGACAGAATACTGAAAAACACCCTTCTTCCCTCATTAGAAAACCCGAGTCTGTTCTTTTTCAATAAAACATTTTTTAGAAGCATTCTACACGTTCTTTGCTATCCTAATCTCCTTACAACGGTTATTTTACGAAAATATTTTTTATTTAAACATCATAACCCAGAAAGGGGGCAACATTCCTTAAATAAACACAGATGAGAAGTTGTTGGAGTGACAAAAGCGTAGGTTAGGGTAACGTTTTAGAGAAAATTCACATCTTGAAGCAATTCATTCACAATTTTATTCGTATTCTTAAATATGTTTTTTCAGCTTAAATAAGTTTTAGTCTTCCTGACCAAAAAATTATACTATTGCAATTTAGGTGTTGCTGGAGATGAGATGGACTCTGAGGTCTTGGACCAACTTGAGGAAGATGACATGAATGAAACCATTATGATGTCACAACATGTCTATGATGATATTTGTAACGATAATGGTGATGAGGTTGTTGAAGAAGTTAAAAAAGAAGCTGAAAAGGATAAGGAGTAAGGCGCACAATGTAATAGCAAATCTGATAAATATCTTTGGAATGTACAAGCAATTCCCAGCTTTACTCTCTCTTCCAAACGCCCATTTATTTTGGATTATGACGAGAAATCCCCAACTAGATCACAATGATTCACTATTTAAAAGAATAGTTGCCTGGAAAAGGAAATGTCGTTTAAAGGTTTATTATTATGTAAGTGCCATAGCGTTCAAAAGTTACAGGATTAAAAATTTACTGACAATGTTAATTGATGATAGTCAATCCAATTGTAGTCAATTATTTTGCCTAAATTGATAGTTAAATATTAATGTTGTTTCTAAACTATTGCTCTGTCTTGTAGTGACATCATGGACTTCAGCCTCAATGAGAGTTGGAGCTCGTCATGGATCAAAGATATTCCCCAAATTGATGGAACATATGATATAGAGGACTTGTCTCAATCTAATAAGAAACAACACACGGTGCCTGTTGTTTCGCCTTGTGAAGTTTATCAGCCTGCCGATTCACATGGACAAGGGGTAGCGTATCATTATATGCGAAGCCTTTCAAAACCAGCGCACGTGATTGCTCAGCTAGATGGGAGCAGTGATAGTGACTTCTTGGAGGACAGCTTCCTTAGAAAGAGGGGCTCCAAATACCAGAAAAAGGCTCTTAAAACTTATGATAAGTCAGCAAGGAAAAAAAGCCTGACTCTTCGAACTAGAGTCACCTCTAGCAAGGCAGACGGTGATCTTAAAAAGTCTGCAAGTTCGAAAAGAAAAGGCATTATGCAAATATTCTCTAACAAAAATCAGTTGCTGTTTGGACATGGAGACAGTGAAAGTAACGAGGAAAATTCTAATGGTGGATGCAGGCCTGGATTGAGTAAGAAATCATTTACTTTTGAAGGTCTTGAATTTGATGATAGCGATAAGCATTTGGATGCCCAGAAGACTGTCATTAATCGAGAAGCTACTTCTCCTGCTGCTGCAGCTTCATCATTGTTCAATGCTGAATCGCAAGAAATATTTATCGTCTCTCCGACAGATCCCCGAACGTCTTCGTCAAAGCGTTTTTCTTTACGAAGCAGAAAGGATAGTAGAAAAGTGGCTTTATCAACCGTTAGTTACAAACATGAAGACGAGCCTGTGAGTTTTGATGAAAAGTCAACTCAAAGGTTGTACCATCGGTTAACGTTGAGTGGCAATGCGAAGGGAATGATTGGTTTGCCAGATAAGGATGCTAATGAACGGAATCTGGACGCAAGTTTTAGTATGGCTGCGGTTGATGTTGGTAAAAAGTGTCCTCCGACAATGTTGACTGATTCAGTTTCCTCTCTAGACAGTGATGCAATGATAAGCCAGCCTCTGCAAACATATAGCTCCTTGATACGTGATTGCTGTGTTTCTCTTGTTGACGTGCGTGCAACAAATTACGCAGGCCTGCTAGGGAGAAAGGCTTCTAATACATCCAGCATCCTTGGCAGAATGGCCTCTAGCGCATCCAGTAAACGAAAGCTTCATTTGTCGGTTTCCAAGTCTTGTAAAAAGGTTCGTTACACGACAGTTGATTCTAGCAGCAGAAGGTTTAATATGACGTCACACAGTGGATTGAAACTTGAAGAGGAGAAGGACTCCAATGTGAAACAGTGTGAAACCTGTTCTGACTTTCTGTTTAGATCACGCTTTCCATCCCAGGAGCTGGAAGACTTCAATCTTCCCCAGTCTCCACCTAGACCAACCTCTCCATATAGTGATCCGCGCTGCACGGGAAGCACAGCTAACGGAGGAGTGTCTGCAGAAGCGATAGAAGAGGAACCTTTTGGAGCAGAAAGTGATTCTGTAAATATAAGCTTTCATGATGATCGATTTCCTGCCCAAATTAAACCCGTGAAGCTGAACTATGATATTCTTGACGCCTCGACATTTGTTACAAACTCCAGATCAAGGAGAGCTAAGCAAAGACAGAAAGAAAAGGTTGAAGCTAGCAATCAAAATGTTAGAGTTAGCCGTCAAGGAGAGCATCCTAACGTCGATGGCACTAGGCGTTACCTAGAATGTGATGGAAATTCCATGCATTCGGAATCTGTAACCCCAAAACCCGATGTTACTGAAGTAAGCTCGCTTATATGTCATCGAACACATACTCAACCAAAAGCGGAAAGGATGGAGAAGATGACAGGCTCATTAGAATCAGAGCGTTTTGAATACTGTGTTGATTTTAGTCCAATAGTAGCTGCACCTGAACCGAATGATAATTCACATGCAGTAAGAGGGAAAAATGATTCCAGAATCGAAAGGAGGACAGGATTTTGTCGATTGAGGCCATCAAAACTGCTTGAAAGTATTGGACGTCAATGTGGGTTTCTTGGGCCAACATGTGGCAATGACACTCAAAATGAGGGCCAAGATGTTTCGCAAGGGGTAACCTGTGAACTGTTTCCAAATTTAGCTTTGTTACCAAGTACATCTACTGTAAATAAAGATAGTTGTGAGAATTTAGACATTGCCGAGAAGAAAAACACTTATCAAATAAGCGATGATATTACTGCTATAATGGAAAGTGACGATTTAGCGACACAGTTGTCTCAACAGACCAAAATGACAAAACTTGAAAACAAAAGTATGGACATGTGTGAAATTACTTGCATTGATGATTCTCAAGAGGGAGAATTCGTAATATCAGATTCTCAAGAGAGCGAAACTGTAGTATCAGATTCTTTGTCTCACCGGCACGAAATCGAACTGCTGCACGTTTCGTCGCATCAGAACGAAAACAAACTGCCGGATGTTTCCTCTCACCGAACAGGAACCAAACTACCACTAGTAATTTCTAGGAACCGATCAAAAACCAGCCTCGATGCTGTGAAGACATTTAAGAATGAGGAACTCCAGGATTCTGTGAAAATGAAGGCATCAGCTTTTGATAACCTGGAAATCTCGTTTTCAGATGATGAAGCGTTTGAATCAAAATGTATCACATTCCCACCAAAGGAAACAGAAAAAAGTGGTCTCGAAGACCAAACTAAAAGTGAAAGTGGTGGAAGTTTGTCGATTAAAGAAGAGTTAAATAAAAATATTAAGATATTAACGTCCTCTCCTAACCCTGATTGTGCCAACATGAAAAGAAAAAGAGTATCTTCGATGCTGACAAGTGTAAACAAGATTTCTTCAAAGAGCAAAGAAGATTTTGTTTCTGAAATAGATGCAAGCGCTCCCACCGTCCCTCGAGAGAATTCAACAAGAACAGATTCTTGCCTCAAAGATTCCACGGAACGTGAACATGCAGAAAGCCTAGTACCATTACATTTGCAAGAAGCATCGCCTTGTCCAGTTTCTACTCCATCCCCTGGATTTGAAAATAATAAGAAATATGACAAACCGGCTTTTATGAATAAATCCACTGATGACAATTCTGATATCCAGGATGCAAGTGGTGAACCAGTAGCGGTCCCAATTATAGCTTCTAGTCAGGAATATTCTCCATGTGCCAGCTTTGCAGTTGATAGAACAGTGCTGATTACTCCGTTGCTGAAACCTCCAACGCGAAAGAAGGTTTTAGGGACAGCTTTCTCATTTGGTTTAGGAGAGACACGAAATCAACAAGCATTTTTCGGCAATTCAAAAGATATTCCGTCTTGTACAAAGTGAGTTTTGTTGTTTTATTTCTCTAATTCATATTCTTGGATGAACCAATTTACTGTAGTCTCTAATCCCAAAAATGTATATAATGTTTAGACTTTGTTACGAAACGACGAAGGAGCGGCGCAAATATATTCTGAACTCTGAATTCTGATCTACTGGCTGCGCATATATTCAATAATTGACCGCTGACACTAGGAGCAGCAATGTCAGATGATAAATTTTGGCATTTGATGCAAACACTAGGCATTTGCTACTTCTGTTTCTAATTGTAAAACCAAGAGATGCCAAGAAATGGGCTATCTTCGTGGTCGAATAATCCGTATTCGGTTTTCTTGCTTTTTCCTACGGTAGTCGATGAACTTGCAACATTTTAACGGCAGTATGGCAAACTATTTAGACAATTTCAGTCAATTTTTATTGTCCCTTTCCATTGCTTATTTGTGTCGATTATGGGACATGTCTAAAGTGTCTAAAATAGAATTTTCTTCTTGAATCCCCTTGAATTATTTGATTAAGTTTATCACAACACATTCATTTCAGGATTATTGGAGGACGCAAATTACGAATCGACTCTGTAAAGGTATGCAAACCAATTTGATTTAAACTTTGATTTAATTGACCAAGTTCTCATTTCGTCATTATGTCCTAAACATAGTTGCATTTGGTCGTCATGGAGACATTGCACAATATGATGAAGGACTTTTTAGAATTAGAGGTGTATTACAATATTATTTTCTTAATTCAGAAAGAACCATTTCATTTGTTTTCATTTGTTTGTGACAATCTGAAAAATCTTTAGCTGACCACTTATTCTATTTGCTCCACTGCTGTATTGATGCCAAAGGCTGGAATCAACTGGAGGCATTATTTTTAAGGCAATCAAGGGTTTTCTATAATGTTTTATATTATTTCTAAGGACATAGAGAAATTAAAACTTAAATTACTTTGAAAAAATCAGAACAGGAAGTTTTGCTGTGATCTTTCGACTTTCTCGTCTACACTCCAAGACATGCCATCGAAACGAAGTCTTTAATCCTTATTTTTGCAATGGAATTTCTGTTCAAGAGGGGTGTCACACCCCACACACCTCCCTTTAGTGATGGGCCTGTCTACATTCCAAGACATGCCATCGAAGCGAAGTCTTTACTCCTTATTTTGCAATACTCCAAGTCATTCCATCGAAACTTTTTTTTTACTATTGTGTTCTTTCCTCAACAGGTAAGCAATTTGCCCTCCTTTAAAACGGAAAGTGGATATCAAGGATCGCTTGAAAAGCTCAAAGCAGACGAAGATGTCTTTAATACAACTTTGTATCAGGACTTGCATTGTCAAGGTAAGGCTTTTAACAGCATTAAGTTGGCTTTAGGCACGAAAAAGCGAAACACAATCAGTGATACCGTAAACGCTCTTTTAAGTCCCGGCGATTAACATTCCCTTCAAGGTTAATGTTCCTGGTGAGGTTTTCGTTCCTATTAATAACATTCCCGTCAAGATAATCGTTGAACATGATGGAAATCTATATTATTTGTACGATTAAAGCGATTCCAAATGAGAATGGAAAGCAATGTACAGTAGTTGCTGAGTTGAGAAATCTTATCTTTAATTTTCTATTTCTAGCCTACTCCATACCTTGTTGACTTTGACACGCGATTGTAGCAAGAAAACAATTAACCAATCAGAATGTTATATTGACTACACGGGCGCTGTCCTTATGCTGTATTGTTATTGAACAAGAAAGATAGACCTATATTATATCATGCAATCCTCCAAATGTTGTGCGGTTTGAAGAATTATATTGATACAAGTGGTACTTATATATTGACCGTGATAGTACCATATTGCAAGTGTTCTCTTTTTATATTAAAGTGTCTCATCAAGCTGTTTCAATGGTTAAAGGTGCCCTCCTGTGGCACTAATCGGCGACCTACTGAGTTTCATACCCCCTCATAGTCAGATTTCTTATCTTTTTCCATTGCTTATTCATTATACAATGCTTTCTGTTTGTTTAGCAATGGCCGAAGGAGTGGATGAAGCAAATTTCAGAAGAATGATAATTGGGGACAATGTTGTTGCGATAACCCCGTGCAGAAAGCCACCCTCAATGGAAAGTGTAAGACAATGGCTCGAGAAGAACACGATTCAACCACGTGACGTCATCAAGACAGAACCAATAAGCAGGGATTTAAAAAATCCAGTAAAGTATGTAGAGAAAGACCATGTTTCAAAAAGTCCTTCACTAAAGAGCCAAGAATGTGCTGCTAAGAATGCAAAGGGAATAGAAAACACACCAGAAATAAGCAAAAAAGCTTTAATGGAAAGTCCAACTTTGTCACCATCTTTTCCTGCATTAGGCACAGTAACGGTTACTCCTTCAGCACACGCCCATTGTACCAGCACACCTTTGTCAATCAGGAAAAGAGCATCGCAGAGGCTACGTCTGCCAGGTCAAGAAAGCGATCAAAAGTCGAAGCCAAATGTAATTATCACTTATTTGTATTTTTGTGGAAACAGCACTTTTTCAGAAGCTGGATACAACCACAATGTTATTAAAGTCAGCTTTCAGTAGTGAATCAAAATCATGGCTCCATTTGAACCAGCAAAAATGGTTGATCTAGCTGGATCAAATTTTGCTGTGAAATGAAGTGTAGGAAATTACTGAATAGGGGTAGCTCCAAACGACGAAAAAGTCCAATATTGTTTACAAATAATCTTTTAGCACCAAAATAAAAACATGAAATTGAATTAACTAGTATTTCATCCCAATTTCTAGGGCTGCATATGAAGATATGTAAACATGGAAAATATGGATACATTTTGGATATCAACAGTCCTATCTCATTTGCATTTCGCATATAATGCAGATTCTCTATGAGACTCACAGATTGCCTTTTTACTTGAAAAACTTTAGCAAACTAGACCACGTTTTGTGCAAAGCCCAGTGGCGATGAATTGGTTGATACTCTGGCCTTATGCTTTCGTCAAAATACAGAAATATTAAACAGCAAGTACTTTTGTTGCCCATGCATTTCATCTTGACATATTTTTTCAGACATCGACACCCCTCGCCTCAGTGACATTAAAAAGATCTTTAACGGACACATCGCAAATTGATGGACCAACCCCAGCGAACAAATTTGGTTTCGGGTTTACGCAAGTGAATTACGATGATGCTCGTAATGCTCATGAGGTATTAGCATATTTGCTGTTATTTACGTGTAACTTTGCTGATTTCTCACTGTTTATCAGCTTGCTACTTCAGTAGTTTTGAGCCAACAGCAATGGCTCAAACAGGGAAACCCATCCTTTAAGCCTACCAAGAAACCTTGTTCTTCCCAATTTTTGATGCTTAATTAATCAATTTTTAATGCCCACAGTTTCCTTTGGTTCGAGAGCCCTTCTACTGAATTTTGTTCGGCTTTCTCTTAAAGCATTCATTTCATTACACCTTTTTTTAGTCCAGTTTTTTCTCCCCAACCTTTGTTGCCCATTTTTCAGATTCATTCAAAGACATTCTATCAACATGCAGCTATTTTCTTTCATGTGAAAGTTTTGCCTGTCATAATTAAAACACTGTAGCATATTTTTATCCTGCTTTTACATAAAAATTATGTATTGATGTATCCTATTATAATTCAATCCTCGTTTGCCTGTTGCAGTAATTAAATGTACACTCTTTATATATTATGAAAATAATGTTTATAAGAACATTCAGCCCAGGAATCATCCAATTCTTAAGAATACTATAAGAATATTATTGCTCAGCCTCGGCACACATATTTGTGTCTCATTTTCAGCAGTAACCTCTTTTGGGATGTTCATAACAGAAAATTGCAATTAAAACATTTTTTTATTGTTTGAAACTTCAAGTTAGCAACATTTTTATTGTCATTGCATTAAGTAGAGAATTGCTTTACCTTTTCTTGTCATGACATGAAATTTCTTCTAACTGTGTTTCCCTTAAACTATATCAGATTTGAACAAAATAGAATTACTTTAAAAATATGTATTCATGCTCATAGCAACAAATTCCTAATAACGTTGAGGCTGGAAAACTTTGTGGTATTCTTATAGAAAGTGTATTATTTTAATGGAGTGTTGGCGGGTTTTCTTCATAACACATCAAACAGGCACAGTAATCCATTGTACTGGCAAAATAGCACCTTAAACAGTCGTATTAACATATTTAAACAATGTAACCTTTAGTATGGATTTTACACCTCCTACAGGTCCAACATCTAACCATTCTCAGCATAGAGCTTCATGTAAAAACAAGACGAGACCTATGCCCTGATCCTGGCTTCGATCCAATATGTGCAATATTTTACCACGTGACTTGCGATACCAATGATACCAAGGAGACAGGGATTTTTCTCGTCGACTTAGGAAGCTCGACTGAAAACTGCTCGACAGCCATGACTTCTGCTGCGCCATCATCCGCTAAAATTCAAATTGAAAATACAAGTGAAAATGTTAAAGGTAATAATGCTTGATAATTCATCTATTCTGAATTCTGAAAAACTTAGCTCTTCTTATTTAGCACAACCTGTTTTACTGCAACTTAAACTAATATTAACTTTTTACATATCTTTCTTTATCTTTAAAAACGATTTGTTCCCACCATTCTGTTAAATCATTCTCGCTTTAACTTTATCTTACCCCGACATTTGTTGAAAAATCAGATCAATCACACTTTTTTGATTTGTCAAATGATACATTAATGGCAAAGTAAAATCCACAATTGTTTATTTGAATGTTTGACCTGATATCAAAGTTTTGAACAGTCTTTTTAATCCCTCCTATAAACGCCAGCAGACTAAGCTAAATTGAATCGATGACAATCGAATTATCATTTCCATTCTATTAATCTTCTTTCAACACAGTAAAGAATGGCTTTTTAGAAAGGGGGGGGGGATGTTCCATTTGACTAATTAATCAAACAATCAAAGTGTATAATACACTTGAATCTCTTTAGATCGGACCGTTAAAAGGGTTGAAAAAATGTTCTGACTTAGTTAAAGTCTGCCTTATCCGGGGAACGACTTTTGACTTGAATAAGGTAGGCAAATTAAATGGAAAATCGCAAGACAGTCCAACTTAGTGAAAGTTTGATTACTCTTTTGATATTTTGTCTACCTATGTCCATCTTTCTATATAATCAATTTTGTTGCGAAACATTTCAGGCCTGTTTTGTCTTTTTTTAGAGCGCAGTGTACCACCATCACCATGCTGTGATAAACAGAATACATTCATTGCTGACAAAGCCAACATTAGTACACATTGTCGTAATTTGTCCATACTCAATAAATCCGGAATCACAGATTACACTCAACGATCGTACGCTGACGAGAAATCCATGATCATTGCATTCCAGTCATTTGTTCGATTTCATGACCCGGATATGCTCATTGGCTACGAGATCCAAATGTTGTCTTGGGGCTACTTGATTGACAGAGCAAAAGAACTGGACATCCTGCTCTGTCCCCAATTATCAAGAATCCCAGGCGTCGAAGCAAGCACAACTACTCATAAAGCTGGCGAAATAGATGAGTTGTACGGGCATGCAAACGATGTGAAAATCAGTGGAAGAATTCTGTTGAATGTTTGGAGAATAATGCGCAGTGAAGTAAGTATCAGGTTTGTTTGTATTGCTATCCTTGTTTTTGTTGCTATAGCTGATAAACTTTTGTCTATTGACCACTTTGATTCTATATATTGTATGTATTGTCATTTCACAAAGTCTCAATGAGCTTCGATTTTGTCTGTCAAAGTTTTCCTTTCAATTCATAACTTTGTACATGCCTCTTCTTTCCGCAGCAGTTATTGCTGAAACCGCTAATCAACGTCACATTTTGATTTTCACTTTTCAAAACTAATCTGTTGCAGCATTTGGATTACAGTCTTTCTAATACTCTTTCGAAATCACTTTCCCAGGTAACACTGCGCGTATACTCTTTCGAGAGTGTAGCCTTCCATGTTCTTCACAGACGACTGCCAAAGTATTCTTTTCGTACTCTTTCATCGTGGTGGAGTCACCAAACATCTTTGCACCGGCGAAAAGTTGTCGAATATTACATCACTCGATGCCGGGCTAATGTTGAAATGCTCGTGAGAACAGACTTCATTAGTCGAACAAGTGAACTCGCAAGACTATTTGGAATTCTGTTTTACTCAGTCATTTCCCGTGGATCTCAGGTAAGGAGAAATCTTCACTGAATCCTATAAAAATATAACTCAGGATTTTGTCAGGTTAAATAGTTGTTTCTGCTTTATGCAACCTTTTATTGACCTCAAAGACATTTCCGCACCCTTTTCATTTGGTACCCAAGAAAAATGCACCTTTCTTTACCCTGACATCTAAGAACATATACATTCCTGTTTCCCTCGGCACCCCAGTGTTTCTCTTTCCCCATTCATAATCTTCCGTACACTAGTGATGTGTGCTTATTTTAAAACTTTTTATTTTGAACGAACGAATTCATCTTTTCCATTTTTATCCATTTTTTTCTTGTTACTGGACGATGTTTCTTTTCTTTACAATCAAACTGCATTCACACACTCTCTCACATTTTCAAAGTTCTACTTTTTGCCAATTCCCGTGAAATGATTCACTTATTTTCCATCTAAATTTTCTGCAGCATTTCAGTCGTATTGCTCACTGTGTTTAGCTATTATGAGTATTCGTTATGCTTTATGAGTGGTTAGCTATTCAAAGCACGTCAGTGTTTGCTGTTATCTAGTTTTCTATGCAAACTATTTCAATTTTCTTTTTTTTATATTCCATATACTGTTTTCCAAATTTGCTTCTTGTTTTTATTCCATAAACAGCAATCAAATCTAGGAACGGGCTTATTTCCTAATCTACTACTCCATTTTTGTTTCACAGTTTCGCGTTGAAAGCATGATGCTCCGCATCGCAAAGCCAATGGGATTCATCCCGGTTTCACCCAGTGTTCGCCAGCGTGCGCAGTGAGTTATTCATTTTCCATTTGCTTTTGCTATTTTTTCTTGCTTGAAAAGTTTACATGAGAATTAGTGTACAGCAGTGTATTTGTTTTTGATGTCTTGTTTGTTTGTAACCTTATTTTAATTCGATATTTTTCTAGCTTTACATATATATATATATGGATATATACATACAACTAATCTAAATCGAATCTACTGCATAACAAAAGAAGAGGATATAACTAAGGAAATAAATACGTACATACATAAGCTAAATATATGAAGCAACTTGGATATGAATGGACAAATATTACAGGATATTGATATCATTATATTTACAAACATTGCATTTGCAGCTAGGACCTTCCCATCGTTTTATTATACGTTTGAAGCTGTTAAGATTGTCAGCTGATTTTAGTTCATTTGGCAGACAGTTCCAGATCTGAGGTCCTATGGCTTTAAGGCTCTTGGAACCGAAAGTTACTTGGTTTGGTCGAAAATGATTTAAGTTATTAGGATTCCGAGAAGGATGTTTTAATGTTCTTGAACTAAAAATGCTATGCATAAAAGGTGGATTCAAATTTCTAATTGTCTTGAATATTTCGATACAGAGGGTTCTCTGACGAGCAACTTGCATTGTACACTTTTTTGACCTAGTAAGAAGATCATCATAGGAACTTTTATGATCATTGTACAAAAATCTTAGCGCGCGTTCCTGTATCCTTTCAATTTTCTGAAGTGATTTTGAAGATGAAAAATACCAAACGAAAGGACAATAGTTAAAATTCGAGTACACAAAACTTTGAACCAGAACTTATTTTTCAGCGAAACCAATAAATGACTTGAGTCGCTTAAGAACGTTCAGTTGTGCCGCAGCTTTTTTACAAAGGTTTGATATATGTAGGTCAAAGTTCAGTTTGTAATCTAGTGTTACACCTAGGAGTTTGACAGTCTCTTCAGATTTGATAGAATGTCCTTGAAAATCAAGATTTATGCCAGAAGTATTTGTCTGGTCCTTTTTAACAAAAAGTGCATGGAATTTGTTCGGGTTCGCAATCATTTCATTTCGTTCGAGCCATGACAAAGCGCTGTTGGCTTCATTTTCCAAAACCCTCATACAATTTCTTGGAAGGAACTGTAGACGTTATTTATTCGGACACTGCTTCCGTTTTTTAAGATAGGAATAGACAAGAACCAGGGCATTTTCTTCAAAACCATATGCATGAAGTTTAGCTATAATCAAATCATGCGGGATGCAATCAAAAGCTTTTGACAGGTCCATCAAAACGGACCCTACAATAAAATTGTTGTCAAGCTTAGATTTCCACTCTTCTACAAGTTTAATCAAAACATGCTGCGTACTGTAAGCTGTTCTATAAGCTGCAATAAAAATTGAAAGAGTCTTTTCAAGGAAAGGACTGAGCTGTTCCTTTAGAATTTTCTCAAAAATTTTGGAAAAAGTGTTGAGTATACTGACTTGACGATAATTCCACAGTACGAACGGGCTCACCTTTGTCTAAGGGGCAAACTGCAGCAGTTTTTGCATTCTGGGGAAATATGAAATTTCGAATGCTGCAATTGATGGCTTTAGTAAGAGGCACAGTCAAAATGTCAATGTCTTTTTAAAAAGTCCAGTCTACACATACATGGAAGTGCCAAAATAATTTCTCAAGTTCTTTATCCTGCCTGCAGCTACTCAAAACAATTTGAACTTGTCAATATATATGATATTATGACATTAAAGCTTTCGAAAAGCCAGGCTTTGCCTATTCGGACTTGTACATAGAATAGGGTGGAAACTTTGCCTCCCTATTGTACAGAGTTGAAACTGTCGACTTATGTATGTATTGCGCTTCTGTTGCCCAGACATTCTCTCTAAAAATCAGTAGAAGGTGACAAGAAAACAATAGGCAGCTAAAAATGGAGTCGTATTTTGAGGAAACAATAGCTAGAATAAACTAAGACACCTGAAAAATGCAATATTTCCATATTCATTTTATTTTGGTTGTTTTAAGGGACCCTCTTCATAGACCCAGACAAGCCTGCCTTAAAGACCCTTTGCTCCCCATGATCCTTTGCAAGCGCTTAAAAGATCAAAATGTAAACAAAAACAACTATCATCCTTTACGTGCTAAAACTGAGTGTCAACATGATCACCAACTTCTCTTGTTCCCCTTATTCACGAGGACACTGAAGTCGTGGAAGGCACGGTTGTTTTGCATTGACAGAAAATATGTTCATTTTGACGTGAGCTGTTACAAAACAGACGAATTATGATAATGATTTGGATATCAGCTTTCGTTTTATCATACTGATTTGCGATCAATTATTTTATCATTAATTTAAAAATTATTTTATCTAACATCTAACATCTAACATCTAACAGACTATCTAGATAAAAATGAAAAAACCGGTCTTGTGTAAGCAGATGGAGCTCGTTTTCACCCTTGAACTGCATTAGTAATATTTTCTTTAGGCAAGCAACATTGATTGGGCAAAACTTGACAGTCATGTGCTCGCGTTTTTATTCGGCCTATTTCGAGCCAAATAACAGTAATGATATTTCCTAACTTACCTTTTTGATCTATGTTCTGACTTATAATGCTCTGAAGTGTGGCAGAAGAGCTTTTAATTTCTATCTTGCCAAATTTCAACATGTGGTCGTGGCTAATGAACCTTTGATCTCTCTCTACAAATATCAATGTTGACCAATATTCTTTCGATGCTTATGCTTTTTCTTTGCCTGTATGATAATTAAATGTTTACCGCCTTTTCTAGAATGGCTGCCCCCGAAGTTATTCCTCTCGTGATGGAGCCCGAGTCTCGTTTCTACACTGACCCCGTTTTGGTTCTTGATTTCCAGTCTCTTTATCCATCTATCATAATTGCCTACAATTACTGTTTTTCTACATGCCTTGGACGCGTCTCTCAGTGGAGCGAGTATGTCATCTTCTGTCAGTAAACCTTCTTCTGTAATCATCGTTCGGTTATCTATATTACAAGAGTTGCCAACATTTTTCAATACCTGTCCCCAACAACATTCTTCTTAAATGTCTCATGTTTTGTATCTTATGTCTAATGTCTTATGGCTTATGTCTTATGTCTTATGTCTTATATCTTATGTCTTATGTCTTATGTCTTATGTCTTATGTCAAGCTGAAAGTTACTTTATAACAAAAGCAAATTCTGCCAAAGAACAGAAGATCATCTTGATGAGGTATCGATGAGGTTAATATAATAACCTAATCTTTATGGTATAAGAAAACCTTCAACCTTATCCGCAAAAACCATTGTTGTCAAAAATACAGGCAGGTCCATATTTTTTAATTTTCCCTCAAATGCCTCATGAATACCTCAAACAAACAAGAAAGCGTACCTTTATTTCTGGTTAAAATTTTTATTTCCTTCAGTGTCTCTAAATTTTTTTCCTGCTTTCATTTTCGACAATTTGGTTCCATTTATTGTACAAAGAAATTTTCTTAAATGAGTTTAAATTATATTTTCAACTCTGATCTCTACTTGAAATAATTTTTTTCTCGAATTTTTAGACCTGGAGCTTTCAAGTTTGGTACAACATCTCTATCGTTACCAACTTCTGTACTGCAGGTAACTTTCATCATAATATAATTGATCTTATATTATTCCAGGGCCGTAGTTACGATTTGTCTTGAGGAGAGAGGGGTTATGCTCCCTTAAAAATAATAGAGAATCCTCTGTATCCACTGAAAAATCCTTTTTTCCTATTTTTCTCAAGTGCTGTTGCTCTCGGTCGTTCCTACCGTACTGTTCATTGTATATCATTTGGGTGATTGATCTGCTTAATCGACATTTTCTCTTGCTCCATATTGTGAATGTTTCATGTTTTGATGGAGTAACCTGTACTGCTAATACGTACTAATATACACACCGGCCTCCTTCAGATTTACTTTTTTTCTCGAGCATTCCTAGAAAAACCAGTCTCGTTAATATCTCCAGCAAAATCACCTTCTTTGTAAGAGCTCCTCAGATTTTTGAATCCTTTTATAAGCAATTGATCATATGTCCTACGAGACTCAAACATGCATACATGTCAATTTCTTGTGGCGCTGGACCATTTTCTTCCCTTTTCTGGCAAAATTTTTAAAAGTTGCTATATCTCAATCGCATTTCTTAATCAGAACGTGTTTTAAAATTTCAAAATTGTCGAAATCATTTTTGCTAAAAAGCAATTTATCTTTTTTCAGCGAATCAAAGATGACATCCATGTATCTCCAAACGGTGTTGGCTTTGTCAAATCAAACATCAGGAAAGGAATCCTTCCGCGGTTTGTGATCTTTATGATCCTCATTGTGATTTTTGATATGAATTCACGATGCATAGATTCATTTCAAATAAAAATGATCAAACGATCGAAAGATTTTTCATACCAATCCTATCAGTCAGCGAAGAAACTTTCTAATAGGAACCAAGATCCAACACTTGTGTATGAAAGGTCGCTTTCTGATAATAAATCTAAATTTTTGTAGCATGAGGTAACTCTTATGGGTCATTCTATTGAGCCATCCCTATAAGACGGGAACTGCACCTGTTATTTCATTAGTCAAATGAATTTGGGCTTGTATAGGTACTATGCACAAAATCCTGAAATGAATCTGAATAACTGAATCTGAATAACTGAAATGAATCCAACGACTATCATTGTAAGGGTAAAAATTCTTTTAGAGGCATTCATGGATGCGTGAAACTTCAATCCATACTTTTCTGTCGGCAGTTTGGCACTTCTTTTGTCGGAAGTTACCTATACTATAAACCTAGGCACTTTGAAGTCTTGTCTCCAAACCCACCTTTGATAACATTCTATTTTTTGTGAACTGCTTATCCACCAAAATATGTTACATTTAGACCCGATAGAGAGAATGGTCAAAATGGCATCAATTGCCCATTTGCAGTTTAATATAGTGCGTCGTAGTCACTATGTGGTCCTGTAATCCTGTTGTCATTGTCAGCTAACCACATTTCTCAAATACCGTAAATTCTCGAATTGCCCCCCCCCTCCTCGAAAAAGCCCCCCCCCTCGAATAAGCCCTCATCCAAAAATATAAAAAATAACTAATCCCCCAGGGGGCTAATTCGAAGATTTACGGTACAATATAGTTGAGGTTATGTATTTCAGTTTTCTCAGAGAATTTTTCCGTAACACTTGAATTTTATATCTCATTTCAACAAATATATTTGTGGTCGTAGGATGTTGGATGACATACTAAAGACAAGAATAATGGTGAAAAACTCGATGAAAAAAAATAAAAACAACAAGGTGGATAGATTTTATTTATGACTTTAATTTTTTCTCATTTTTTTTATTGCCTTCTGTGTTTCTTTACTCTACTAGATATTGTTTCACAGCTATTTCATTTAAGTTTTATTTGAATATTTCTAAGTCTATCGTAGATTCAAATTATTTCAATATAAGAGCAAATGATTTAGCTTGTTTGTTTATTTATCTTTTTTATTGTTTATTGATTGATTGGTTTATTCATTTTACTAATTCATCTATTTTAGCTATTTATTCATTTATTTACTTTACTTATTTTTTATTCGTTCTATTTATTTCTTTATTCTATTCATTTCTTTATTTATTCATTATTCGTTCAGACAAAATGGCAATAAACATATCATACCTTATTATTGTTATAATCTCAATTAATCAAATACACCCATGTCACTGTTTCATTGAAATCTTTTTGCATTCTAAACCCAAAACTTCCTTGAAATACATTTTCACATAAAATACCAGAGTGTACTGCTTAATAATATTTTATGATTAATGTGCTTTTTTCCGAAGGCTCTGCACAGAATGCTGGATGCTCGACAGCTCGGTCTGAAGCTTATAGCAAACGTAACCTACGGATATACCTCTGCCAATTTCTCAGGGCGTATGCCGTGCGTGGAGGTATTTCAAGTTTCATGGTACTTTTATTCATTTGGTATTCCTCAAACTATTTCACTCAGGTATTATTTCGTAAGCAGGACACTTGAGAAATACAGCATGCCTGTTGTTTCCAGGCTCATGTTGATCATTTTCTAATTTTTACAATAACCAGATTTAAGCTTCAACATTTTCTTTAAATTTAACCATTATACATCCATATTATACTAAGTTATTTTTGATATATTGACTATAAACTATTGTTATAAGTATATATTTGTGGAGCAGAGTAATTCAAGGAAAACACTTCGTATTTTCGATGCGATACGCTTAACAACCCCAAAACCTTCTTGGCCTATGCCTTGACTCGTCTAGCTTTACCTTTCCGTTCTTTGAGCATCTTATTCATGAATATTTTTGGTAAAGAATATATGATCGCAGATAACATACACTTTTGATGCCGCTTTAATGCGTCTCTGAAATTTTTATTTTTATTTTTACTGACTCTAGCTAGAATCGAAACGTCTTAATCAATAACCGATTATGTTTTACTGATTATGCCGCCTAACTGGTTGCCATGTCAAATTGAATGTCATATTTGGATTAAAGCTGGTTGCAACGATTTTTGTCGAAACATAAAGTTGTCTCTTTTTTTCGCCGTGCTGGCTGTTCTATTTCGATTTTTATGAAAAATTTCGCAAGATTTTCGGGTTTCCACAACTCGTTGATTTGGCTGAGGCTTGACCAATTACAAAACTGAAAACTTACTTATTTTTTTCTTTTTTCAAACGAAATAAAATAATAATTATTAACAGTTTATAATAATTCATTTCCATTGAATTATTACCGAATTCAATTGAATGTACTTATTAATTAGATCGCGGACAGTGTTGTTAGAAAAGGACGCGAAGCCCTTGAAACTGCAATCAATCTAATTAATTCAACAGAACGTTGGAACGCTCGTGTTGTTTATGGTGATACTGACAGGTCAGAACATTTGATTCATTTATTCAAAAGCAACTTTTAACTTGGTTCATGGTATAAAGTCTTTGTCGATAAGATTTTCACGTCAGCATTTGTTGTGGTCATATGAACATGATAAATTGTCAACTCTGAGCTTCGTGGTTTTCTGGCCAAGACAATTGTTGCACAGATTATCCATTTTAATTAGTAGGGAGGTTTTTTTTCCAGTTGCAAGATTTGTTGCTTGGATAAACTCCTGCAACCATTCATTTTTGCTGCCTAGAAAAAATTCAATACCACGATTTTTGACTATATTAACCATAAACATATTTTCCAACTAAGTGAATTTTTTTCGTAACTACAGCAACCAATTTGCCAATCAATTACACTTAAGGCATATGTGAATATTTCGTGGCATATTTTAACATAATTTTTATTGGATTAAGACATTTTATCCCTTAATCTGCATAAATTATGAAACAAGGCATGATAAAATTAAAGCGGTCAAAGATTATTTTAAAGGTGATGTGATATTCATTCATTCGTTAAGTTTAGCAAAAGCAAAAAGTCAAATATTGTTTTATGCCACTCTGATAGTTTCCTAACACTTTGCCTGTATTTTAAAATAGGTATTTATCTTTTGTTTTTAGTGTCTTCGTACTCTTGAAAGGTGCTACCAAGAAAACGGCGTTTGATATTGGAAACGAGATCGTCAACGCTGTCACAAAAATGAACCCTCAACCAATGAAATTGAAATTTGAAAAAGTAAGAAATACCTTGCTTTGTTTAGCACTCTTTTTGTTCGTCGCCTTTTCTACAAGTTGATATTTTTGCACAAAAATCAATCAGCATTTCATCTCTGGAGGGTACCTTCCGTTAATCAAGATATAAATTCCAGATCGTACGACTCTCTAATCAATTTAAAACCTTCTGCTGGCTGATGACACGTTAAAATGAAAGAATAAGAGTGTATACGAACACCCCCACCCCCTCCATTTCTGGAACATAATCTTAATGAGCTGAGAAGCATTATATTTAAAAGGATGAAACTGAATAAATCAAATCGAAAGCCCAAACGATTAAAGTTTTCAGTGTTTAACTATAAATATTTCTAAAAGCTTTCAAAGTTTTCCTTTCACCTAAGCTTTAAATGTATCCTGGGCGTTTCGTTCCGTCGTATTAACGAGACGACGAATTGAACAAAATGCTGTTTCGAATTAAAAATAATGTATTCTTGTTTCCTATGCTTATGGCTGATTTCCACGAGGCGAATTTTGCAGCGAATTCGCGGCGGACTTGCTGATGAAGGTATCAAGGCGTGCGCAGTTTTGATTTTTTATTTCGCAGCGAATTCGCAAGAAAGTAGAAAAGAGTTCTACTTTTTCGCGGCAACATATTTCGCAGCACCTATTAACCAGTCAAAGTATGGCAAATTTGCTTGATTTGTAAGAAAACAATCTTGGAATATTCGCCATGCGTGCAGTTCTGAAAATAAGCTTTAAAGTTGAGTTTTGGTAGAAATCAATATAATGTTTCGCAGCGAATTTGATGCGAAATTCGTTTCGTGGAAATCAGCCTTAATCTAGCATCTTGTTTCGAAACAAGTAAGCTCTCTCAGATTTTGCGATTTAAGCTATGCGTTGTTCAAAGGATTTCAGCTTTCATTGTTTTATACTCAAAGTAACTGTCTTTGCAGGTTTATATGCCTTGTATACTTCAAACGAAGAAACGTTATGTTGGGTACATGTACGAAACATTGGATCAGAAGGAGCCTGTTTTTGATGCAAAGGGTATCGAGACGGTCCGTAGAGACTCTTGTGCTGCTGTTTCTAAGGTGAGTTGTTGCTTTCATGTAGTCCAGGATAGTGAACGTGGAAGCCAGAAAGAACGTTCAACGAAGACAATGGTCATTTTTTCAATGTCATTATACATTGGAAGGGAGGTTCTGCTATCGGGCAGCATTTACTGGAAAACCCAGATTCTCCAAAAAACTATAACGTCAACATCGTTCCTACTACAAGCCCTATCATCGTTTCATTTAGCAGTTTTTGAATCTATCTACATAAACATGAAAAAACCGCTTTTGTGTAGAGAGAAAGAGTTCGTTTTCACGTAAGCACTCCATTGGTAACATTTTCAATAGGCAAGTGGCACGGTTTGGGCAACCTCAACAGTCATGTGCTCGTGTTTCTGATTGGCCTATTTCGATCCACAACTGGGTAGTGACGTTTTATATTTCCTAGCGTAGTGACGTTTTATGTTCTGACGTTTTATACTCTGAAGAGTGTCAGACGAAAGGTTTTAGTATGACTCAAATGTTTGCTTGTTTTTAAAGACACCACACAAAGATTGTGTAGAACTTGGAAAGAAGATTTTTGGCTAGGTGTTGGGGCGTGTGAATAGAAATACACCAAACACATTCCATTTCATTTATTGCTTCACACAAACACACCAAACTCTTCGACAGCTCATGAGCCCCCATAGCCTTTTAAAAGGAGCCATCCCTCTAAATCGAACTTGAAATGTCTTTGAATATACTTGATTTCGTCTCGTACAATTTCAGGTAATAATATTTCTAATATAATCCACCCTCATCCTATGTACAAATTCAAAATCATCGTGAAATGTTTATGTTTATTAACACAACTTTAATTAATTCTGTAGCATTTAATAAAATACTAAACATACAGTAATTTCTTATTTAACAATTTCGTATTCAAATCTTTTCAGTTTCCGGATATGTAAATCTTCCCTAAACCTTCATTAATTTCTATTAGTTCGTTGATATTACCAATTTTCTCTCTTTTAATCGATGGATTGAATATTTCAATAATGATTTTTTAAAGCCAGTACTGATTGTAACTGCAACAAGACTTTTTACGTTTTAGTTATTTTATTTGAAGTAATAGATGACCATTTTTTATTTGAAGTAAAAGATGACCATTTTTTATCTGTAACGTATTTTTATTTCCTATTCTTATATTTATGTGTATATATATATATATATATATATATATATGTCAAGGCCCTTGGGGTAGACACAGCCTTTTACTCCCAGGGGGTTTTCGTCCCAGTATTATTGTAAAGTAGTTCTTGTTAATAGTGTAGACAGTAATATGTATTGTAACTTTTTATTGGATTATATTAAAAAGATAAAAAGGAATAGATGATGCCAAGTATTGTTCTTCTTTTCGTACTTCGTGGAGTGTGAGCCTAGGAAATTATTTTAGTTAAGAGTAAAAATGGTTCTGTTTATGAAATTTTTAAAAGTTTCTGGAGTTGTTTACTGCGGTATTTAGACTGTGCGAGCATGGCTGAAAAGCACATTCTATGAGGACTGAATGAGTCTTTCATTGATCCTTAGATTCTTGAAAGATCGCTGAAAACGCTTTTCGAAACAAAGGATCTGAGTCTTGTGAAAAAGTATACCGAGCGACAATTCACTAAAATCATGGAGGGAAGAGTGTCTATTCAGGATCTGACGTTTGCCAAAGAGTATCGTGGAATGAAGAACTACAAACCAGGGGCTTGTGTCCCAGCTTTAGCTATAGCAAGGTAAGGGGCAGGCAACCATGAGGAGAAGGGGGTAGGGTAGCCTCGCGGAGAAGGGGCAGGGTAACCCCGAGGAGAAGGGGCAGGGCAACCAAGAGGAGAAGGGGCAGGGTAACCTCGAAGAGAAGGGGTAGGGCAACCCCGAGGAGAAGGGGCAGAGCAACCCCTAGGGGAGAGTAGCATTAACTCTTTCCGTGTAGAGATATCTGCCCTATTTAGTGTTGATACCTAGAATTTTCGGATTTGTGGATCTCTCAAAATACTCAGTGTGGTATATTGAAATCACACGATATCCGTGATTTGCTTGCAGACTGCCAAATAGGCTTTGAATTGCTATATTTGCATTGACTGTTTATTTGCATTGGCAAGATTCCAAATCACGGTTCATTCGTGCAACACACTCTCAGATTTTGGGCCAAACCATTTGCTCCTGATCCTCAGCATGCCCTTTCAATAATTTCCGAAGTATATTATAAAGCCAGACAATGAATCGTCTAATCCTGGCGTTTCTAAGACCATACTTTTTGGGAGTTATTGAGAATGCTATGTTGTCTTGCTTCCCCCCCCAACCCCCCCCCCCCACCAACATGTCATGTGTAACTCAATTTTCTGCCTGTTACATGTGCTGCATTGTCTCTTTAACTTTTATAGGCGATCTTGGATGCATACAAATTTATGTTTTCTACAATTTTTTCAGAAACTTCCTTTCGTTACCTGTGTTATATCGTATTATATATATTTTCATTTAGATAGAGTGAGTCTCTTTGCATCCAGGATTTCCAGAAAGAAACTTTTTGTGATATTATCAGAGCGTTACCGTGATATTACCAGAAAAAAATAACAATTTTTATTGAGCTATTGATTAGAATAAACATATTTTAAACCAAGGGTTATTTTCTACCTTTCTGGATTTTTCGAACTTGTATACTTCTCCGAAATTGTATCTGTGAATATTTTTTATTCCTTGGTAGTGCTATAATTACAACTTGGGTGCTATAATTATATGGATATTCTTCACTGCAGGCGATTGGTGGCTCATGATAATCGTGCAGAGCCTCGTACTGGTTATAGAGTACCTTACGTAATTGTTTATGGCACTCCTGGGCTACCTCTTATTCAACTTGTAAAGAGGTATGTCTCAAAATCGATAATATATTTAATGGACAAAAATAGACGAAGATTATCAATTGATTTATAAATGTAGCTAAATTTGTATCTTTTATTTGGATTTTCTAAAACGATTTTTCTAAAACAATACTGCTGGGAAATTAACTGTCTGATATGAATTCAGTGAACATCACTGAAGCAAATTATGCAAAACAACATTATTTGAAGGCGATAGAGGAGAGGCTGTTTCAGAAAATTTTCAAAATCTAGTGCAGTGTACTATGGTTGACACTATGGGTGAAGAAATGATAGGCTCAAGGGGGCTTACCTCCTTTCAAATTCTATAATGTAACCCTTGTTTTTTTGAGAATTTTTTTACAGCCTGTGATTTCATATAGTTGTTACTATACTAAACAAGTCTTTATGGGTTTTCAATGTGACTCGCAAGCACTGATTTATCTTGAAAGTTTATTTTTGTATACTTGTCGTTTCTTGCGATTATATTTCATCCATTTTGGTCGACTGTAGAATCATCCTCCAAAAATCCACAGACCTGAGCACGTTAATTAGTTTGAAAAATGTGTTCAGCCAAAAAAATCGAAGAACTCGAAAGAACGATAATTTGTTTGTTTTAAATAATGATTTGTTTTCATAAAGATAATGTTTTATGGTAACCAAATTATTTCCAAAGATACAGCTACTATAACTCTGCTTGATAAACTAATCGATATTTATAACGATGATTTCAGTGAATAATGTTTATTCATTCAGTTTATGCTATTGAATATGTAATTTAGAAACATCTTCTTTTTCTAAGTTTGTGGCCATAATCAAGGCCAATTCTGCTATTTGTTTTTCTTTATATGTTTTGAAACATAGCCAGTCATCCTTTAACGCCCCATATACCCTTGGAGATCATCCTGACAAGCGAATGTCACTCGGTTGCTTCATTCAATGTTTTTGTTCATCTTTTTGGTCCTTAATTACCCACCAATTTTGGTTTTATATTGGTCCTTAATTACCTACCAATCTTCATTGGTTTTTCTTCAGGCCTGAAGAACTATTTTCGGACCCGACCCTTCGCTTAAATGGTTCATATTACATCACCAAGCAAATTGCACCGTCATTGAATCGCGCCTTTTCTCTCATCGGAGTCGATGTTTTATCGTGGTTAGTCTATATTGTCTTCTATTTAAATTCTATTGAGACTGAATTTGCCCCGGTGTTATAGAATCTTACTAATGATGTGAGGCTTTTGTGAGGGTTTAGGAGGCAATCCAAACATGGGGTCAACGGAATTTTAAAGTCTGGGTGTGGATGGTTTCTTTTTGATAACATCTTTTATTGTTGTTTAGTTGTTTTTTATTAAATTTGTAACTGACAAAAAGATGTTGATTTACAATCCTTGGAACAGCTGTCGAGACAAACACCTTACCACAAATCCCTCATCAAAAGTTGGGTCTCGTGTCTTTTCAATATCAGGCGAATCAGCGACACCCCCATTCCAGGACTACTGTTAATCTTTAATTGTAGTTTTGTACTTTCAGTCAATGTTAACTCTTCATTATTAAGTAAAGCTCGTGATTTCTTGAAAGATGTATCTGTTTTTTAATGAAAGCTGCAATTCTGAGTTGGAATTTTCTTTTTTATCAATGTAAGCACAGCTTCTGAAAAGGGAAACTTAAGCCTAAGCACAATTCTACTTTTTTGAGTGACGCAATGTTTTCTCGTTTGCCAGAACTTATTAAAAGCCAATCATGCACCTTTCAATAGAAATGTGGAGAAAGAACGGTTTTCGCTCTCTGTTCTTTCCAGTGACGCTTGCTGTAAATTCTGCCATAGCATTTACGCTTATCATTCTTTGAAAAATTTCTCATTTCACAGCCAAGAAAGCTCTTTTCCTTTATAAATTTTTTCTTAAGCCAAGCCAATACACTGTCTACTTATTAATTCGATGTTCAGATGCACGTCTTCAAACGAAAATAAGTACAATGTCTAAAATTGCACAATTTTGACCTACCAATTAGCAATCAAGTTTCATCAATTTTTGGATTTATGTCTAGGTCACGCCGGCCCTTAAGTTATGAAAGAATCCCAGTGTAAACAAAATTTATCAAAAGGTTATGCCAATGTCTATCAAAAAAGAAAGTATCAAATAATTTTCTATTAATTAAGGTACAATGAACTGCCCAGGCCACAGCAGAGGATGATACAGAGAAGGCCCGATGACAGCTCTAAGAAGAAGGTATTTTCTATTCTTCCAGCGAACATCTTCATGTTTTTTTCATTCGCCGTTGTGTATATTGTAACCCACTCTTAATCAGTTCCCATGGCGTGCTCGTATATGGACAGGAGACAATCCAGAAGGACATTTGTAAATGGTAGTAATTCATTCTTATCTTGATGTTCATTTGATATCTTTTGAAAATATTAGTTTCAGTTGTTTAGAAAAGGTTGTTGCTCCAGTAAGATAAAACTTTGGCTGACACCAATGCTGTGCCTTAAGACAATCTCCCTAATCACTTGAACCCCTTGTGACAGTAGGTAGGGTTTCTTTTTCTTCTCTATACTTCTTCTCCTGTCACACTTGTGTCACTCCAGTGACGTTATCACGAATTCACCCCCTCCTTATGTTCTCAGATTGTCAGATACCTAAATATATCTACAGGAATCATTAGACTAAACATCTATTTCCCATTTTTTATGCTAAAATCTGTCAAAAGAATTCTCTCTTTTGCAACCAACTTCCCCCCAGAAAATTCGATCACCTTGATGTCTCTTCTCGAAATATCCAATCTATATTATTCGTTGCGATGAAGTAAAATATAACAACGGTTCTCTTTTAGGGTACCATTTCACAATACTTTTCATCCGTGCACTGCCCGATCTGTGGAGAACTCACTCGCTCTAATCTGTGTGACAATTGTACATCAGATCCTCAAAGTGCTGTAACAATTCTCAGTCAAAGAATTTGGAAGCACGAAAGAAAATATGGGCGTCTTTGTGAGGTTTGTTGGGTTTTGTCTCGCTGTTGTTTATTCAAACCCTTTTAGCAAAAAGGCAGGGGCTGCTCTACGAACCTCCGTGTAGCGAAAAAAACCTGGATCTAAGAATTAATTTCCATTCTGGGAAGATGCGTATACTGAATTCTTTCGAGGTATCAAAAACAAAAAGGCATCTATTTAAGGATTTGGCGCTGTCTTTTGCCGTTACTAATGTAAAAATGCTTTTAAGTCTGTTTAATCTGCAGAATTGATGAGGTTACAGAGGTCATAGTTGATTGGGTTACTCTTTATCCTCTAAAATTAGAAGCAAAAATGCAAGGCTACTTTTTCATGTCTTAATGAGTTGGGCATTTATTTTAAAATCGGAAAGCCCAACCGAGGTACTTTCGAAAAACTGAAAATTAACAGAATGAGTTTAGAGGTCTCTCCAATTTCCACAGTGATGTCACTGTTGAATTGAGATATGTTCCATTCTTATCTATTTATAAGGCTAATAGAAAAAGTTATCTTCATTTACAAAAGTGCCCTCGTTTTTGGTCTAAATGCTTGAACCAATGTCCTTCTAAACAGATTTTCCCATGGCAGATATTATATTGAAAAATAACGATCAACCTAATTTTACCACCACATTGGTGGTTTATGGCTTTCTTAAAGTATTTGTTAGCATAATAAAAAATTTAAAATATTTTCGCTTCTGATTGCAAAACGAGCTAATTCTATTTGCCAATCAATAAAATATTCGCACCTCGACAATCCATTTGCTACATTTTGCCACCATATTTCATCCTTGACCACATGCCCCTGATAGTATATCTCCTAACCGTTTTAGCGAAAGTTCCAATGCATTTTTGCGTGTCCTTTAAATTGCGGCTTGCTTGACTAACCATAATTCAGGAGCCTTTTACCCAATAAAATATTTCTGCAGTGTTTCAAGGGCAAAGTAAAAATTTGAATTTGAAGGACGGGACAGGGACGTAGGATGCAAAACAAAGGTAGAGGAATGCAGGTAGAAAAGGGCAACATGTGGCAGAAAAAATGAAATTTTTTACAATGGTTACTTTTTACAAAAGTGCATTTTCTCAAAGGTTTTGGCATGGTCTCATTTGTTCCAATGCCCCATAAGCTGGGATATGTGCTTCCTTCTAAATTGCCTATTGAGATTTGTAGTAAGGGAAGGTATCTCTAGCTCCTGAACGTATCCTTCCATTGATATGTTGTGGGTTTATATTTTCAACTTCTCGAAACCAAGAGAACGCCAACAATAGGCTCTTGTTTTTTATCTTCATGTATTGAATTGCATTACTTTAAAAAAGTTCTTAAGTAATTCTTGTTTTAAGATCTTTGAATTCCTCGGTAGATATGCTGCCATTGCACCGGATCGCAGGACCAGGGGTCAAAATGTATTTCCCAAGACTGTCCCGTGCTCCATAAACTGTACCACGTAAAAACTGATATTGGATTGGTTTCCAATTACAGAGCAATAGTGGATGCAATTACATAGATGAGCTGGATTCCATTTTGGTTTCTTGGTTAAAGCTTTAACTTAAATCCATCAGTGTCATATTTATCAAGGCTGATTGAAGGGATTTCCTCACATTGTCAGCCCTTTGACCATTCATTTATGTAAATTCCATTTCTTGTTTCCGTAATAAGTTATTATTTTGAGATATGAATATTAAATGGCCTGTGCTACCCATGACCACTTAGTTTTGGTATCATGCGAGTCCGAAGCAAATCAATGTCGTAAGCAAATTAAAAAGATAGCGCCTCACGACATGTCGTAACGGCATCCAGCATAAGTTACGAGAAGATACAAGGAGTTACAAGGAGTTTCGAGTAATGCTTAAACAAAATTTCGTATCAAATGGGCGCTATATCGATATAATAGATGTCGTTCCAACTAAGTTTTCTGGATAACAGCGGGGAATTTGCGAATAACTTAGTGTACACGAATACGTTTTCAAATGAAAACACGTCAAGTCAAGTTTTTATGGGTTTTTAGGAATCGCACTAATTTGAAAAAGTGTTTTCCAGAGTGAAACTCCATCGTTGCTGTGCAGATGTATTACTTTTGATCTATTTCATTTGAATATAAACTTGGTCTACGGAAGACGTATCCGTGTAGACTTGACCTGAATATCGAATTTATGACTTCTGAAAAGTAGCTTCAGTATGTATTTACTTCATTTTGTATTCACGATCCTATCAGCGTTGGACCTTGACCCTTAAAATCAACGTGAACATGGCCTTCCAACAACGGCTCTTTCAATCTATTTTTCACTTCTAATAAGACAAGAATTGTTTTGATCATTACCTATAACCTAGACACAGCCCAGAGTTTCGTAATAGCCATTGGATGTTGTTGTTACTGGTTTTCGTTGTGTTTGTGCAGAAAATTGAGCAGCATATGAAATTTGAATCGGAAAAATATAACTGGAAGTGGAAGAAATTAAAAAAGAATGACACCAAGCTGTAAAATATATTTTATTCACTGCGGAGTCTTGTTGTTAATCATCCGGGTAGGCTAGGCAACCCAAGCCACGTACAGAAAGGTAGCAAATTAAAGCGGATACGTATTAATGAACAATGCAGAAATGCTTGCCCTATCGTTAATTTATGAAGTTTTCTTTAATCTAGGAAGTCGATTTTTCTTTTTTGTTAAAATAGTTCCAGCAAGGAGTCATTTCTATATTGTCTCTATATTTGGCTTGGCTAGGGAGAAACACGATTGAAAGTCTTCTTATGTGTGAGTCAACCCCCTGTTGGAGGTCAAAGAGCATGCGTAATAATTATCGAGTTCCGTACGCATGCTTCATGAATCAAAGACGGGGGTTGCTACATTATGGTGGGCAACCTAATTTTATCCTTCCCGTTGATTGGTTTATGTTTACAAAGTCGACTATGACATTTATGAATCAACCAATGCGTTGTTGCTGTTGTGAATTGAGAACCCGTAGTAAGATATACAGTACTCTCGTTAAGTGGGACACTCAAGGGACCGAGCAAAAGTGTACTACTTAGCGGGCGTTCTACTTATCCGGTGTCTCTATTAAACAAAGTTTTTATGCTTGAGAAGGGTAAGCAAGTTTAAGGGACGGGGAAAATCTGTATTACATAGCGGGCGTCCTACTTATCCGGGGTCCCACTTAACGAGAGTGTACATCGCTTATTTTCCACGATTAATCACAGAATAAGATTATTCTGTGTCGCAATTACGAAAGTAGCTTTATTGTCTGTTTGCATAGCAAAATATTACACGTAATTATGGTATATTCTATTTTATATGACGCAAGGGGAGTTCTAAACTATCATATTTATTTTGCAAATATTGCAAATTTTTCAATACTATGAATACAAAGTTGTTGAGTGCATAAATTGTAGTGCTTTTGAGGTTTTCTAATTCGAAACCAACGTGTGTATTGTTATCCTGACTTGCTGGTGTTCAAATGTTCTCATAGAGATCGCATTTATTAATTTCAAATTTGATTTGAAATTAACTTGATTTGGCTGGTCGGATTTAGATCCACACCGCCTAGGTCCGAGGCGTACCGCCATATTTAATAACTTATTCAAAAGGGTGACAAGGTTGATGGCCTATTTCTGTGTTTCCAATCAGCAATCTAACTTTGATCAGCCTATGTCTCTATCATCATGCATCTGGACCAAAGAGACTTTGTTTTCCTATTTTTTGTTATTTGCAAGCTTTTGAGGCTAAGAGATCTCCACATCTCCAAACAGATAGCCTCGATCAATTTCGTACTTTTCTATTAAAACTCGTTTTCTCTCTAGCTCTGAAGAATACTTTAAAGCTTAAATTGAGTACCATTAAATATTAAGGCATACCCTCTTTAAAACTGAGAACAACAAAATTTTGTAAAATCCAAGAACATGATTGCCCTATTGGCCTAGAACTTACGACACAGGGGATAAAAACATACTTCCCACATCTAGATACAGCATGAAAACGAAAGTGAATCTCTTGACGTGATAAAAAAAGGTCACGAACATTTCATAACATCATTTATGAAATCATAATTAAGAAACTCTTAAGAAACAACGAGAATTAAAATTCCCAGAACATTAAAAAACTAGAGTACTCGAAATCGACCTTTGTTTCTCTGTGTACTCTTTTTAATTTGAACTAGAGGAGCTTTTTTACTTGTGCCTCCTGTGAAACGCACAAGGCCTAATTAACTTAACTTCCTTATTTTTAGACATCTATTGATCAAATAAAGTTTAACTACAAATTTAATGCCTCCAAAATAAGACATACGTAAGAAAAAAATCGAAATTCCCAATTTGGCTTTAATTATGGTTTAAAAACAAGGCCAAAAATATTAAAGGGCCTCTCTAGCCAAAAAAATTTTTTTTTTTTATTGACTAAAAAGTTAGCATCTGGTGCGTGTATTATAGCAAAGTCGTTGTTTTTGCAAAATTCCAATTAGTTTAGAAGTTATAAGGCTTTAAAGTTGCACCTTTCCGAGAAAAAAACGACAAAAGCCAAAAGTTCGATATATGTAAAAGTACCATGTTTATCAAGAAGTAGCATGATGTCTTCACTCGCGTTTTTTATAGAGGACTCGGAGTTTATGTGATGGATTCCATCATTGATGTGACATTTGACTGCCAATGCATGGAACCGGTGTATTAATTCTTGATTGTTGCCGTAAAGATATTCAAAATTGAAAAAGTCCTGAGGGATTTTGTCTTTTTTTAGCATAAGTTCTTAAACTTTTTTGGGCTTCTACATGTAGGTTGTTCCTTATGTAGAAATTGTGTGTACCCACCATGACCGTTTCTATAAGGGAAGTGAGAATGCTACACACCCTTGAAATAGTTTCCTTTGTGAAAAAAATGAGTTTTTGTCATCTGAGATGCTTATTAGGCAAATTCTCTAACTTGATGACAACTTAAGCATGGCAAGTTCACTTTGTTGGTAAATGGGACCTAGGCTCCCCTTTTGAGCACAATTGCTAACGACGGGCCTGGTACTCATCCACCACTGCAAGCTTCCTAGTATCTTTCTTTGGAAGCAAATTGTTTTTGATGCACATATGTTATGCGAATTGCAATGTAAACGAGCAGATGCTGGCTGTGAGTTGCCTGCCTGAAGAGCCTGAAGCACATATGCGCGAAGCACAGCACTTCAGAAAATCAACATCTTGCAGATTCGACTTTATCGATCCCTTGTGTATATATCGATCACTTTGCTCTCTTATCCAAAAGCAACGAATGGGATGGTTTCAACCCAGGACTGTTTCTATTTTTATTTGACAGTACAATACTTCCTATTCTAAATTATGCCACTGACGTATGGGGATTTGGTACATGGGAATGCCTGGAAAAAATTCATCTTATGGCTTGCAAGTCAACCCTAGGTGTTAAAGGATCTACAACGTCTCTTGGGGTTTATGCGGAGTTGGGACGTTGTTCGTTGCTTGAACATAGACACATTAATATCTTAAAATTTTATATTCGTTTAATAAATCTTGATTCCTCCAGATATGCATACAGAGCTCTTCAAATGTTAATTAATGATGCAGATTCCGGTGTTTCTAATTGGGTCAGTATTGCCCGTTCCCTGATGACCCTTTACAGAATACATACAACCGATAACTCCACTATCGTGAAATCAAAAGTGTCTTCCCATTTTAGGTCAAAAATTATGGAAAATTTAAAAGAACAAGCTATTCTCAATAAAAAGCTTTGTACATACGCATCTTTCAAAACTGTTTATAAGTTTGAGCATTACTTAGACTTGATACCTAGCAAAAAGAAAAGATCCAACTTTGCAAAACTACGTCTTAGTGCCCACAACCTCAGGATTGAAACAGGTAGATACGGGAAGAATCCTATTCCTAGGATTGATAGAAAATGTCCGTATTGTCAATCTTTTAATAAAACTGCTGTGGAGGACGAAATTCATTTTTTATTAGTTTGTCCCCTTTACGAGACTGCTAGGAATTCTATGTTATCTATGATTTATTCAAAATTTCCCAGAATATCATCCCTTGACCTTTGTGATAAGTTTATTTGGTTGATGAGTCAAGAAGATACGGATTGTCTGATATCGATAGCCAATTTTATTTTATATCGCTGGCTTTTGAGTCACGGGAATCTTTTGGGAAGTCCTCTACATGCATATCCTCGTAACGTAAACTTTCCAGCTCGTCATCATCTTTTTATCTGTTTATCTTTGTATTAGCTGTTTGCTGTTTTCTGAGATTTATTGTTAATTTGTAATTATGTTAACTTGTAAGTATAGTAATTCTGTTTGCTGTTTTCTGAGATTCATTGTTAATTTGTACTTATGTTCTGAGATTTATTATTAATTTGTAATTATGTCAACTTGTATGTATGGTAATTGTGTTGGCGATGGGCCATTTCGGCCTACAAGCCTTATATATAAAAGTATATTGAATGCTTCGATAAAACCAGAGATTTGTGAAGCTATACTGAATACGCTATATGTAATCTCTATCAATAGAAGTGGCCTTTACTAAATCTTTTGAAGAAATTATAGTGATTTTTTGGGGATTCAAACAGGATGCGGTGCCAATTAGGGGTTGTGTGGTATTTGGTTGGTAACACAGATCAGTGTTCCACAATGAACGAATTCAAATTTTACATGGACTCTTGCGGAGGAGGACCGTGATAACTCCATAAACAACATGAGGATTTGATTGTTCGATTATCAAGTTACCAAAATCGCAGGTGGAGTGTCTTGGTGTTCAAACACACTTGAAAATTTATTCGTGATTCGAGCAGCGCCTTACACGCCACATATGATTGCCAGATTTATATAATGTAGCCACTGAGAGCGTTCCTTTTCATGTGAGTATTGCAAATTCGTTATTTCGATTGTTTTCATGCGCCATCTTCGACCTCGCTAAAATCGGTTGTTAGCCTGTATTGACACGACTTGCTTAGAAATTGGCTCTGTAAATAAATGAAAGATCATTCTAATTACGGTTCAAATTGCACAGAATATTTCATAAACGATATTTCATTCTGCAAACATTGTGGGTTCTTATTGAGTTCCATGACTGCGAAGGAAAGGATGCATTGAACGGTAGATATTGGGCTCTTGAAGTTGAACGTTACTTACAGGATCCCATGTGGACGTACTTGCATTGTACAATATCAACATTTATTTTTTCGATTACCGTTCGTAATTTGAAGTTTGAATTATTCAGATAACTTTAGGCTATATTTTTCATATGCATCTGGACGCAGTCTGGCCTTCACACCTTTATCGGGCTATCCTTTTATTACCAACACAGAAAAAACTCATCATATAAGGCGCACGAATTGAGGCCAATAAAATAATTGGAAACGAAAACTGAAAGTTCTATTGTGCCATAACTTGGTATCACGTATTACTATTTTTAACATTTTATTTGTTTATTTTAACATCAATAGGCATTGTTATAGGTATACTTATGTAAAGGCGTGATTTGAGACTATTTCAACACGAGATATCAAAATATTGAAGTTAACTTTGAGTTAATTTGATATTTTGAATTATACCGTGCTTATGTTTTACTGGACCATTTGAATTTAACGGAAATGATTCCACATGACCTGGGCAATATTGATAGTAAAATAGACATATTAAATCGAACCGACCGCTAACCAGTTCACCACAACTAAATGGTTTGCACAGAAACGATTTAATCAGTTGACAGATGTTGTTATAACACTCCGTTGCACATGCAAGATTTACAATGCTCGTTTTCAACCCCAACCGACGATGTCCAAACTTGGTTTTCAACATTAAATAGCCACTGGTTACGTAAAATTTCTTTGTAGTTTGGAAGTCGGCGATTCACTTAAGTATTAAGCCAATTTCGTACTGATAACATGACACAGAAAAAATAAGCCATCGTGTAATAGGAAAAAATTGTCCGTCTGATGATGGCTCAGATTCTTTGTTTACAAAGAATGAACCAACTTTTCTGAATAAAATAACCGAATAATCGGGTTTAAAACAGAATGGAAAGGCAGTCAAGGCTATAACTGTTTTATTCAGAACAAATCATTTGTTCACTGGAACTAATAAATTTGAATATTAGTCTTTTTATCCATATTCATTTTCTTAACATAGTTATCGCTATAAAACAGTTTCAGATTTTTTTTGCAAAACTCGAAGCTTTTTATATTTAAATTCTACTTTATAATCCAATTCATCCAGAAATTCAAGCTTATAATCCTTTTTATAAAAATTTTGAATGAAACTTTTTGTATAAAGTTTATAAGAACGTATTGCTAGATTATGCTAAGAAAATTAATTTTATACCTTTGCATTCTTGTTACACTTAGAAAAAGCTGAATTGCACTAGCAAGCAAATTTTTATTACATTTAATATGCAAAATAGATGTAACATGTATATATATATATAATATATATTTTATTCTTATTTATATATTGCATTTCCAGAAAGTATGCACTAGCCAACCAAAGACGAGGCCTAGGTTTTCAGCTCATTGATTAAAGTAGAATTTTTGTTGTCATTTGATTTTCATCATCTAAACCAAAGCCTTTCATAGCTTATTAGAAAGATTACAGATTGAAGTGGCTATTTTACCTTTGCTAGGTATTAGTATTGTTAGATGATAATATTACTAGGTATAAATATTGCTAGGTATCAATATTGTTAGGTATTAATATTTCTAGGTATTAATATTTCTAGGTATTAATATTTCTAGGTATTAATATTGCTAGGTATTAATATTGCTAGGTATTAATATTGCTAGATTTTAGTACTGATAGGTGTTAAAACAAGAACCCCTTTTTGATTGTTATATGAGCAAACAATGGTTGCTTTTGATAAAAAATAGAAATAAAAGGTTCAGAAGATACATCAATTATTAATAAATAATGCTAATACGAAAAAATATATATTTGACTTGAACCATCTTTTTTATTTAAAGTTAAATTTAGCTTTGTCATATTGAATATAATTAAATAACAACAACAGATCCAGACTACTATTATATCACCCTGTTCCAATGTTTGTATTTAAACAATTGGATCCAGATTACTATTATATGACCCTGTTCCAATGTTTGTATTTCAACAATTGGAAAATAATGAAATCAGGTGTTCATTCATTGAGCAGACGACTTGGTAGTTGACACAAGTCTAGAGTCTTCTTCAGTGATTGTGCTGGTTGGTTTCATTTAATTTTCTCTGATTCTTGCATCAGCACCATCTTGTAATTTAATTGCCTTTTATTTAAAACATTTATATGTCATCAAGCTAAAGTACCATGGAAGATTTTAAGAATTTGTCAATGTTTCAACATAATTCTAAAGCATTTAAAATCTTTTTTGAAACTTATATTCACATGAACACACCAATCTTATGACCCATGGTGGCCTAGTAATTATCAGAGTTGAATTGAAAGCTGATTGATTTTATTTCATATTCATCAGTATGTAAGTAATTTACCCTCTGTTGTCACAAATACCCAGCTGTGTTAAAACAAATACAGTATTGATCAGTGTTTACAGGATGTAGGAGTCATGCTGAGCACATGTATGTATAGAGCTCAATCTTTATCAATAAGTAATCTTTCTTATCAAAGCCATGGTTTTATCATGTGGGGTTGTGGGGATGAAATCATTGAGCAAAGATTAATTTAAACAAATTGAAGTGATTGGGTATGCAAACAAAAATATGTCAGGATTACTTAACAAACCTGTATGGTTTGCAGGTTTTACTTATAGGATCTTATGAGATTGCAGGTTGACCTATTCATAGCAAAATGGATATTGAAATTCAAGATTGAAGATCAGTCAGAAATTTTGTATTATGCTGTAAAATTTCTAATGTTTGATTCAGGCAAATGGCAGCTTTTAGGCTCACAGTGTTAATCTAGAAGTTAATTCAGGAATGTCTTCTGTTGAATTTTTCTTCATGCCCAGATTAAACAGCAGATCTTCGTTTTTTCTATAAGAATCACAATGCCTTTTTCCATTTATCAGATTTCTTGATTTTCTGTGACAACGTTTTCTAGTTATTATCTTTTGTAATTATCTTCTTTTCCAATTCTTTCGAAACATTCTTTATTAGTAATTAGCTGTTAGTCATGTTTCAGTGACTGAAAGAAAGGCACAAATCTTGAAAGCAACCATTCTTTCTGAAAATAATTCCTTTCTGTAGGTTCCATATATACATCTAATTTGTCAATTAAGTCAAGTCAAAAAGCCTGGATCCTAAATAAGAAGCATTTTCGTTCTTAGTTCATTTTTCTCTTGGAACAAAGTAAAATGATCTTGAAATCTCATTTTGATTTTTCTTCAAGACATAATACAATTTTTGTTGGAAATTCAATCATTAGATTAAGTATCTGGGGAAGGATACCAGTTTTTTAGTTTTTAGAAACTTCAATTCTCTGTTGTGGAACATCATATTACATTTAATGATATGGAGTTGACTAAAGATTGGCTAAAATCTCATCTGATTATCAAACAGGTGTGATCAAACAAATATATACCAATAGAACAATCTCCAAGTAATGGATTTTTTTTACTAACCTGATTTTTGATTGTCAAAAGATTTGTGTTGGGGCACGAAACAATGATTTTTCTTGATTTCATGTTTAATAACACCTCTTTGGATACTTTTGAAGTCATTTGATGCCAATATCCATGGGTTGATTAATGAAAAGTTACTGTTTACTGGTCTGTCATAAAGTGATCTTGGTTTTATAGGCAGAGCTATACAGGCTTTTGGTGAATCAAACAGGACAGTTCTAAGTTGCTACTTTGAGTTTCATGTTTAACAAGATCATCAGGCAACTGCTGAATAAATGTCAGATTTATTTTTCAAGAGCAGATGTTTTAGTTATCTGGTTTCTAAATCAATAGTGATTTTTCCTTAAGTATTTGATTTGTTGAGAGGAAGTTTGTTCTAGAACCTTGGTACTGATTGCATAGAAAATTCGAGAAGCCGTTATTGACTGATTAAGCCCAGTTTGATACAAGGAATCTTTTCTGCTGTTTAAGGAGATGATTCAAAATGTTGTATGAATTAATAAAAGTACATTGTCACTTCTCCTTCTTTGCATTACCATAGTTTTTGTGATATAATCTCTAAATTTAGCACATTTGACTCAGGGACATCGAAACAAGGGGTCGCTAGGGGCACATGTCATCAGAACAAGGGTTTGCCAGGGTTTATTATGAAATAGAACTGCAATTTGTAGTTTGTATAATTTTTCTCACACTTTCATGTCATGTACTCTAGTTCCGTATTCAATACAAAGGTTTAAATTATCGAGACAGACCAAGGATAATAATGAGCCAAAATCACATATTTCTTGTAAAAGGAAACGTTATGAGTACTTTCAGTGGACGAGATGTAACAGGAAGCGGAGACAACTTTCTTATCATTGCTTATTATAAGCCAGAACGACTTTTTTGAAAATCGTCAACCCGCCTTCCTCGACTATAATATCGATAATTTCGCCACTCTTTACCTCTAATTGCGTGCAGTTGAACGCCATAGGCGAGTTAATGACTCTTTATTAAATGCATTCTGTAGTTAAGGTTAATATATCCTATTTTGCTAAGTCAAATCTCAGAATTTAGCCTGTTAAATTTTCTTTGACTCCATCACAAACTGTAAAAGCCAGACCGAATACAACGGAATCAATTTGCAAGTGAGTCGTGACATGGAACTTTTCACAAGTTCCTCAAACGCTAAATTTATAATAGACTTATGTCCATCCTCGTAAATTACACATTTAATTCATTATACTCAATCTTTAAGTGCCCCTTTCATGTCGCTCTGAGTAAATAGGTTTCTTTCGTATTTTAATTTCGTGTTGCTTGTGTCTGTTTGTCCAGTGGCAAGTCTGACCTTTTGTTTCGCCAGAGCATTTAAAGTTTTAATCTCTGTTTGTTTAGAATAGGCCATTGAACAAAATTTTGGCAACTCACTGCGCGGTGCGCATTCACGATCTCGGAAACAAACTAAGGATCAATAAGTTATTTTATTTCTGTAAACTACTTCTCAGTTTGTCGGTGGAAACGTTTCCTATATGCCCGGTAAGATACACATTATAAACTCTGTAAGCCCACATGCTTAGTTTAAATAATAGGCAACAGGTAGTTCGCAGTGCAAGAAATACGCGGAACATGATCCATGGAATTGATTTGACTTCTCTTAGAAATATTTATTTACTTTTTCATTTTACGTTATATAGGATGTTTCAAAGAAATAAAAAGACTTGCATATGAGAAGATCGATGTATTGTTTGTTCCTTATTCGGCACGATATTGTATTTACCACAAATTATTCCAATGTTTGCTATTTTCGTTATCTGTGGGTATTCACTTCAGAAATAATGTACGATCGATTGTGGAAAGCATTGTAGAATCTTGTCGAACTTCAACCGATTTCAATCAAAAGGGGATTGTGTGGTGTTTGCTGCGTTATATAGGATTATTGTTAAATATGATCTAAATACGAAGTTGGAAATTGCTTATGACTGTAAGTAGGTAGAAGTGTGGGTAGTTTTGTTTGCATCCTGAGGAAGCAGTCGAGAAAAACTATTTCAAACCAAATGTCATTATGAGATTTTTGAATTCTGAAGTCCTGTTTTTGCTAGTTTAGACAACTTGAAACCGAGGGACCAATTTTATTAGCGTTTGTCAATGTAATTAGAAAGGAAATTGCTTTTTGATGTTTAACTGCTTTAAACGGTTTGCTCGTTTCGTTTGTTTAGCAACAAACTTGTTTGAAGTGTTTAGAATACAATTAAGTTTGAACAAGACCAGTGTGTATAATGAAGCTCTAAGCCTTGCAAAGAGCCGAAGTTTGTCTTAAATTCAATTTCAGCTCTGTAGTTCAATTCTGTCGCGAATTTATGTGCGTCAGCTGAATTTCTTTGTAGAATAAAAGTGGCTTTTCCTCATGCGTAACTTTCTTGTCGTTATCATATAAATTCCTGTTTATCGAATGATGAAAATACAGGTTTTCGAATAACGAAAATCTTTTGCTTTTAAACTATACACGGGGAATCTAAATCGAACCAGTGAACTTTCTGGCTTGGGTTTACGTCTTATTTCTTTGGTTTTTTCAGCTCTGTGAATTTCTCTAATTTCGAGAGTAAAAATGAAATGTTAACTTCTTTGTCTTCCTAAAAACTGTTTGCATTAATTCAATAATCTAACATTTTGGGAAATATGGGACTGCACTGTCCGTAAGAGCAACATTTCCCCTGAACTAAGCCTTCCCCTGTGTCTTCAAAGTAATTCAGAAGTATCTTTTGTAATAAAGAGACCTTAATCTAATATAATATAAGCAATATAATATCTTTGATATTGCTCCAAAAGATCCCTTTCCCGGCCAAACGGTCCCTATAGGTAAGCCGTACATATCCTCGTCTTGCAAGTTTCTGCGTTGAAAACGTGAAAATCCACCGTATTCTGAAAACCATTCTCAAGCACACTGTTTAAAATTTATGGATAAACCTTTTCTAAAGGAGAAGAAATGAGGGATAAGTGTTTGTTTCTTTCCAATTATTAAAGCTTAGCGCCAAAATGGCTGAAGCTTTGTTGTATGAATTTTTCATTTCCAGTCCTACAGATTCGACAGTTCTTTGGTTAGAAATAGAAGCAGCTTTATTTTGGGTTGTATATAGTTTATTTGAAAGGGATTTTCTATTTTAAAGGAAAGGATATTATTAATTTATAAAACACAAAAAGGATAAAGGTTCAGCTTTGCGGTGCCTAAAGACCCTGGTTTTCATTTACGAGTCGCCGACTGGATGGTGGCCTAAGTTGTCTGGGTCAACATGCAGTTGAGATGAGTAGTCAATGTTCTTCCAAAAAGGCGTTGAAATTTTGATTATGCTTGCACAGCTCGGTAGGCAAAGGAGCAGAGATCGAGAAACATAGTGATTTTACGGTCAAAAACTGTCTAGAAGGTCAATGAAAACAGATGAAATTGAAAAGCCAAATCCAAACCCCGCTTTATTTTCTTTGTTTTATGAGGAAGTAATCCAGAATTTTAAAGTAATGTCCGGAAGAAGGATGAATACTTTCCTGGACTCCGACTGTAAATACAGGAAGACTCTGTTGTAGTGTTTTTTAACCTGGTTTGGTTTTCAATATCCGTTTCTAGCTTGAAGCATCTTCTCTAGTCCCCATACTATTGAATAAAAGGGTGCTACCATAATGTTTTCGATAGAGTTGGTTGTATTGAAAACTTTGCTCTAAAACTAATGGCGGGGCTATTTCACAGTATTGTGGTGTAAGTTTCTCGCAGAGTTTCTTGACTGCTCCGTAAAGTCTTAAGTATTTTATGTGGAATACGAGCAGTTTTTTAGCTGGCAGAATGCTTACATTTTTTATGATAGTCATTCTCTTCCAAAATAGTAATTGATTTTTTATGTTTGCTTATAAGTGTTTGAAAGCGCCCCAAAAAATAGAATGTTGAAGAAAGAACTTATTGAAAATTTCTTAAATTCTAATTTACCTCCTAATTTTTGAAGAAAAGAATTTTGATTTTAATAGGAAATCTTTCAAGTTGGTTTTTCAAATATTATATATTACAATAATCACCTTTAGTTGCAAACTCCTAATTTACAAGGAGATATAGCTTGTTTTTCCTAAACTAAACAATCTATACTTTCATTTGGCGATTTCTCACCATCTCGTGGCCTAAGTTGTTATGTTTTCCCATGGCCTTGCAAATCCAAGTTATAGTCAATTTTAAATATAAAACTCTTCAGCATCTATTCACACTCCATTCTACGTTCGCTCTTCGCACAAAAATTATGGTAATTTGGCGCTGGTAATTAAAAATTCAAACCTTTCTGAACTTTAGAATGTAATATTATTTGGAGGAAGGTCGGTCTTTATCACACCGTCAAAGACCTTGAAACAATAAAAAACCGCATTTGATGACCTACTTTTGAAACAATTAACCCACTAAGGCTGAGTTGTTTATAATTAATACAATTAAAAATCTGCAAATAATTATCCACTTTCATTAAAGATGAATGATTTCTTGGCTTGGTATATGTTTGTGAATATAGATTTATTGTAATTTTTCTCAAAGAGTTCTGATCTTTCATTCACTGTAATTCTCCATGTTTTCATTTTGCAGATTAGCGGAGCCTATTTGCCCGACTAACTGCGTCCTTAACATTTGCAGACACTGCAGATATGGTGTTTCTGTTTAATATCTTGAAAAATGGCTAATGGCCCTGTCAACCCGAAGCTGCATAAGGATCTGCTCTTAGCTTGTGGCTGGGGCAAAGAAATCGACGTTGTTTTGCTGCTTCAACAAGGTGCGAGTGTCAAAGTCCAAGATCAGGTTGGTCCACATTTTATCGATATAACGTCACACTAACCAACAGTCTTGTATTGAAATAAATGGGAAGTATTTACTTTGGGATGTTAGAACTCGGTTTTGGGTTTGGCATTGAATGTTAAGTGTGGGATAGTTAAAAGTTGAAGGGGAAGGTGCAGTTGTAGTTATACAGTTAATAAGAACAATATGCTGTTGTCTCTTGAAGACTTTCTTCTCCTGCATGCCAATTCACATTTCATTATTACCCCCCTTCGTATATAAAATGTAGTTTATCTTATAGGTTTGAATGTGCATGCACGATCTCGCTCATGAATTGATCGCATGATCGTGGCTGCTCTGTGAATTTCTTGGTTAAGACCAAGTTTAGGCTGAGCTACTCTCCTTCATAGTATGCCACCTGTCTTGACATGCTGTGTTTTTAAGAACTCATGCACGGTCAGAAGCCAACTTCGCTTAGCTAGAGTATAATATGCCCAAATTAATGCCTTTTTGTGCATTGCTTAACCTCTATAACCCGATCTGTACCCATTCTAGCTCAAATCTATTCTAAATTAGCATACAATTTTTTCAACGTTTTCCCTTCAAACTCTTTAGAATCTTGCTGAAATTATTCAAAGTCATATTCATGACTTGATGCTTCTCAAGCTTCGTTTAGATGTAGACAGTAATTGTTATGCCATTGCTCACACTGTGCAGTTATTTTTCTTCTGGTCTTTTTCGATTTTTGGACGTCTTTTTGAGACATTTTATATGCTTTGTTTTATTCAATAACGTTTTTTGATCTGCAGAATGGCCGAAACTGCCTACATTATGCTGCATCAAAAGGTCATACCAATATTGTGGAAATACTTTTGCTGAAAAAGTGCAACGCCAATGCCAAAGATAAGGTATTGCCTTAATTCTATTGACTGTTCAGTTTTCACTGATGTCCGTTCTTACCTAGGCCTAATATTAGATTTTAGGTATAAAATGAACAATTAAAGTTATCCGTCCGGACTTTTAGGTTACAGTAACATTATAAAAGGTCTCATAGTGCCCTTAAAAAGAGTTTCTTTCTACCTGGATGCAATAAAATGCCAACCTGAGAGCAAATGTCTGCTAGAATATCTTGTACGTGTCTGCAGCCAAAAGTTTTGTAGTTTATTTGATAGTTTAAAATGATATTTCAATGGAAAAAACGACAAACAGAATCGCAAGTTTGGGTATGCACTAACCAACTTTGGCGCCAAACCTTATCTAATGGAGGCGTGCCCAAATGTTTGAGTTTATGTAAAACAGAAGATAAAGTTAACCAGCACATTTTCGACTCTTTGGCCCAATGGCCATGTCATTCAAAGGACTCATTTCCATTGATCCATGCAAATACATGCAGTATATATTTCTAAGATAAAAGCATTTGATGTGGCACCTAATTGTTGCAAAATTTCCTGTTGAGCAAACTAAAGGCATGCAAGCTATTACTTGAAAGAGAAAATGACTACTACCTTTGCCAATACATTTTTTGTAAGTTTGGGATGATTCAACCTCTACATAAAGATTGCTGTTATCCGTGAATGGTCAATTTACTTTCAATATACCTCCAGTGTTATCATTGTATGTTTTTATAATATGTTTTATTATGTTTTTTTATGTTTATGTTATACATTATAGTTAATATCTTTCTTTCTGATTGTTTGCGAAAACTTAAATTTACGTTTCAACGATCTACTTATTATTTTTTATGTACACTATTCGTTAATTTAAAATGTATGTCCACTTTGGGGCTAACTTGGTGTGCTCGACAAAATGTAGCTGTATCACAAGTGTGGCCGATTTTAAAGTTTCCAATTCATCAGTGATACGCTTGGTAATCAAGCCTGATTAAAATGTAAATAAATCCAATTTTTGCCAAATTCATGATTGTTCGCCACTTTTGTCCCTCGCTAATTGCCAATGTTCTTTGTGGGTAGCTCATCTGTTATACTCAAGCATTTCTATTTTGTTATTTATGTGTATTATGCCAGTTTTCTTTCCCCTGTAATTCTTTAGCAACCCTGCATCAACAAAGCATTGTCTCCAGTTGCTCTTTTCCCTCGAAAACTAATACTAGTAATCACTCTGGTTAGCATTCATGGTGTCTTTGAAATGTTTTCCTAGGTCTATCGGATCCACCAATATCAGGCTTCTAGTAGTAGACTATTACCGTAGCGTTAGCCCATTAGATTGCCTGAAGATGCCGGGTTGTGACACCTTCCCCAGTACTGCGTATATCAATCTAACACTGGGTACTGATTACGCTTTTCACATTGGCTTTTAACACACTTTTTGATTGCAGTATGGATCTACGCCTTTGCATCAGGCCGCTGTGAATGGCCATACAGAGTGCGTAGCCACCTTGATTGAAGGAGGCGCTGATGTCAATTTTCAAGATGAAGTAAGTTTTCTTTTGCGTTTCTGCATAAAGTAAGCAATTATTTAAGCTTTGCTTTGCCAAACACCATTTTAGGGTTCACGACGTCATATTGAAGTCTAATGTTCTTTGATGACGTGAAGTGGAGCAAATTTGTACAACTTGTTGGTGAGAAGAAGCTGTAATGCGGTTACCTTTGATATGAAAACTCTAAGAAATGTTAAAGGATTATACTTGTCAACATTTAATGAATTGGAGCTGAAATAAGGCAGTTCTCTTGCAGGATGCGAGTTCAAAACATTTGTGAAACAGGCATTCCTTGCGTTTTGTGCTGTTTACCCCTAGCAGAAAAATGGCGTTGCGAACCTTGAAATTTTGTATTAGTCAGATTGAGAATTATATGGATAATCTAAGCAACTCTATCAGATTCCATCATTTCTACTCTTTCATTTGTTTACAGCAGCTTGTCTCTTTTTGCTGTAGCTTTTTCCGATTGTTATAATTTCCGGTTGTTATCTTTTCCGGTTGTTATCATTTCCGGTTGCAGAAATTTCCTCCTCCAGTTGCAACCTTTCCAGTCTTCGTCACTTTCTGTTGGAGTTTATTGTATTTTAGTCACTTTAAGATTGCAGCGTTACAGCTTTTCAGCTGCTTTGTTGTTGTTATGCCCAAGTTCCTATACCATGACTGTGTTTGTTGTGATCCACCTTGGTTTTTCTGCTGTTACTGAACTCTTGCTTGTCGATCGCCTTAAACCGTTGTCCTCCTGAATTGATAGTCTCCTTAATCATTGGTCTCCTTAATCGATGGCCTCCTTAATCGATGGCCTCTTTAATTGATGGCCTCCTTAATCGATGGCCTCCTTAATCGATGGCCTGCTCATGTTTATTAAACCATGGAATTTCGGAGGAAATTGTCACTACGACAAATCTTTTCAACATTTGGTAGATTTTGTCCTGCAATAGAGTACGATGCAACTTTATCAAATCTTTGTATCGGAAAAAATATTGTCTAACATTAAATGTGAAAATTTTTAGGCTGTTTAGTATGTTTTAAGTGTCTCTGCTAATATTTTTAATGTGTTTCAGTGTCTCGGTGTCTCTGTGAGTATCGCTGCTCATTTATCACTTTATTTCCATAACAACAAAATAGGGCAGTAGACCAATCAAATGAACTTCCCATCCTCGCTAAGCTTTTTGGGTAGCAAGGAACCTTTGAATAGACTCCCGGATGTACTTGACGTAACCAACCTAACAGTCACTTACTAATAATTGTAGAATGGCAACACACCGTTATACGAGGCTGTTTGGAATAACCAAGTTGATACTGTCGACCTCTTTTTAAAAAGTGAAGCTGACGTCAACATTAGAAACAAGGTACTAGCAATTCTAACCTATTTCTAGATTAATCAATTATTATTGCTATGATAACGACCATCACTATTTATTTACCTACATATTTTGACGTGATTAACTCAGACCGCTGTTTTTCCTTTTATATCCTAACAGTTTTTCCAAATTATCTTTCATACTGTTGTCATAACCCAATGCATTCCCGTAAATTCCCTTTTGCTATATGCACCCGACCCAAGATGGTCGATAATTCAATCGAAATTAGAGATTTTCAGATAAGATTTCGAAATTTAGGTGTTGGGTCGAAATACAGACTGTAAGTTTTCAAGCAATTGATGGCCTTAGATAAGCTAAAAGAAATCCTATAGAATGTTTCAGCTTTTGCCGCCATTTTCTGTTTCAACACAAATCTAACCCCGTCTTTTTGCAGTTGCTAAGTTGTATACATCTTGCTCTATTCTTGTTCAACCTATGGGCTCCACTGACAACCTTAACCTTGCGCGACACAAGGGATACATCTAAAACAATTGTTCTGTTGCTATAGCCATGATAGATTTATCTATGTCATTATTTCCTGGGATCATTAAGTTAAAAAATACATTAACGAACTCGGGAACCCAAAGTAGAGGCCACTTTTGCTGTATTTTACGGCTGAGAAGAGTTACATATGAATACTTGTCTCAGGGTCAAGTTCTCTTTTTTCAATTTAGGAAGGATATACTCCATTGCATCTCTCTTGTCAAAATGATTATGGGAAGGTCATACAAAATCTCGTGAAATGGGGCGCAAGTTTGCAAAGCCCTACCTCGGTGAGTCTTTCTTCTCAGCAAAAACCAAGGCAACTTTCAGTGTCTTAGGAAGTTATCCTACTTGGAATGTCATCATGAATCCGTAAAACCTTGAGTAGATTAGAATGAAAATAGCTAGAAAATCCGATAATAAAGCCGCACCCTGTGGACTAATTGAACATCTACGGTGCTCATATCAGTTAAAAGTACTGAAAATATTTTCCTCCAGCCGTGAATTTCATATGCTTCCTCTAAATCCTTCCGAATAAGTTCCAAAAACTTATTAAATGAAGACGACGTGCGTTACGTTTTCCCTGCCTTTGCTGCTCGTGTTTGCTACTTTGCTATCGATAACTGTTGATGACGTAAGACAACGAACATTGGTTGAATTTCGTCTTTAGAAATGCTCTTTCTCGGTTAATATGTAGTTTCGATAGCCACGGAAAGTCACTTCTAAATCTCCTTCTTTGCTTGCCACTGGAAGTTTCTGAACTTTCAAGCAAGGTCTGTTCTGGTTATGTGCCATCTGAAACCAATTGCTGGTAAAAGCGGTTGTAGTTGGTGACGTTTTTCATAGATTCTGCGAAGGCTGGGAACCATATTTACTTTTATCTCAAAGCAGTTGCACGTTTTCTTATAGCTTGGTATCGTCTTTTGTGGCTATATCTTCAATTTTTCTTTCTTCCCTGTTTCTGGATTTGTCCAGTTTCTTGAAAACTCTCAGAGACTAAGTCGTCGTAATCTCATCTGGTAAACTTTTATTCTCCAGATTTTATAGAATATGCTTGTCAATTGGCTGGATCTATTAAAAACAAGATAAATTAAATTGCCTAACATGAACCATATCTAGTTTTCTTTGTTTTATTAAAAGAGTTTTTTAAGCTTTTGCCTGTTCTTTTTTATTTAATTCACATATCTTTAACTCTTTGTTGTGTCTATCTACTGGTAATTTTTTGAAGAGAAAACACGTCATAGTTGTCTCTTTGTCTTTTGTGTTAGTGGGTAAACTTGTCTACCAGCTGATTTAATATTTCATGTTTTTTCTCTCCTAGACTGGCAACACTCCTCTTCATATCGCAATTCAAAACAGTCATATTGATGCTGTCAAAACTCTTCTTGCCTTGGAAGCAGATATAAACATCCAAAATCATGTAAATTGTGTTTTTTATCATCCATCGAGTATTTTGATTCTCCTCAAAATAAAAACATGCATCTTATTTTAGCAGAATTCAAATTTGTATGCATAAAATTGCACAAAAATTGCTCTGGTTTCAGTATTTTTTTCTATGTTATTGTTGATCAAATTTAGATTATACATTTTTTGAATAAGTTCTAATTTTTTATTTGTCATGTAACATAGCTTCTTCAAGTCAGATTTTATTATCTAGATGGGCTTCCGTGTTTGATTGCAACTTGGCAAGGAAAGACATCAACTCATTACACATTTCGTGTTCTCGTCAGTTACGATTTCACGGTAACCATATTAAGCACAGTCATATGGTGTTCTCTGGTTTTCACTTCTTGCAGATAAAAGTACTAAAATTTGCTCTTTCGTTTACAGGATGGTGATACACCTTTGCATTTGTGTGCGGAACACGGAGACAAGAAAATTGCAAAGTTGTTGCTTGAAAGTGGTCAGCCATTTGAGCCCAGTCTCAATAATGTGAGTTTTTTAACGAGGCCTTGTGATTGCATTCAGTGTAAAATTCCAATTTTGGCTTGTTACTGGAAGCATTTGCTTTGCAGGACGATTGCTTCGTATAGAGTGTCACCTCTACGACTTTAATACATTTTTTGCTCTTGCAATTAAAGTAGAAATCATAGCTAGGAGATTTTTTATCATTTAAATTTCTTTCTGTGCTAATTTCTAATGTTTTTCCAAATCAAGGCACTTACGGGTCTAACTAAAAGTTTAATTTAAATGGAATGGGTTGCAAAATGAATTGAAGTCTGCAGAAAATCGAAATTGCTTCAAATCCAAAGTAAAACATTGGGATAGACCGAAATGCAATTTTAGTACCGGTTAAGATTCTGTTACATGTAAATAATCTTTTTTGTGTAATGTTACTAAATTTTCTTAGTTTTGGATACATTTTGTAGTCAAAATTGATTGATTGATTTTGATTAGTTAACCTTGTGTATAGAGTATGTATGAAATTCCAAATATTTGTCTTAAGTGATATTCACTTATTTGGACTTCACATTGAAGGTTGGTGACTCACCCAAAGACATCGCGGTTCAGTTAGGAAACAAGGAGGTGGCTGACCTTATACCGACCCCGATGGTGAGTAATTTTGTATCATGTTCCTAATGTTTTTCCTAATAATGTTCAGAGGTACCTAAATTGTATGTTTGATGTTAAATTTGAGGCTAATTTGAGATCTCTGTATAACTTTCCATTTTAGCTCCAGTAAGACCTGTCCCTCCCCCCCTTCCATCTGAGTTTTTGTTTTTGTTACTTGTGCATGTAAGCTTAAGTGTTTTGCCGTGTTATGAGCCAAAAAAGGTTTGCAGATACTCAGATAGATTTAAATCAAGGATTGACATTTTTAGTCTAATTGCAACCATTGGAAGCAATTTAAGGTTAAAGTACGCCTTCTTTTCTTCAAAACGCCCCTTTCCTCTTATGACTGCACATTTGTTTGACAACATTGCCTCATAAGTTAACACGGTTTATTTAACAGTGAGATTAATTCACATCCCGTTTGGATTACGCGAACTTCAATTAAGGCGAACAGGCTTGGGGAATTATCCCGAACAGGCTTGGGGAATCATCCCGGATTAAGAAATAGGCTAATATACCCTTAGCTTACTGGATTCTCTTTATGCGGCTTAATCTAAGAAAGAACGCGAAGCGTGCTCCAAGTCTATTTGGATGTCCAATAAGGAAGGATCTTTTTTGCTAATATCATTTGACAATTCCCGTTAGATAAAAATCGCACACCTTTCCAAAGCAGCTTTAAGGCCTCTATATCTCTATGCATTGGTTAGGAAATATCCAACTTAAAGCAAATTCTATTTCCCCAAATTTTCGGCTGGCATCTGGCCGTTTGCCGATTCAGAATCCGATTTGTTATTTGGTACTACCATCTGCGTGCCTGTTATCTGCTTGCCAGAGATTTCAGCATGCAACAATTTACTGGTGTTTAGGGTTTTCAAAGTAAAACCTATTTTAAAGATATAACCCATTTCTAAGCTTTTGAAAAGAGAGCCATACCAATTTGCAGGTTTGCGGTTGAAAATGTAGCCATTCCAACCAAACACGTCTGGCTTACCCCTAAAACATGAATACTTGGTTATTTTTCCCACCTTCGTACACCATAAAAGTATTAAAACAAAGTTGGCTGACAACAGTCTTATGCCCAATTTTTTTCTTCATTGAATACTAGCAGCCAAATGCAGCTCATATATGTTATCCGATGTCTCAATATTTGTGAATCTGTTCGTTGCCTGTGTTGCTTTTTTGCAGCGAGCACGAGGCGTTATCTTTCATTTTTTGACGATCATTATCTTGCATGCGTTCTTTGCATACATACTGCAAATAAAGCTTATTTGCAAAAGATTATTTTCTCGAATATTTTCAAAGCTACGAATAGCTTAACTGTGACTATTTTCAAGATTCTGTTGCACTGAATCATTAGACAACAATTGGAAAAATTGATTTGATCGTTGATGTAATAAAAAGACTGAAAAAGATCTGATGCAATAACAAGACTGAAGTTTTATTGCAAAATAGCACGCTGTCGTTTTTCTTATACAGCCATGTGAGGCTCCGTCATAATGGCCGCCCCTTTAGAATTTTAAAGTTATTTTACTGGCTTCCAACTTTCCCTGGCTATTGTCTGCTTTTAACAACTGCAAAATTCACCTTTCCTTTTTTTGAAGTGAATCAACTTAGAGGGTTGACTTTGAAGAGTGAGCTGTGTGTTTTAATCATTGTGTTGATTAAATCCGGGCTTTCTCCTAAGTTTAACTCAACTTAAACATTACCAATTACTCTGATGCCTTAAGTGCTACTTTATTTGGCCTGATATTTACCAGCAATCAAACGACATATATCTTGGAAAGACATTAGGTGCAATTTTGCTAGGAAGGTTTTCCCATTAGCATGACCACGATAAGATTAAAGATGAAACATATTTTTATCTGCGCTAGATATAGCGGTTAATGAATGACCATGTTGTTATAAAGCCAATGAGAAATAAAAACATTGGCTTGTTCTTTATAATGTTTAAAGGAATTCTGGTTAATGATTGACTTACTTTTCTTTATTAGTATTTATTGACAATCAGTGTGATACCGTTCACGCTTATTAAATAAGAACTGCTGTTTGACATCGCCATTGACCACCGGTCTAAATCCGTCTTAAAAGTGGAAAGGCAATGATAAGCTAGATTAATCTGCACAGGTATTTAATTGGTTTCAAAGTTTGGATTCAGGGTCAAAGAAAACCTTTTTCGAGGAAAGTTTTAATTGAGGAATGGGATGTTGAAGCAGGATTTTGACGGAAGGTGTATCTGAAAGTTGAGTTTCCTAACAAATTAGTGTTGTCATTCTGCAAATACCAACGTTAGCAGCCCACTATAGGTTCCTGGAAGTTAGAGAACTGTGCTAGATTTAATTACCCTTGTGTTCTCAGTCGATGGAATTAATGAAAGACCTTCCTGTGCCAGAGAGTTTAGATCTAGTTTTTAATATAATGCTTTAATTGATTATTTTATGTGACGGAAATCCTCACTAAAGGACCCTTGAGTTCTAATTTGCATTTATCTATTAATTTCTTAATCTTATTTCTTGTGTTTTTGTAACTTCCACAACTCTGATAATTTTTTAGATTCTGTGCCAAAATATTGCCTATCATTAGGTCATTTACCCCGCTGCTCTGAATTTTCCCCAAATCTCCTCTAGCATGTCCTGTACCCTTATCGATCTAAAACACAGTCCTTAATCAAGATAAAGTTATCTTGCCTATTCTTCTTTATGTGTGAATTTGATAAATCCTGTTTGCGACTGACAGCTCTTTGTGCTCTGCTAAACATGGCAAAGTCATTCATATCTCATAATCTTTTTTAGATTTCAAGAAAACAGACTAAGAAAAGTGAAATTCCTGGATCGCCTAAGCGCCCGCCAAAACAACGAGTGTCGTCGGCGAAGGCGAAACAGGCTGTCAGCAAGGAGACTGGCAACTCAGATTCGCTAGAAAGACCTGTTCAAGTTGTTGTGCAGCCTCCGTCGGTTGATAACTTAGCTGCTACAGATACATGTTCAAGTTTGTCTAGTTTGTGGCTGCCAGTGCCTGACTCGGGAGGCCATCTGCCTATGGTAGGTGTTTTTATTTTTCGTACTTTTATTTTTCGGGTTTAATGCACAAAGACGCGTCAGCAAAGCAGGAACATAGTTACAATGAGCATCCTTGCTTGGTGAAATAATTGCATTTTTAGCATTCTGAGTGCAATTTGCGTTATTTAAATTTTCCAACAGAATAATAACACTGATGATAACAACAAATCTTTTCTTACCTGCTAAAAACATGCTATCCTAATTATTTGGCTTTGAAGGAAACTTCGTTTTTGAAAATGCTGCCACAGTCAGCTCAGAATATTCTCTGTACTGCCGTTGTCAATTTTCAAAAGCACAGACTCGTATTCAATGAACAGAGCAGTTATTCAAAAATGATTTACTGTAACTTTGTTTATATTGAAATCACGAAAACCAATTAGTAACAAATACAGTGTAATTTCTGCTGTTGCCTTTAGTCAAAGCTGTGGATGTTTAGATTCACATGGGATTCAAATAATGGGCTCATTTCACGGAGTTAAGAGAACCTAGAACAAAAAACAATCTGCGAAGTGAAACTCGCAATCATATGATACCTGCTATAGCTAGGAAGTAAACGAGAAGAACGAGATAAATATTTGCCAAGTGCTTAGAACTAAGGTAGACTTTATGAGACTTTAGTTCTGGTTGATCGAGATCGATACAAGAAAGTTGACTGTGGACAGTGTGACATTTTCTTAATCGTTAGCAATATATTGTAGCATCATTGGCACCTATGGTTCAATAGGAGTTTGAAACTCTGTTGTATTCTCATCCTTTTGATAGACGTTTTGGCTGTGCTGTCTTTGGTTGTTGTTAGGGTGGCAAATGGGGCTGGGGGCGGTGTCTGCCTGTCTGTGGGTTGGGGGTCCTGTCTGCCTGTTTCCTTGCGCTTGTGTTATATGTGTATATGTTATGTGTTTTTATTTTTCTCTAGACACTGATGTTGAGCTTCTTTTTAGAAGGCACTCAGTAGATACTAGATATGTAGATGAAAGGTGTATCGAGAAATTTATCTTCAAAGCGTTCTTGAGGGCATTCGTCTTTACTACCCATGCCATCTTTCCTTGTAGGTAGGCCAGTTTATGATCAGATGTGCTCTTGACTGCTCAGCTGTAATTAAACAATTTATATCCGATGACACATTTGATAAACCCATTGTGAGATCAATTAACACTTTTAAATATTTATCAAGTTACCCTCCCCAGCTATTAGCTTTGCAATCCTTGTGGGATACTTACAATAATTATCAGCGTCACTAGCCATGTGTTGTTGAAGTGGGTTGGCGAAAAGTGTTTAAAGCTTTTATCGTCGTCTTGGCGGTCGAAGCTTCGTCTACAATAGCCAGATTGTAGTGTAGATAACTCTCGGTTGGAAGAGAAGCATCTGTTGTCGTAGTGATATGAAACATAGTGATACGATGCCTTCAGGAGTTGAAAAGAGATTTTAGGAAATTAAGTTTGTGGAAGCTTGCAATTTTTTGCTTAGGAGTTCCACAGCACAAAACAACCAAATTCGTGAATTCTGATAAGCAATTCGACATCTTGCAGCTGAAATAACTGATGGCTCTGCGTACTTAGCCCTCAAAATGCTCAGTTCTGTATAAACCAAGTTGCCATAAGAAGTTAATTGTAAAAGGCATACGAGTATGCAAGTCTTGTTACATTGTGATTGCTAGCGTGGTACTAGGATACGTAAGTCAGCGAAACAGAAGTGATGTTTCAACAGTATTTGCTATTATCATCAAATTCTGCTAGTTATATTTGCTCAATAACATATTTTTTTACAAAGTTTTCAAGCCAACTATAGATTCGAAAAGGGTTGAGAGATTCATGGTTAACGGGAATTTATGATATCGCAACTATTTCTGCCTCCTATAACTATAAATCGCTATTTCCCATGCTTTGTCTCTGTCTGTATCAATCCACCAAGAGACAAATTTGATCATAAGAATTCTAATCTGCTGATACAAAACCCAGAAATTAAGGAATTTCGGCATAATGTTTTTGTACTCGATACTTAAAAAAGGGGGGCTACCTTACTCATTAATATGTTCTCTTGTTTGTCTTCCAAAAAACCAAGTACTATCCCCCTGGTTTGAAACTTCCCCTCTAGTACCCACAACCTAAAAAAGAGCTGCAGTCGTCGCTTACACAATCATTCTCAAACCTTGATTATAATATTAATTATTGAATCCATAGAGATTAATTACGGAAATTATTCGCCATGAAGATCTCTTCGCCGCAACTCTTTCAAGGTCACGTTTTGTCGCAGAATCTAAAATTCGCTTTATTAGATTTGATTAAGCTTAAAGATGAATCAATCAAGATTTCGTCTCCTGCATTTGATAATCCTATCGCATTTCAAATCCACTTTTTGTGCCACTTTGATTGGTAACTGTGAATCCATAGCGAATTTATCAGCGAATAAAGCGGTTAACAGAAATAGAAAAATCTCCAACCAGGATTTTTTCTATTAATATCGTGTAATGGTTCTACCGTGAATGTTTTAACACACTGTAACGTGGACACATATTATTTATTGATTATAAGAATTAGATCCTGGAGGAAAATACGGAAAATCTCAGTCAAATCTCAGTCAAATCTCAGAAAAGTCTTTGCTATGTTTTCCTTGAATCAAAGTTGTAACTGAATGATATGAATGAACTCAACGTGAGTGGCGTTGCAGCTACGCCCATAGCCCCGAGGTTTTTCAAATTAGTTTGGATTTGATATTTAATGAACTGTTTTCATACTTGTTATAACTACTTTAACTTCAAACTAAAGCGAAGCATGACTCGATTTCACCTTTATTTTATATTGATGAATCTTAGAAACTTTTTCATCGAAAATCATTTTACCCCATCATAGTTACCTAGTACGGGTATTTAACAAAATGACATTTTTGGCTAAGTGAGTCGGTTAACGCCATATTTGTTCAGCATATTTAACATTTCGAGGCATTTTTGGTTTCGCTGGCGATGATGAGGTACACCCTCGGCATTTTCCTTGTCACAATTTTATCCTTTTTGATTGATGTCAACTGGAACTGTCACTTTGCTCTAATGCCAATCTCCTCAAAACCCCAAATCATTTGTTTATTCACACACACTTTTCACTTATTGGTTGAAGAATTTCCTGCACTCAATGGTACTAAACACCACCTAATCATAGATAATTTTTCTTGGTGATCATCTATCACTGTCAATCGCTAATCATAAAGTTTTTGTGAATCCTCGCCAATCATCAAATCATCTTCGACCGCTGAGTTGAAAATCCAATCATCAAATGTCTGTTTTCTTCATAATCATAAAATCACTTTTGATCACATCTAGCTGAGTTGAATAAACACCCAATCAAATGTCTGTTTTCTTCATAATCATAAAATCACTTTTGATCACATCTAGCTGAGTTGAATAAACACCCAATCAAATGTCTATTTTTTTCATAATCATAAATCACTTTTGATCACATCCAATCACTGATGCTGATATCCCAATCAAATAGTAAAGACTGACAAAGATTGGCATAGAGATCGCTCCATGATCTCCCAAACGGCCGGTTTTCTATTAAAGAATGTAAACAGATGAAGATGGTATAATGGTTGTATTTATCCTATATATTTGCCTGTGGCCTAGAATCCCTTTGAAAGGAGCATTTACCTGTCGCTGCTTGTTCTTCCTTCTGTTAAAAAATTCTTGAGAGTACAGGCTGAGCTGTTTTACATATTCTGTGCGGTTTGTGAAATACATTTATTACACATCTTAATCCAGTCAGTGGTTTAATTACAATCCTTTCTTTGTTTGCGCTCGATTTTCAGTATCATCTTCTAATCTCTAAGGCTCTTATTCTGTACTTGGATTACGTAATGACCTTACGTTGCTGCTCTCCTCTATTTTGGCATATTCAGAAGCCAGGTTTCCGTGCCAATATTCACTGTTGCAGTTTCTAACTCTGGGAAGTCCTCAAAAGAACTTGAACGTGAATGTGCGATCGGGTAAGTGTGTACATGTTTTGAATTTATCATGGTTTCTAGACTGTATTCTTCTGCTGGCGAAAGAGAATCTTTTATGGAGAGGTTTTGTTCGTACCTTGACTTTATTGAGCAGCTCTGAATCGCGACTAGTGCTAAAAACGTCGGTATCAAAAAGCTTGGTTCTTGTTTGGATAATTTATATCGTTTACAATGTTATTTCATTACTAACAAGTGAACAAAGATAACTGAAGCATATTTAGTCTGTTTTGGACGTCGAATTCCTGAAATTCCAAAATTACAGTTGCTGTCTGGCTCGCAAACCTTGGCCAGACATTCCCTGCTAAATCAAGCTTGTCTTTTTGTAAACGAAACCTAAAACGTTTTTGAGCCGCCATGTTGCAACCTGCCTTGAATCAGATGGCAGATTAGCCGCTTCACTGCAAGCCAGCTAGTCGATACAGCAGCGATTGATTCAAGGTTGCCTTAAGATGGATCCCAGAGGCTTGTTTACCTTTTTTGATCTTGCATTTCAGCCAATTTATATTTCTTTGTAAGCATAAACCATAATTTCAAATTCTTTGTTCCTGGGCTAACGTGAGTTTTCAGTACCTCTTCACAGTCGTTAAATTACCACGCAATTTTTTTCGAGCAACCTTCATATCATGTGAATTTCGCCGGATTATCTTTATAGGAAAATAAAAACAACAATTTCGTTTTCTCAAGACCACATTTATAAGCAAGGTATTCTTCACCTCAAAGAACTGTTACATTCTTGGTTTTTTAAGCATTTATTGCTGAATAAAGCACAAACATTTTTGTAATGGTCTAAGCTCAGGTTTCTTGACAGTACACAACATTACCAGCGAGAGTGATAGATGTATCGTAAGTTTTTTGCACTAGACCTGATGACTGTATTCTGGTCATTACGTCATGTCTTACTTAACTGTCAAAACTTAACTTCGTATTGCTTTCACTCTGTGGGCACTTTCTAAGCCTATAGTTTGTTCTGTATATTAGGTTTTTTTGAATGAAACTTTTGTAATCGCTATTGAGGAGCATCGTCTATGGACTGAATTGTCATTTTCAAACTTCGATTTTTTCTATTCCTTTAATAGCAATTGTAACCCTGTGTACCTAATATCTGGTTTCTTCTGGAGCCCGGTTATTTCTATGCTAATACTTTTAAAATACTTCTTGCATCCTTTTGTCCAGACCTGTTTGACAAGTTATAACAATCTAAAATTAATGACCCCTCCCCCCTCCAATTTTAGACCCCCTATAACAAAATTGACCATTCAAGGGAGAGGTCCGTTTACAGAATAGATGAAGTTAGCAATGTTAGTTTTCTGTTACTTGTGGAAAAAGTTTGTTTTCTATCAATTTTTCAATTGTTTCGGTTTTTCTTTTTATCTGAATTTCAGCTTTCCACAACTAACTAATGCAAAACTATTTTCCCTTGCAACGATTTGTTTTAACTTGTTATCAAAACCTGTGTGTGTCCCACGTATATAGAAAGACCTTACTTCAAAACAAGTCTAGAAGCAAATTTCACATCTCTGCTGCCGAGTCATAACAAAATCAAACTGTTCTGCAAGAGTATTAGCTTGAACCCTCTAACTTCCATTTTGCCTGTTGGTGTCTTCTTAGCCATCCATCTCTGAAGCTTTGTAAAAGGATTAGTTTCATGTATTTACGCACGATTCATGTTGGAGTATTAAATGTTTTGTGTTTCAAGATGTTCAGTAGAATTTTCCAGTGCTGCAAGAGGTTTTAGAAATAACTGTTTGAAGAAAGGCACATAATTATGATGTCACAGGGGGGGCTGGACTAACATACTATAAAGGCATTAGGATCTGTGTTTCTGTTGACTTTGCTTCGTGGTTAATATACAAAAATGCGTATATCGTAAGTTCTCGAATAAGCGCCCCTCCCCCTTCGAACAAGCCCCTCTTAAATAAGCCCTCACCCAAAAGTAATTTTTGTGAAATATTTGGGAGACATAAGCTCCTATGGGCTAAGGTATTGCCTCCGACAGCAATAGGTTTTTCCCAATATTATCCCAATATTATCCCAGCAGGTACATTATCCCAATTTACCTACATTTTTAAGCAAAACCAGTGATTATATTCCCAGCATTTTGAGCAGCATATGAGAGCATATTTTTATATAATGATATTGCATCCACTACAAGCAAGACATGCTTTGCTCCGCGTGTAATACTTAGAGAAAAATTAAAATCACTACGTGTCAGGGAAAACCCCACAAATATTGATAAGCATTATCTTTGAAATCGTTTTCGTAAACTAGGAAGCCCCAATTCTGTCCTTTAGGTCAGAGTTGTTACAGATAGATAATATATGAAAGTACAGACCTTTTAAATAAGCGACCAAATCAAAATGAACATTCGGTATCAAGTTTGATTTTAACTTGATACCGAATAAATATTCTTGTTCACTAAACCAGTGAAAGCATTTCAAAAGTTAACTGTTTACCATTTATCAACCATTGCCATTAACACTGTTAGTTTGTTTTGCGGGTTACAACTGAATGGGTTTTTTACCGCAGCTAATTATTTGCAGCCATTGTTGTTTCTGACGACCGGGGGTCGAAGAGCAGGCAATGCTGGTTGGGGCGGAGACCATTGCTTATACGTTGGTAGAAGGTTAAAGGATTTTATGTGGAATGTCTTATGAATGTCATATGTCCCCCCCCCCCCCACTTTTGAAATTGTATGGGAGACCTCAGCTCCAAGGAAGGTCCTCCTATAAACCTTTAAATCCGTATCTCTGTGAGCAAATTTAGCAAAACAACAAATTCGCAACCGCGAGTAACCGCATGTGAAGCTTTTGGCTAAACCTAGGCATATCGTTCCGTAGAATATAAAAAACTTTCATTTTGAGAAATTGCTACTTCAATTTAGAGTTTGATTAGATACCTCCAAGGCGAATTTTTTTTAGGAAATTATATTTGGTATGTATTGTTATGGTCGTCTGTATAGCCTAATTATATCGTCTTCCTTGGGTCTTTTAGTACTTCGCAGTTTTGTTGGCCTCGCCTGAATTGCCGAACGAGTTGCGGTGAATGAATTGATGAATTTCTAGCATTCTCGGGCGAACCTAAAGAGCTAATTATGGGTCGTTAATCCCCCCGATCATTTGGAAATCTTTATCGAAAATCACCAGTAAATCCGTGCTAAAGAAGGGGGATTTGCAAGTGGTAGCGTCGTGGTTACTGTCCACTTAAATGTTTATCTTTTAAACTGTTACACCCTGGTCGTAACTTTATAATGATTACCTTTAAGTGCAACAAAGAATACCGAAGGGGGTAACTGCTCAATAAATTGAAAATGAATTATCTTTGCAGGATGTTTATTGGCAGAAAAATATGTCGCCAAGTCCAGAAAGACGGGGAAAGAACTTTGAGAACATAACTGACCTGAACGCGTTGAAGGAAATAAAAAAGTCTGACCATCACAGCCAAAGTGACGGAAGTACAGGTGGCGTTCGGTCCCCAAGATACCAAATTAGGAAAAAGAGGCGGAAGTACACAACAGGCCATGCGAGTAGCAAGCACAAAGGCAAAGACGATTTCGAAGATGATAATTACAAAAATGAGAAGGAATCGCGGACGATAAAAGACCCAAAAACGTCCAAGGTATGCCATGTTTGAATATTCTTAATAAATGTTTTGATGCTTTTTATCAAGAGATAATTCGTTCCATTCTGTAGTTTAATTCCGTGATTAAGTGTTTTTATGTCTTACTTTCGTAACACGACATTTCGTAAATTTTTATACACTTAAATGGGTTCTTGTTTCACCAATCACGTGACCTAATGCGTCTTGCAAGTGTCTGTTACGGTGAAAGTAATTCGTAATGTAATGCTTTGATTAAGCTACTGTCTTTCTATTTATGATCTAGCTTTGATCTAGCCGCAAAGCTGTTTTTAACCGTGGGATTTCCAGCCATGCCCATGCTCTTTTTCCTCACAACTGCGATCTGCTTTTTGTTCTGATAAACAAGTTTTATTTTGGCCCTGCTTGTCTGGACTGTGCCAAGGGCCAGTCATAACAAAAAATTCCAAAAAGCAATGGTGCTCCAAAAGTTACGGTAGAAGAAGCAAGATTTTCAAAAATTTGAGATTTTTGGCTACCTGGTGGTTATCACAAATTTGTTTTTGGATATCAAAAACATATCACAATTCAGAGTGTCAGCTTCGACAGATTGTGGAGGATTTTCAGCTTGACCTAGTAAATGTTTGTAAATTTGAGTCTTTGAAGAGGCAGATCTGTATGAAGAATGAACAAAACATGATGGTATTTTGTTGTCCTGTACTGTATCAAAATAAGTTTAGGCGGTTGACTTGTCTGTCTACTTATGTCTTGAGCCTCATTTTGATATTAAAGCAAGCCTCGAAATGTAGTGCAATGTGATAGCTGTGCCCTATCAACACCTTTGTGAAGGGGATTTTGAAAGTCAATATATTCTAAAAAAAATTCCCAGAGCGAGCTTGCTTACAACCTTTGCATGAAGTGTGGAGTCTAACAGACCACAATTTCCTAATTCGACCTGTTTTGTGGTGCACTAGTAACAAGATTAATCCATTTCGTTTCAAGTTTCTACATCGAGAGGCAATAAATTGTTTGTCATATGATTGTTATTTTCTTTGGTTATGTACTGTCTGTTACAGTTGGTTTCACCGTTTCCAGGTTCATTCAATCCTGATATTTCAAAAACTTGAATTGTTGTACTGTGTTCAACCATGAGATCCATTTGTTTTGATTTTGCAAAATTCTATCCTGATCGTTTAAGCTGATAACTCTGCGTCTGTGTATGCCGAAAATCAGGTGGTTAAAGCCAATAAAGGTAATTTAAAGTGTCTGTTTTAAGCAGCAATGTCTGCGGTTGTATTCAGCTACAGAAAGGAATGGCAGATGATCGCAATGTTTTTGCGGTTGGCCAAGAAATATAGAACATAACCAGCAGGTCGGTATTCACATTTCTTAGTACAGTTTGTCAGTTGCTTGTATATAATTTGTTGTGCGCTGTATGATAAAAAAGGAGGCCACTGGTGCAAATTTCTTGTAGGCAATGGCATTGGTATGTTCTTGCTAAATTCATCAACTTAATCTGTCTATGCTGCGTTTTGTTTCTCATACATTAAGTCGTACACTGTATTAATTAATTGAATGTCAAAGGGGTAAATTTCCAGCTCTCTTTTTGTAATCAAGACCATCTCAAATCATTGTTTTAATGTTAAGCAATTTCTATTTCACGTGTTAGCTTTTGAAAGAAGAAAACCGTAATTGAAATTGATGAAGCATGGAGATAAAATACTCTCGGTTTTCGGTGCCTTGTTTACAGTTATTGGTGAATACTTTTTGTGATGTGTCCTGCCAGGGAAACTGTGAGTTAGGCCACGAGTGTAGATAGGCCAAGTTTATGATTACTTCTCGTCGCTGAATTCATCATTCGATCTTTTGGTCAATGAAACCGTACCTTTATGGGAAAATGTCTTACATTCCTTCATGCATGTACGTTTCAAAGGGTTTTTAGAAGGTCCTGTCATCAAGACATTTGATAATAGAATAGAGGGAAATCAAGCCTTGTGAGAAAATCTACGTGTACGTGTCTATTGCTCCCTAAGTTGTGCAACAGTTGCCTTTTCTCTTGACATGTGCTGCCTATCTGTTTCTTTAAGACTCCATTTCCACTCTTCTTAGAAGTGGGTGAAATCTAGCCCATAACTGAGCCCATATTTCATGCTAACGGATATTGGACTTAAATTTCCCCCTATTGCCACTTTACTGTACTTTTTGTCTATTGTATATATCTCTCTACTTATCTCAACTCTTTGTTAATCAGTCTTTTTCATATTTTAAACTGTTCATTGCATGTTTTCTTTTCTTCTGCTTGTAACAGAATCTAGAACAAATAATTCCTTTTTTTCGGTTGACAAATCAGAAATATGATAATCTTCATTTCTAAGTAAATAAAACCAGCCGTGGCTTAGTTGCAAAACTTGGATTTTCTGCTAAACTTCGGGCCTTGCTTGGCAAACCTTTGCTGCTTATTCCTTGGCAATATTCATCTTTTCTTTGAAAACGACGACTTTGAGCGAATACATAAGATTCGGGGCCTCCTGTCCACCTAGCAACCTACTGGGGACTTGCTCTTGCTTTTGGGGGAAAACCCATTGCCAAGAGACCTCTTTCTTCGATTATTGCACAATAGCTAATTATGTTTGTAGCTCATCAAGAGAAATCATTCAATGGCCATAACTCGGTTTTCGGAGCCACTGTCTGTCAACCTAAGCATAATTTAATCTTTCAGTTTGGTTGTTTAAATGGGAGATGTGGATGGTCCTGCTGAGCTGAATTGCCCAGAACTAGCTAGATTCAAATCCGTTTCTTTATTGTTTGTTCGACATGCTCATAAATTTGCTAATTTAAGCCAGATCCGGATGAGGACCTTTTTAGGCCCTTAAAGAAAGTCGATGCCGCATTGAGCTTTGCTTCTTTAAGTTCTTGTTCTAATTGGATGGAAATCGAATGACCGATCTCATCTGGCTTTTTCCTTGTAAATTATTGGATTTCGAAGATTTGCCGGAAATTCTCTTACCCATTTGTCTTAAAATTCATTTAATCGTAAGAATTCTTTATTTAAGTCTTGGCTTCGGCAATAAAGAATGGCACTGGTGTTTAAGACCGCACATTGAGTCCTTTACGCAGCACAAACGCTAATAACTTCTTTATTTTGAACCAATGTCGTGATTATCTGTAAAATTGAATATAGAAAAGAGTTCCATATATTGGAATTGCATTTTGGCCTGTACGGAATAACCTAATATGTTTGCATATTGTTGAGGACAATCTTTCACCTTTCATGTATAGGGTAAATACCAGGCGCTTATGAGGTAGCCCGTAAAAGATCTCCATGACAAGTCTCCCAGTTTTGCGTTTTTTTCATAGTTGTAATACTTGCTGTACTAATTTAAATTGATTTGAATTGACGTCACTATTGACGGAATGGGTCTCTTTGTAGAAGCTTCGATTAATCCTTCAGACAAATTCCAGAGATCCATATACCACGACTTACAACTGACTCATAAATATCTTTGTATCTTTTTTCCAAGCAGGTGAACTAACGTCGTTTCTTTTTAGATAATATGTTGTATCGTGGAGATTCTACTTTAGGTTGTAAAGCTCTCATGTCCCTCCAAGAATTCTGAGGAGAATCTGCCTGCCTGTTATTGACGCCGTTTTCATTTCATACGAAATTGATTTTGCCTTTTGTCAAATGTCAAACCTCTATTGTTTTTCGTACCATTGATCTTTGTATCTATATCTATAAGTTGATCTTTGCTCGTAAATTCGTAAATTCAACTGTATAATACCTAATTTGTTTTTTATTATAGTACTTAATTTATGATTTTATTTCCCATTTCCTTAAATATTTTGTTATTGATGTTGACGTCAATGGAAAATGTTGGTTGTGTTCGGACAAGGTTGACTGTGTTCTGGAAAGGTTAGCTTTGAAACTCACAATGTATCAGAATTTAAAGCCACATTGTATCAAGTATCCAGATTGCATCATGGAATTGTATCAAGTGTCCTGGTTTTGTGGATTTTTTGGTTCTTCCTTTTACCAGTTCTTAAGGACCTGGTTTAACCAAGTTTCTGTTTACCAGCTCACGGTGTCCTAGTTCAACCGGCTTTCAGTTAGCCAGATTTTGAGTTCGTGGTTTAAACTGCTTTGTTTTAACCTGCTCCAGGTTTCAAGGTCCTGGTTTAACCAAGTTTCTGTTTACCAGCTCACGGTGTTCAACCGGCTTTCAGTTAGCCAGCTTTTAGGTTCGTAGTTTAACCTGCCTTTCAAGGTTAGCCAGCTGCTTTGGGTTTCAACCGTAGTTTAACCTGCTCCAGATTTCAAGGTTCTGGTTTAACCAAGTTTCTGTTTACCAGCTCACGTTGTTTCCTAGCCAGCTTTTAGGTTCGTGGTTTAACCGGTTTCAGGTTCCTGGTTTAACCAAGTTTCTGTTTACCACCAGCTTTTAGGTTCGTGGTCTAACCAGCTTTCCAGGGACTTCGTTTAACACACTCGTAGGTTCCTGGTTTAACCTGCTGAGTTTTAGCCAGGTTTCCTGCTGAGTTTTATGTCCTTGTTTAAGCCGTTCTATGAAGTTTCATTGAATCTTTATATGATTAATAAAACCCTCTGTTAGATATGAATAACCAATTGAAATTCTTTAAGAAGGTGTAATGGTGTCATATTTCCTTGTAAAAATTAATTTCTTCCATGGAACTGTGTCCATGTCCTGGAGGTGTTTATCCAGCCATATACTCCCTATCCATGTTAACTTTCTTTTAAGCGAAATATTTTAGGATATTTAGGACTGTTTGTGCGTGTGCTATGCACTTTTTGCGCCTCGATCTACCTCCCAGATTAAACATGTCACATTTTCGTATTGCTCCTTTTTTGTGCCAGTTGCCAGTATGACGGCGTTTGTTACCTTTCTCAGGCAAATATTCTGCTTAAATGAATTCGTAATGCGTAAAGAATATTTACACCTTATACTAAACACTCCTTTTTGTTTCAGCTTTTCAAGAAGAAAAAACAAGCATCAGCCAAAATGGTGTCATCGAAAAAGTTAAAAAGGGTGCTAGAGCAAGGGTAAGTGACATCTCATAAAAATTGAAGCATTTTTTCATTTAATTGTTTCTATGTCACTTGCTGAGAATGATCTATCCAACCTTTTGTTCTGTATTTTACTCCATATCCTCGTCAATGTATTTACTCTACTTGGACGAGATCTGCCAAGAAGCATTCTATAATGAATCTGGTTACATGGTTAGTTGCTCGTTGGTTATGAACTATACGACTTCGGTTGACTTTTAAAGGTCTTCGGTTTTCAGGTTGATATGGTGATGTTTTATCCTAGATACAGCCTACTCCTCCCTCTTACAAGTTTATTTTGAATTTGTCCTTGAAGCATTTAATCGTGCTGTGTTATATAAGTCTAATAATGAAATATCATCTTGAAGCTACCAATGGAAGATAATTACCATCTATAGATAGATAGTGCCTATTCATACACACACAGGTTTTTGAATACTGTCGGTATTTTAGTTTTGAAGCCCAGACAATGTTGAACGAACTATGTGTATCATACATTCTTAATGTCCTCTCCGTTTGCATCCTTAAAAGAGTTCCTTTCAATAGTTTTTTTCATTTCTCGCAAAATTATATCAACCCCGTGACAGATTCTTTGGATTAAATTTTGGATCTCGACATAGATTCTTAATTAATCGGTTTATTGTACAATGGGCGGTAGAAGGGATCTGAAAAAGTAAAGAATTCTTTTACGTCAAAACTTTGATAGCTTAATCTTTGCCACGATCCTTCCTTAATAAAATTGACAACCGCAAATTTTACCCATAAAAAGTAATGACTTCATTCATTAACTCTGGTAGTGTAACGTTTGTGCTAGCTTTTCTTTTGCAGTTTCATTGAATAGCAGATTTTTCCTGAATATAAATGTCTTCTTTTTGCCTTTTTAATCTCCTGTTGATTTTTTTTCAAGAACTCCAGGCATATGAGAGTTTTCTAGTCTAGCGTCTGATGTCTTCTAGCTTAAGTTGAAAATCATGTTCGAGATATGATTTGTGTATTCTTTGACGCAGACACAACTGCCTCTTTTCATGTGACCGAAATGATAAGATCGATTCAGAACTGCAGGTGTTATGGTCTTGTGGCCTGGCCAAACCATAATTCAAATAGACAAATCGCCAGCTGAATCTGTCTTATTTCCAGTAAATATAAAAGTCTGCTACTTTATCCGTGTCATTAGTATTCGTCATGTCATGACTATTGTCAGAACTTGATACTTCAGGCAGGGTAATCGGAGGGATTCTGTAGAGCACGTTTGTTAATCTTCGATGAAGCCGTTTCAAATTCACTGTTATGATTGTCTGACCAGTAGCATGCTTGAATGAAATGAGTGGAAGAGCTTCGTACTTGGTCAGTGGAAAGGAAGCGACTCAGTGCTAAAATGAAGCGACTCAGTGCTAAAATTAAGCACTTTTATAGTCCATTCTAATATTGTCCTTTTTTTGTTTCAAATCCTTTTGAAAAGCGTTAGTTTCTGCACATTTTTAATTGTTTGTACAAAACTAATCTGTCATGATTCCAAAGCCAAGTATCTTTAGCCACACCCTTCTCTTTTCATCTGATCCTATCTTTCTACCTTATTGTTTTTTTCGTTTGTCATGATATTAAAGTCACGTTTTTGTTCGTTTTAGGGAAGATGAAATAAGCCTGACTTCGCCAAAGAGTTTTGAAAAGTCAGAGACTGCTGACACCATCCCAAGTCCACGCGTTAAGGGTCGAGCTGAGATTAGAATGGCTGCAGTTACGCAGCTGAAGGAGACTCCAAAAGGAAACGGAGCCATACAATTGGATCAGCTGAGCTTGGAGGAACAGATTCAATACAAAAAAGGGTTGAGGGAATTTCTGAAGGATTCCCTTGCCTCTCGTAAAAGCCCAGCCAATACGGATGAAGGATCATCCTCAAAAACGGGAACTCTTGAGCATAAAAAAGGGAAAGACAGCAGGCTAGGGCATGCAGAACTAAAGGAGCACATGAAATTGACAGAAAAGGATATCGATGCTTTATTAAAGAAGGAGATTTTAGGGACAGGGAAAGAAAGCAAAAATCCAACGAAAAGAAGTAAAGATCCTAAAAAGTCACAAAAGAAAAGCAAGAAAGCAGTATATGGGTCTGAAGATGATGACGACGAGGATATTGTTGTTATCAGGCTAGATCCGAAGCTAGAAATGCCGAAGAAATCGAAACGTTCTAAGGAAAGGAGGACTTTGGAAAACGGAGTTCGTACGAAAGAAGACGATTCGTTTTTTAGAGATGAGAAAGACAGGCACACAGAAAGCAGAACTTCTAAAGGAGATACGTTAGAAAGAAAACATGACAGAAGCTCTTCAAAAAAGGAAACTCCAGAGAAAAAATTGGATAAATCCAAACGAGAGGAGAGCAAGGGCACTCTAAAGCGAGAAAAGAAGCAGGAAAATAAAGAATGGCCTAAAGTAAGTTATGTGGCATCAATTGTAATTTGCATTTGCAGTCATGAAATTTCGGGTCACCTTTTGACATTGCTAACCCATGATCCAGCCAATCCTGTCCTTCCTTTAGCATTTCTTTGCAGACATACATTGCCTTGTCATAACGTTTTCAGAGTAGCGTGGCCTACCTAAGCTTAAAATACTGGTTGTCCGCACGAAGAAATCCAAACGTTTTGCATGTAGGAGACAAACAGCGCTTGAATGTTGTCTGCAAATTAATACATGTTTCTATTGACTTCTCCATTTCCTCTGAGTTTCGAGGGCTGCCTTTGATAGTATGTAATCTACTGTCGACCTCAACTGGTCCAAGAATAAGTGCCAACTTTTTTATGACAATCTCCTATTTACGTATCCTCGTGTTCTTTTGTTTTTTATTTCGACGGTCTTTCTTTCAGTCTTCCTTCTTTCGTTCTTTCAATCTTTCTCTTTTCGATTGCTCGCTGCCATCTTCTTTTCTACCTTACCTAAAATATTTTGCAGTACGTCAAGATCTTTTAGTTAGACTGAATCCACTCTTTAGGTCAAAAGATCGAAACTTTTGGAAGAACTGTGGTGCCAATCCTGTCCATTAAATCTTTACATTCACCCTGTGAACGGTCTCCTGCTTTCCGTTTAAGAGCATTTCTCCACCACTTTTCGTGAACCAAATTTTTCCTTTAGTTATTTTTTAAAGAACACCAGTGCAGTGACAGCGCCAGGAAGAGTTGGGGGTGTATGGGAATCCTAACTACCCTCAAATTTTGGCCAGATATTATTGTGACTTGTCATAGAGAGCAATTAATTTATGTTTGATTTTCGCGAATTGAAACTAGCACCATTAAGTGGGTATGACATCGAAATGCTGACAAAAGACGGCGTTTCTGTTTTATTAAAAGGGCGTAGCCACAAAAAATGTAACCTGCTAAGCCTAATGATAAGTCCAACGATCTGCCACGGTACCTGTTAAAATGGATCTGATATTTGTTTATCTGTCATGGTTGGTAATAGAAACTTTGCTTCATTTTCAGTTCGAAGTGCTTATGGATGAGACGTGTGGAAAAGAGGCTGGGCCAAGCGGAGCCACTTCGCCAAAACTGCGACCTGCCCATCATGAAACCGACAAAGGACACCGCACCCATAGGAGGTCACGCAGCCCGGATTTCCCTTCGAAAGAAGCAACTTTTGAGAAGATCCATAAATTAGAGAAACGATTTAAGCATTTTCTACAATTAACTACAGAAAAACTCGATGAACAAAAGGAAATAGATAGTAAGCATTATAGCGAGCTGAAAAATGATATTTCAAGCATGGAAAGGAATTTGGAAAGGACTACTCGAAATAGCGCTCTTGAAATGATAGAAACGGTTACAAAGGAGCTTGATTGCTCAATGAAAAAATGGACCAAAGCTTTACGTAGTATTAAACGAGAAGGAAAAAGTTCTGAATGGACTAGCGATGCTTCGTCAGATCTTGGTCGAATTTCGCAAAATAGAAAATATGTCGTCACGTCGGCTATAGTAACAAGATCTCCGCGAGATTCCGAGGCAGACAAATCTTCAACCCTTGAACGGCGCAAGGGTTTAAGCAACACTAATAAAAAGGCCAATGGCCACGTAATAATGGAGACTGCGGAGGAGGAAACACCCGCAACGGAGCAGAGTTTATCTGAATGTGCGAAGGAGGAAAAAAGTGTTGTGAGCAAAGATGGCGACGCGGAAAGTAGTTTTGCAGGTAAAGTGAGGATTGGATTTATTATATTAATGAATCTTTAGCATATTTCGTGATTTTTTTATTCAAGTACGAGAATTGCCGTATTTAAAGGAACTCCTTGTAGTTTCAAATAGAAATATTGAATTTTTTCAAGTAAGAGTAACTTGCAGCCCTTTCATGCAAGGATTGTATAGTTGAAAAAAGCGCCAGTTCTATTGGTTTTCTTACATGGCTTTAAGTGTAGATTTCAGTAATTTTTGACAATTTATGTCATGGGATGTAATGAGTAAAATTTGGAGAGAGTCGTATGCCCTTTCTAGAAATTTAAGAAAAAAACACACAAACTTTATTCATTACAAACTGATTAAATCTTTGAATCTTTGGTATCTTCAATGATTAGATCTTTGGTATCTTCAAAATGTAGCGATTAGAAAATTTCAATAGGTTTAAACAGGCTCGGTAAAATAGTCGTGCAGAGAACAAGTACTTTACAAATTCTAAAACTGCGGTAAATTTTAATGTTTCTTCAAAAACTTGCATAAAGAGAAGCTAATAGGTTTCTTATATTTAAAAAATGTTCCTATCTTATAAGTTTTAGCATTAATTAGTTTCTTATGTGTAATTTGATAACTTTTGTGGACTTTTCCCGTTGTATATCCGTTTTGAGTTCTTACAGCATTTCCTATAGCTATATGTTTTGTGGGACTAAAATATTTTCAGCCATTCCACCTTTTTTCTTGAAACTGTGCATATTTTTGTATCTGTATTTCACACTACTAAACCGCAACTGGTTTTAAACTGAATAAAGAAGGTTTTATAGAGAATTATTTCGTTTTATAAGAATTTATTTCGACAATACCAACTGCGGTTTCATTTTGAACTTCAAACAACAACTAGGCCTAGACTTTTACTTGGATTGTAATGAAAACCCTGTTAATTATTTAATTTGTTTATCTTCTTTAGGACACAAAGAAGGACGAGCTGCTCCGCAAGGACGTTCGGACGAGTCTTCTCCTAGCCTGCTAAGTAGGCATCCAGGAGATGGGGATCATATGAGCCTCGAAAAGTGGTATCAGGAACAGTTGAAAGAGGCTGAAGAAAGATGGCGGCTAAAAGCAGAGTCAGATCAGCAGGCGCTGCGAAATCGAATAAAAGAACTGGAAGATGTCCTTTTCCAGTTTACTGGAACGCATAACACGATGGTGTAGGGTTACAAGATCTAGGCACCCTGTGGTTAACCCGGTGGAAAGCTTTGAAACTGTTGGCTTTGGTTGGAAAGTGCTCCTATTTTGTGAGGTTGTTTGTACCTGGTACAGTTTCATTTTTCGAGAAACCTCTTCCGAATCTGCGGACAGAATTTGAAACGGTAAACAAACAGACATGCGAGCATTGGAGTTTTTAAACATTGCAAGAAGTCCCTTCTAGCTTCTTCATGCTCAATGTCCATGTTAGGTGGGTGATGGACAATAGTAGCATTGAATGCTTTTGTATATGAAAGGGCCAACCTCAGCAATCCCAGGGTCAAAATATGACAGAATTTGGCCGTCAGTTCCCTCTGCTTTATTTACAAAGTACCCCAGCACCTTTCTGTTTATATTTAGTTTTCCAGACATGATGCTCCCTTGGGTTTTACTAGATTTACAACATCGTTTCATTCATATGCAAATCGCAGTTTAGGAAAAGTTTAACAAAGCAACGATTTTTTAAAATATCATTTTCAAATACATCATGATATTGAGGCAGTTTGAAATCTATCACTAATCTTTTGTTTAGCTGAGATCAAAATGTGTCATCGACCACGTTATCTATCCTCTACTCATAAATCCGGTTGTAATTTTATGTTTACGAAACATTAAACTACTTATATCACCAAACGATTCATTCGACTGAAACTGCATTTGGTGATGCAGACCAACGGGCAACATAATGATTTATAAAGAAAATTTTTCGGTCCACTCTAGTTCCCTTTTTAGTTTACTTTTCCTTGAGTAGGTCCAGCATTACCTCCAATAGTCGAAACTATAGCTTTCGTTTTAACATAGGTATTGGTAAAAAAGTTTGGTATTCATGATAATGAATTTATAGACGTGCTACCACTGAGGCACATGCAGCTGGGTGCTGTGACATCATTTCGTGATCGTCCTTTAGACCAGCATGTTGATTGAACAGAGTAACCAGTGTTGGATTATTTCCTCATTTTGCTCTTTTTGGAAAATTTTATTTGCTTTTGTTGGGAAATTTCTCATCAACCCATGTTGACTTTCACTGGACAATTTATCAATGAACTTCTACCCCATTTGAAAAAAAAGATGCATTTGCCTTCCAGGACTTGTGCCTCAACGTTTCTGAATACACTTCCAAATCTTACTTAGCAGTTTATTTTGCATTTTCGAGTGCCCGAAGATGTCTGTATTTTCAGATGATTTTTCTTATAGGGTTACTATATTATTTAGTTATAAGATATAATGATGAAGGATTTCCAATATATTTATTAGAGTTGTTGATAAATTGAAGCAGAATTAGAAGCCATTTTTCTCAGCTGACTCTGTTTAGAAGCCATTCCTACAGAAAAGCTGTTCTCGCTTCTAATATGGACGTTACATAAACACAATTTTCACCAAGTTGTACGAATCGTCCATAGTTTGATTTATGCACGCTGTCAGAAATGTTTTTCCAATCGCAATATTCTTTTGTTAACGGTTGTGTTTCTTGTCGAGAGATCATATGTTGTTAATATGTACATTTGAGGCTTAATTTACAAGTCAGAAGTTGATGGTTAACATAATGTAGAATTTGTGTAGAAGAGGTATTTTCTCAAATCAACTGAAGCTGTGTGTTTTTCTTAGAAATTCCAACTTTGCTACTGAAGTAGTCTGCCATTAAGACCCATCTCATGTAGCCCAAGTTCGGGTTGTGATGATAATTCTAAATTAATTTCACTGTTATGATTTTGAGAAGATTCCCTAGTACCCCTTCATACGTCATATACTTTCAAAAGGAAAATGGTAAGATGCACCACTTGGTTTCCACGTAATTTGTTGAGGCCAATAAAGGAGTGCCCGAAAACCAAACTCAGCTTAGAATTAGCCAAAAAGTATGAATTTTCCGTCGAGTCAGGCAACACTGGATGAGCTTTGGAGGTTTATTATCCCAAAAATGTCTGTTTGATTGGCCAAATAAATCGTAATTCGGTACTGTCAATTGAAACATTTACAAAGTTTTGTTCTATGTCCATTTGTAATGATGGGGGAATCCAAAGGAAAGGAAACCTTAACATCGGAGTGAAGTTGCTATATTTGTATCGAAAAATATGTTTCACTGCTCGGTGCCTGTTCAGGCTTCTTGCTGGAGTTTCACCAATTATATTTCCTAAGCGGCAATCTACCTTGGGTGGGAGGAAAGTAGTGAATAGCAAAACATGTTATTGGAAATAAGAAATATATTGTCCTTTCTCAATCATTTTACTGGCAAAAGAACGAAAGAGGGGAGTGCTATGCGAAATAAGCTGATAAGAAGCACTGCTAAACAGTGACTTCAAGAAGAATTCAATTATCAAAGGTTAGAGTCGACGATCATGATTTTTCGCAACATTTGATGGCTTATGCACAAGTGATTTTCAAAAGCTGGAATCATTTGCTGCAACTGCGTGATTATTTTCCAGTCATTTACAGCTTTCCCTGTAAATCTATTCGCGTATTGCCTACAGCGAATAATCCCGATGAATTGAAACTAAAGGTGCAAAGTATCATGGTATTTGTTTATTGAAGAACCGCAACTAAACATCGTGAAACTTTGTCTGTGCAAGTTCCTTGATATAGCTTACTTATTGTCAGTCTCCAACAGCAGTCGGTAAACTGAACTTTCCTTGGTATTCTGCTAACCAGGTTCAACTAATGACACTTGTCATCTAAAGTATAAGCGCAAACAACAATGGAGTAAGAGCTGATGCTTGATGTAGCCCAACAAAAAAAGTTTCTCAAGTACCATTCACATTGTTGTTACAGCTCCAGCTCTCTTTAAGCCTTGAGGCAGCTCGAAAGCCTTGAGGCAGTAGGTCTTTCCAAATTTTTCATTTCACTATCATTATATCACTATCATGATAAGGAAAGTGTTTTAGTGCATCAATCAAAAAAATTTTTCTATGTCTTCGATGAAATTTCTTGCTTTGCACTAGCAGATAAATGTATCAAAAACTCACAATTCTTAACGTATGATTTTATACTGTAAAAAATTTCAGCAATGAAGCTATTGTGTGTAGATCAAGTTCCTTTATTGTCACAATCATTCTCTCATTACAGCCGAAACGTAATGGATCTCCCGAAGTCACTGTCCATGAAAGATTTTGTCATTCCAAGCCAGTTTCTTCCTAATCTTGACCAGTGACATTCTTTATTCAGAGTGAATTGTGGATTAACTGGAGTTCTTCTGTCTTGAAATCCCTTAACAGCATTGCTGTTTTATCTCCAATCCTTCCCCTGTACATTAGAAAAATGCATAGCTACCTCAAAATAGACCTTAATATCACGAATGCCTACAGTTTCAAAATGCCTGACATTCATGCTAGGTCTCTATGGCTTTAACTATAGTTTTACTTTACGTCATAACTATAGTTTTACATTGAACAATCAACTGTAGTACCAGAGCCTTATTTGCAAAATTGAATGCAGTTGTGTGTGTGTGTGTGTGTGTGTGGGGGGGGGGGGGGGAGCTGACAATTGACTACAAGTTTAACACTACCCCCACCACACCTACGCTCATTTCCTTTTCATGCAATGCAGATGAAGTGATAAATAAACTTATCGATTCGTTCGTTCTTACACATGTCTTCAGGTTTTTACAAAACAATTAAACAAAATTTTCGAGAATGGCCCTTTTCCTGAAGAATTAGCAGTTGGTATCATTATACTTCTCTTCAAAAGTGGTGACAAATCAAATCTTGAAAATTATAGGGGTACCATCTAAGTATTTTCGGCAAAATATTTTCAGGGATCATACTAGAAAAGTTACAGCTCGTTGCAAAAGAATTTAATCTACTGCTTGAAAACCAAGCAGCATACAGAAACGTTTATCGGACTAGTGATCGCATTTTCACTTTGCACGCGTTAATAGAAATTTTTCTCAATTATAAGAAATCTCCTTTATTTATTTGCTTTGTTGATTTTATAAAAAGCATTCGATTCTGTTGATCATAAGCTGTTGTTACAAAAGCTTCTATCCTATGGCATTGGGGGTAAATTTCTAAAGATTGTTTCCTCACTATACTCTAAAATGAAATCTAGTGTAAGAGGTGATGATATGCTATCTGACATTTTTGTTTGTTCTCGTGGTGTAAGACAGGGCTGTTTGTTGAGTCCTGTTTTATTTGCTCTTTTCTTGAATGATCTGGATGGTTATATTTGTGATACTTCCTCGACAGCGTGTTTCTGGGTGATGTCAAAATCAGGACGTTACTTTATGCTGATGACTTAGTTTTACTCACAGAAGCAGATGGTCTGCAAGCTCAGCTTACTGAACTCGATCGTTACACAAAGAGGTTTTAATTGTCTGTGAATGTTGATAGAACCAAAATTTTGGTTGTTGGTAGGAATACTAGTAAATCAATATCATCACACGCATGGAAAATATGGAAATGTGTGGTAAAAACTTGCAACTCGTAAAAGTTTTTTGGTGTCACTTTTAATTCAAATGGCTCTTTTGGTGATCATGTCAGAACAGTTAAAGAAAAGGCTCAGAAATCGTATTACGCACTTTTATCGAAAAGTAGGGATTGGGGTGGTTTTAATCCGAGGCTTTTTATGTTCTTGTTCGACAAATTGATCATTCCTATTATGAATTATTCGTGTGAGGTTTGGGGCCAAAAGGAGTGGCCAACTCTGGAAAATCCACACTTGCAAGCCTGCAAATATGCTTTTGGGGTCAAATCGACAACGACATCAGATGCAATTTACGCGGAATCAGGCAGAATTTGATATATTAGCTATCAGGCATATTGCCATGATTAAATTTTACTTAATAGATTATGTAATTCAAGTCCGAAATGCTGCTCAAAATTTGCTTTTCTTATGTTTTCAGATGATGCTTTGACCGGTGTTAAAACCTGGCTTTCTCAGATACCAAGGAACTGTTCACATTCTACAACATTAATGTCTCTGATAGTATACCTGCTATTAAATCTAAGGTAATGCTTTTCTTCACTTTAAGCATCAGGAAAAAATTAAAGGCCACATCATTAACGAAAAGAAGCTACGGACCTATGCGCTACTGAAAACCACTTTTACGTTTGAAAAGTATCTTGATATTATTCCAGATTTTTAAACAAGAAGCATGCTTTGTAGATTAAGACTTAGTTTTAACAACTTGCATATTGAGACTGGCAGATATGGCAACAAGCCTACCCCTAAGGATGAAAGAATCTGCAGATATTGCGATTCGATCTCCATCCACGCTACTGAAGACAAATTTCATTTTATAATGGTTTGCCTCCTTTTCTCTGAAGAAAGGAATAAACTGTCGGTGAAAATTGAAGCGAGTTGTCCTTATATAAAATATCTTAGTCACGAGAACAAGTTTATTTGGATGATGAGTCAAGAAGATACTGACTTGTTTCAAATTCTTGCGATAACACCACTAAGGCGAGCATTTCAAAAGCGTGAAATTTATCAGACATTTTGAAAAAAATGTGCTGATCAGTTTGCTGTTGTTTGTTTAAGCTGTTATACTTTTTGTAGCCATTTAAAGTAATATTTTAGATGTAGCAATTTTAATTAACCATTGAAAATTACGACGTTATGTTTTGTTGTAGTAGATTAAGGGCCATTTCGGCCTATACATCTATTATTATTATGATTATTTTGTAAATAAGCAACAACAACGTCAGGTCTCTTTCTCGTGGAGTTGTCAACATGGCGGCCGTCCTCTCGCACCAAGGAAAGTTACTGCAATCTGTATCCTTTCTTCAGTCGATTTTTTTCTAAAGGAATTACAGCGTATATAAAAGGAACTATAAAGAAACGTTTCAATTTTCTCATGAGAATTATTCTGATGTTTCCATACTAATTTTTAACAACATTGTACCAGATCAACCATCGAATTTGAATCCTTAAGGATGACTGCACAACTGATGACTGGCCTACGGGAAAGCATTAGCCTGAATGCAGATTTTACTGCTTTATCGTTTAGTTTAATCGCAGTGTTAAACTGAAGATTATCTCCCAGAAGAGTCTTATTACAAGCAAAACGAAGCTGTCGAGTCTGCACGCAGGCTAGGCAGGACAATAACGAACTAGCGTACCTTTTCGACGCTGATGATCTGTACCCGAATCCTATCAGCACGTGTGGTTTCATATGAGAGACCACAGCAGAGAGGTATAATAGTGCATTAATACTCCCTAAACAGGCGGTTGCATGCCAGAGACATGAACAAAAACAAGAAGTAAATAGATGTTTTAAAAATTGGAGAGTCCCATTTCAATCTCTGTGAGTTTGTTCTCGTGATTGGTTGCTTCTGTTTACAGGGCCAATGCCACAAATTTGAAAGTGAGGGAGGGCAATGCTGACAAAAGTGGGGACCAAGGCTTTTTTCACCTTCTATTGCATCTTTGAAATTATTTGCTTACCAAAAAATTGGGGGGGGGGGGCATTGCCCCCAGCCTTCCCAATTGCGTGGGCTCTTGTTTATCAGAAAGCAACATAATAAAGTGTTCAATTGTTAGCATACAAAAGGAATCTGGATATAAGTTATTACTTCTATGGTGTAGCATCCATTGAGAGTATTAAAGTGTAAAAATCATCTGGGTACAGTAGACTCTGATGGTTCTAGTTGGGAGTGAGCAAACTGCCATGAGTGACAAAAAGTATCAAACTGGCTCGATATCTAGAAATTCGGCTTGTGAGGCAAACTTCACAGAAAACCACCACAAACATGAGGCAAATAGCTGAGTTAAATGTCACACATGCCATTTGGCTCAGCTAAAATCTCTTGTGTGCACTCAATGTTATGATGTTTCTAAATTCTAAAAAGGGCAAGTGTTTTTATATCTTTATATATTATACCAAATTGAAAAATGTGACACTTTTCTATGAGATCTTTCTTGTGCCAGAGGCTCGTCAATAAAAGTAATATGCGAAAAGTTGGTTGGATTATCTTCAGGTGCAAGCAGAAAGAGGGAAAAACTGTCAATTAGAATATGTTTGAAATGGAAGAAATTTGTGTAGCTCAGCTAAATGGCAATTTTTTTAATTTAATAGAGATTAAACTCAAATAAGGTAGTGTTTGCAACTTAGGCCACAAGAGTGAAATTACCCAAAACATGTGTCCTTTTTAAAAGACATACAAAAATCTAGGCCAGGTACACCAAAATTCTGTGATTTTTATGCTCTTTTGTGTGCACCTGATGTACTTTCCAGTTTGGGTTTTGTAGCTATGTCAAGAAATTTGATAACTGTTAGTGGAAAATTTTTTGCTGACCTTTAGAAGAGCTTACAGTTCAAGTGTTTTTATAATTGTCACCGTGTTACAAAATCACTATAACAACTCCACAGATGTGAAAGTGAGCAACCCTGGTTGTCTATTGTTGGGCTTATAGAGAATTGAATAGAACTGAGCAGCAATTGACTCTTTTCAGCTTTTCATTCGGTTTTGGTCTCATCCTTGAAAATATCAATTATCAAGCTTGGTACAATTTTCATTTGCAGGTTTGTCTTATCGTTTCTAAAACTATGTTATTAGAAACTGAGTAGAAGAAAGTAATAAAACATATTTTATTTGCCTTCCTTAATTATTTGAAGATACTTCCAAAAAGCAGCTTCCTGAGAGCGCTTTCATCACAAAGAAGAATCGATGTGAGTATTCTATGAAAATTATCTGTTTTTTTACTTTTTTATTTCCAAGCAGCATAAAACCAAGTACTTTTTTGTATCGCTTTATCCTGAAAGATGTTCACATTTCAATGCAAAGACATAAAATTATACATATGCTGAAGTACTGTCCAAAAGTTGAATGTAAGTATACAGATAATTTACGTAAAAGTGCAAATGATTAGCACACATAATTTGCTAAAGCATTATGATGTACTCATAATGTTCTTTGATTTTTATTGTCAGTGTTGAAATACTGAAAACATATTTATTCAATTAATTCATTCAATGAGATAACTATAAACTCGACAAAGATGTGCACTAATGCAACTATGTTGGTGCATTTTTATAGGATGTTGTGATTGTTAGTGCCAAGAGAACTCCCATTGGGTCATTCAGAAGTGCCTTGGCAACAATTCCTGCTCCAAAACTGGGTTCAGTTGCAATTAAAGCTGCAATTGAAAATGCAGGTAAGTTATGAGATCAAAGCCCCCTAGTGAAGATAATTAATTTTTCTATATTAATTATGAGATCTTTAACCCAACATGGCACAACCTTTGTGCTACTAGATAATCTTTACTAGAGCGGTAAACATCAATTTTAATGGCAAAAAGGTTCCCATGTCTTTAATAGAAAACATTCTGCATTTTGTTGACTTTGCTCTACAAGTATTATCTATTTTTCGAGCTGCTGTGCTTTTGTTTTTAACTTCCAAAGCATACTCTTTTTTCAATTTTTGCTATGTTCTAAATCCTTATTTCTGTCACAAAAGGAATGTCATATTCCATTTTGATATTTGTTATAATATCGTTTGAAATATTATACAATAGAATGTCCAATTAGCAGAGATTTTTTTTCTGTTAGTTGTTTTCACGTGTAGAAAAAAAACTTTGTTGTTCTGTGGTCCATTCTACTTTGATTTACAGGGAATCTGCCCCTGATTGTGCTCAACTTTATTTCATGGGAGTGAAATTCGCACACTGTTGAGCTTGATTGATAATTAAACGATTAAAACCAATCAGAGACAAATTTGATTCCAGAGCTTCTGAATCAAATGGCTGTGCTGCCGCTGTAGTGAAGCTGTGGCTAGAAATATTTTGTTCCCTGTTTGGTTTCTGCCACAGATATGTCAACAGGGAAAAGAAATGCTTCCATTATCATCATTCAATTCCGTTAACTAAATTTTCTTGTCATTTCCGATAGCCTTTTGCAAGTGTCGTCCACTACTGCAGCTAGGACAGCCAAAGCGAGCAGTGTAGTCCGTTAAGGCGGGAAGACCGATTGTTCAATTTAGCCAGTCATCGAGGGGACAGACTGCCTTTAAATATAAGCATAAACTTTAGCTTTAATATCCTTTCAATGCTAAGTTGACTGATTTTTGTAGGATTACAACCAAGTGATGTTGGTGAAGTCTACATGGGTAATGTTCTATCTGCAATGTCTGGCCAAGCACCAGCACGGCAAGCTGCAATTGGTGCTGGTGAGTTTCCACACTGTTTTTCATTCCACCTAGACATAAAGGATTTGTACACACTTCATTGCTAATAACTGACTGCAAAATCTTTGAGAGTTTTTTCAAGCTTTTAGGTGAAATATTAACTTTTGTGCATCAAGATACTGAAATTCACTTCAATGCACCTATTTTTACTCTATTGCTACAACTTGTTTTAATTGCTCCTCCGATTTCTCTTTATTATGCTGAAAAGTGTTTAGTTTTTCAATCACCATTTCTACTATCCAATTTTCCTTTTTATCATTTTCTTGTTTTCAACTAATAAATTTTCTCTGTGTTGGCAGTGCACTGTTTTGTCTCTCTTCATCTTTCTTGTATTTTTGCTTACCTTTCCATCCCCTGTATTGCTCTTCATGAATGTTCTTTTCACTCTCCTAACAGTAGTTTCTTCTTTTTTAATAGACTTTTTCATCTCTTTCTACCAGAATTCAGCATTTCTGCCCATCTAATGCCTTTTCTTTTTTTGTTCTTTCTCTTTTATCTCCTTTCTACTAATGTCCTTGCCTTTGCTGCATTTGTTCAATACATTATTATTTCAATTGACTAACCTTCATTTTAACTTTTAAATTTACCTGAGCTCTTTTGCTTCCCAAACTGCTCATAACTCTGGCTTTCTACTCTTCTTTACTCTATTCATTATCTTTTGCTATCTCTATATTAGCTATGAAACAAGTAGATAGCGATGTATCTAGATATGATATGATATGATTTTTTAATTCTACTTATCGAAAACCAAATATTACTAAACTCAGAGATTTTTAGCTTAGAGAGAGTGAGTTTCCAATTTGTCCTCTACATTCCTCATTTCACCTAAGAACTCGGCTTCCCATTTGTCTTACTCAATATTATCATTCTTCTCCCCTATTCCTCTATTTAAAGCAAAACCTGTGCTTCACATTTATCCCTCTTGATTTCTCATTTAACAGGAATCCCAACGACAACTCCTTGCACAACGATAAACAAGGTATGTGCCTCTGGCATGAAGGCGATAATGATGGCATCTCAAGCAATCGCAACAGGCTGCCAGGTTAGTAATGCCATTTTAAATACATGCATGAAAAGAGAGAATAATTTGATATTAATTTTGGGAATGATGATAGTAACAAAAGGGAGCATTTCTGAAGTAAAAGAATGATTACATATCAAGAAACTTTTTTGTATTAAGTTATTTTTTGTCGTCATTGTATGACGTTCAGCTTATAGTAGGATATCAAAATTATGGTAACTTAATAGGTTTGACGTACGGGGACGTGCCATTATTTAGGGGTACCTTTTTTCCAAAAAATGCGGAATTATGGGTATCAGTTTTTCAATTATGTGCGGAATTATGGGTACCATTCGAAGAAACATGCAGAATTGTGGGTACCATTTTGGAAAACCAGTTAGCTAGGAACTTAGCGACATCATTAAGCATGCAAAAATCATATTTTGACAACCATGGCTATAAATGGAACTGGAGCTCTTAAAGACAGTTTCCGGAAATGCAAATAAAAATGGTGTGCAAACAACCAGGATTACACAACATGAAAGGGCTGAAAGTGCCAATAACTATTTTAATGGAACATTTCTTGAAATTGTAGAGCCAAGCACCAACTTTGATGGGACTCGTAGATCCCAAAGGACAAGGACCACAATAAACCATTTGCATTAAGGGAATCCAATCATGTAAAAGGTTACAAGAGCAACTTTGATTTGATGCCTGTCAGGCATTAGCCAATAAGATAACAGAGACCTTGTTGATGCATGTCAGCACAGTTTTTGCACTTTTTTGGATTACATAATGAATTGAATTGCTATATTGTGAACACCTGACTTACACCAAAGGGTTCCCTAAACGCGCTTGGAATTGAGTGATTGATGTGTAATGTTAAAATTTTAGAACAAAGGACATACAAAAGTTGTTTGAAGTTTTTGTTGTATCTTGGAAAATGTTCTGTGTCTTGCGGAATTATGGGTAGACTTCTACTCATTTTTGCGGAATTATGGGTCACATTTTCCCAGAAATGTGCGGATTTATGGGGCTAAATTTTGAACCAAAATGGCACGTCCCCGTCCAAAACTAGGCTTAGTTACTCCCCCACCCCGAGTTGGTAGCACAAATTTTGGTTAGAGGCAGAAACAAATGATAAGTATTGAATCTGTGCATGTTCGCTTCTTCTTGAGGAGAATTGTTATAGCTAATTTTGTCTCAGGACCCTGACTGCATTTCCTATAGTTTCATGTAATTTCACTGACTGTTCTATTTGCATTCAGGATATCATGGTAGCTGGTGGCATGGAAAGTATGTCAAATGTCCCAAATTACGTCAGCAGAGAGACACCAGCGTATGGTGGATTTAGAGTCGAGGTTTGTCGAGTAACATTATATGCATGACGCATGAGGGGTCTTAACCTGCGTATTACAATGTCGTTTGAAGTTCCCTTGACCTTAGATCTAAGTTCAAAGAGATACTTTGGACGAAAATGGCCAAAAATAATTTTTTTCTACTTTCGAAAGTACTTTCGAGTCGAAAATATCCTTTGATGGCACAGCTTTCATCATGGGAATAGCATTTTGAAAATCATGATTATTGTTCTCAGAAAAGGAACGTCTAGCTGACAAGATTTCTGATGTACCGATTTCATTTAAGCCTTTTGAAGCGAAGTTAGCTACATCTATGTACCTGTGGTATTTTGGCGTGGATGCTGGCAAATTAGAGTTTAACGGTTCGGCAAAACTATGAAATATTGCCATGTGACATTTGTGCACGGACGGAGAATATTATTTAATTTACTTCTGTGGTATGAATCTACACTGCACATTTAACTGTGCACCTTTTATGTTTTGAAGATGAGAATTTTTTGAATAATATAAAAGCAGATTGTCACGAAAAAACCCATGTAGATCAAAATCCAAAGTAAGCTAACTCTTCAAAGGAAAATCAACAAAATAGAACTTTTGGATTCTTCTTTTAAAATATAAAATTTTGCAGTTTTTTCTTGAGTCTATCACTAAAATTTCTTATATACCAATGTGAAAATGGCTTTGAAAAAAGCAAACATTTTACAACATACTACTACCAAGTTACATAAGTTACATAAAGGCGCAGATCAAAAGTCATGTGGGTGGAGTGGTGCGTTTGATTGGTTCATTGCTTGTTCAGTCAGCAATGACGCATAATTGAAGATTCCTTGCTTGGTTGCGTTTAATTACTGGAAATTTACTTAAAGCTTACACTTTATTGCTCAAATCGAAATTGAGTTGGTTGTCTAGGAGAAAATAATGTCGCAAAATATTTGGCTTTAAGGTTACTGAAGTATTTGACCAATAAAGGTGTTTTTGGAGAGTCCTAAGCGGTGTTTTAATGTTGTTTATCGTAATGCTAAGATAGCAATCATTAAATCTAATATTCTCAAAGTTTCTTGCCCTTATTCAATTTATTTTATCGTCGAGTGCAATGGTTGAATGCAGTTAAAGACGAACTTTAAACGGGATTAACATGAAACGAATCACAGACTGTCTCGGCCTGATATCTTCATAATTTTCTCAGTAATTATCCATAATTAGCATCATTCCAGACTTCAAGCCTCCAACAGAGGAGGCTCAGCTTCTGTTGTGCATTTTGATTATGCAAAATCAGTCTTGTGTAATGTCCGCCAATAGCATTGGTACGATACGCTATATCTGTTCGCAAGACTTCATTGACCAGCACTGATCCCTGTTCAAAACCCAAATATTTTCCAATAGACTCCAGTCAAGCACCTATCATCATCAGGTACCATCTTCTATCAGAAGGTTGGCTACCATGACCCTCCAACTATCCCAAAATCTGAGTTTTGGTTTGTTGTCATGGTCATAGATAAAACTAAGGGGCTAATAGTAGAGATGGGCTCCCAGAACCACCTCTACAACGTTTTTAAAGGGACACCATCCCTCTTTCCAGGAGTTCTTCGGCCCGAAGCCGTTGACCCCTGGAGTCGTAGCTCATCCGCCCTGAAGCAGTGGCATGCTTCGACAGGCATCTATGCCAGTCATTAAACCTTTCAACAAAGTTCTGCTACTCAGACTATAAGCTCTTCTTTTTCAAAAAATATATTCAAGAATGTAGCAATGACTTTTGGCGGGGATAGTAGCAAATCCTGGACACTCAAAATGTTAAGTTCATCTCGCTACTGTCCATACTGTCCTCTGTTTATGCAAACAGATTGCAAGGAGCATTATTCCTACGCATCGTTCTTTTTGTGTTATCTTTATAGATATGTCATGTTTTATACGCCAAAACATGTTGTGCATAGGTACATCAATAAATGATTAAATCTGGATTTTCCTCATAGGCGGGTGAAATGCGTACCGTTGTAAATACCCCTGTTTTTCGTGACTAAGCATTTGACTCAATGACGACTGCTACTCATGTTTAACATTGCTTCTAACTATGTCAAGAAGTATGTTCATCTCCAGTGGATTCCATCAACAGTCACTGCGAATGTTGTTTGACAAGCTGTGGCTGTACACGGATGATGACTGTAAACGGAGCTTAATTAAACGTTTTTACATAAATGGGCTAATGTTTTATATGGCTGAAGTGGAATCATCTGTATTAAGGAAACAGGCAAAAAAATCCCCCGTTGTGCTAACATACTGTCTGGACAAATTGATATGATAAACTGTAATGACGCTGATGTCTTCGGTCATCAGTTGCTGTAGTTCATGAAGACTGCGAAGGAGATTTGACCAGACTTTATCTACTCGCATAATCTCACATACACCGTAGATCTCATATGGCTATCTTTTTCAGTATCTACACTAACAAAGGGATTCGATTGCTATGTTTACCAATTCTGTGACCTTTTCAAATTAGCGCTAACAAGCATTTTTGAGTCCCCCCCAAAGCAATCTTTAGTTAGCGTTCGCTGTCCGGTTTTCGAATAATACTGAGAATGTAGATTTCTCTACATTTACGAGGGGGTTACTGGCCTGTGCTCCCGACCCCTAACTTGAAGGTAGAGTGGCTATTGATCAAAAGAACTTTCAAGTTAAGGGTCTGGAACATAGGCTAGGGGATTACCTGCTCCCTCTCCCTTTTTATCACGTAAAACTGTCTTCTTAACGCATTATCTCCTTACAAGCTTAATTATCTAGAATTTTTTCTACCTTGTTGTATCATTGGATCTTTCCTGTTTCATCTTTTCGTCCTTACAGAAGCATTTTAAACATATCAGCTGACTTCAACCGTTATAGTTCTTTCATCCAAACCAATTCAAAACACTCTTTGCTGAAACTGCTAAATAGCCCTAGATCGTTTTTTAATAGTGATATTTCAAAACACAGTATGTCTTTAGTATTTATCTTTCTTGCTTGCTTTAGAAATTTTCTGTCTAATTTTAGGACGGCATCCTTTATGATGGCCTCACTGATGTATACAACAAATTTCATATGGTAAGATATAACCAGATTCCTGGCAGTTTATTCACTGTAGCAAAGGCCATTTTGTATTACAGGTAATTTATTTCAGCAATGCAATTCTGGTCCATGCCACAACGAAAAAATCTACGCAGTCAACTGGCCCCCTGCAGATGTGACATGCAAAAAAACGCACAATATTCGAATATTAAAGAACAACCAACATACAATTAAAACAATAATGAGCAAAAATTGCGAAGAGAAATAACCGAGTTCGGGAAACGAAAATATAATTGGAAGGAGTTCATTGCTGTGAAATCATTAGACAAGTGTCGCTAGCAAAATTTCTTCGATCGTTCTTTGGAGGATATGTTACCTCGCTAATCATTCTTTTCTCGACTAAATTTAAATCTGATTTTGAATCCATAATTGCTATATCTAACCCAGGTAGATCCGTGTTCATTTTTAATCGAGTTTATAGCTACGATCAAATTTATCTAATTCGATTTTCGAATCAATTTTTGTTTCACATTTGAGTCAAGCGTCTTCATGACGATTCCTAAGCATCGCAATGCAAATAATGACGTAGGCGCTTGAGCAAAAGAGCATTCACTCTGCTTGATAAATCGAAACAAATTGAACTGCTTTAACTTTGCAATAGTCAGATCCAAAAATCTGACCATGGTGCTAGTGTTTCGATTTTGGCGATAAAATGGTCAGACCTGGCCTTGTAAACGAGGCTTTGTAACGTCTAGCCTTAAAGTAGCGTTCGCTCATACTAATGCAGAAAGAATGCTGGGATTATTTTGCCCTCGAAAACGCCGAAAGGCAACAGCTTTTTCTCCTCTTGGCCTTCTTTTTCATTGCTTTTCAGGCTTCTGTCCTTTTCTTGCCTCTCGCTCTCTCAAAGGCTTTTTATCCCTAGAACTGCTTTTTTAGGCCCTAGTTAACATTGGAACGGAACAGCTTATATCTAAAGCTTCTTTTCCTCATCAAATGTTTATAAATTTTCATGTCCCCACAGTTTTGAATGGTAATGGTTTTGCTAATGTTATCTTTGTTGCTGATTTTCAATGTTTGTAAGAAATTCGTCATATTCCAGGGTGTGTGCGGAGAGAATACAGCATCAATGAAGGGGATATCAAGAGAGCAACAAGACGAATTTGCAATTAGTTCATATACTAGAAGTGCTAATGCATGGAAGGTAAAAAAATTTTCCATATGACGTATACAGACTCCTATTTCTTTTTCCATAAAAGCCCCGTTTGCACGATTGTTGTGAAGGAGCAAAACGCGGTTAATCCTTCACTCGTTCCTAGACCTCGAAGTTGCATTAGTCAGTTATTCACGCCACGGTGTAAAGAGAAAGTGTTCAAGTTGGATCGTGTTAATTGTAAATAGTTTATTATGTTCCTGTTGATGTTATGAAATGTTTGAAAACCCAAATGGTGTTTACTTCAAAATGTCCTGACCTAAATCTCTTAAACATATGGCGCCCCACGTGGGACCTATGACCTCCCTATGAAAATTACTTTTTCACTGGTCTGGCATATTGTGCTCGATGCCATGAAGACAGAGTTGTACGCGTTGCCTGATGATCGCATTCAGTATGAATCTCAGAGTTGCAACTTTGAACCTTACTGTTCAATTCATTAGAGCGGTACCGTTTTCGAATCGAGTGTACGTCAGCAGGAATACCTCGAAATATCTGAAAACTTCTAAAAATGGGTGTTTACTTTTTGTAGGTTTTTCACTCAAATAACCTTATGGTATATCTTGAAATGGCAGCTGTCTAGCAACAAACTTTCACATTGCTAATTCGTATTCAAAAATTAGATGAAACATATAATGTTGTTTTTAGATGTCACATTAGACGGAGTAACGACTGTCTGATTTTTTATGTTCATAGAAATTTACAATACACTACTATAAACTACGGTACAATGACGATACCACAGGGGGTAGGAATCTTCATAACAACCCTATGGCCATACACAATTATCTCAAAGTCTGTTCCAAAAGTAATGCTAGGCAAGCCATCCAGTGAGGGTAAATCTATACCAGGCGAAACACTCAGGAGGGTTTGCATGTTTGATGGCCCGAGTAAACCTGAAACTCGGATTTGCAATTCAAAACCGCCCTGTTCCATACACTAAATTGATACTGTATTCAGATGAATATGGGTAATATTATTTCAGTAGAATAAACAGAACGATATCAAATCGTCTTGGTTAATATTGCAAAGAAACTAGCCCCCATGTCAATCCGTATCAATATTATATCTCTGGTGTGCCGCGTAAAATTCTCCAATCTCAACTGATTGGTATTAATGTTGAACATTTCGTCTTTCTTTAATTACACAGAATAAATAAAATTGTTTTTTATTATTGAATACTTTTTCCTTGTGTTTATTTGATTCTTATTCAAGACATTTTGACGAGAATACTTTGTAGTGTGAATGTAGGCCACAGTGTTTCAAAATTTTGACATTTTCTGTTGGTGGTGTGCCTCGTGATTATTTCAATGGAAAAGTGTGCTGTGATCAAGTGATCAAAAAGTGATTGAAAAACATTGCTCTATTGTAGAACTATGATAGTATCTGCATTCATCGGCTTCTCTATTTCAACGGAATGCCAGTGCAGTATGACATCGTACTAGTTTCATTTGAATACTGTATTGTGTAAGCGGGGTTTTCCTTTCACCGATTCATACAATTGCATTACATTTGACCTGACTTATGTCACTTTTGTCATGGATTCCTTCTCTGAAAGGACACACCCGCATGAGCCACGATAACAGAATATGACATCTTTGATTGTCGAGAATTTATTGCTCGTATCAAACCTACCAAAGATCCGCTAGATTTTTATTAATACATGTTGATTAGATTTCTGAAAATCAATTTACTAATTTTTAGGAACCACGTGTCGATAAAATCAGTTAAGTTTTGTCTCTTGATATTGGATTAACGATAATATTAATCTGGTAAATAGGAATTTCTATAGGTGTTTTTTCCAAGTGTGGTAGTTCTTATCTTCAACAGTCTTGCTCGACCGTTGGTATGTTTCTAGCTTTCTACTGGTCCTTTTTTATGCACATCTTCCTTATTTTGTTTTCCCAAATTAGGTTCTTTATCTTTCTTCGTAGAATGGTCGTATCGCCGATGAAATAGTTCCAGTCAGCGTGCCACAAAAGAAGGGTACGTTCTACTGTTTCCTATCTATACTTAAAATGCTATTAAGAATCAAAACTAAACTGGTACTGTAGTACTTATAGGTTAGAACATAACAGATGACTAACTGATCGCTTGACTGCAGCGCTAGTGTTTATGGCTTCCGTCCCAAGTTCATCCATTCGGACACTTGCCCTCCCAATTGGAACTTCTTGGATTTAAGCCGAATCTCCACTGATGCTTGTTTTTTAGCATTCGCTTAAGCGTTCGTACAAAATTCTACTCATGCCATCACACAAGATGTTGTTTAGGGCTCTCTTTTACGATTTTTGTTTATGAGAAAACAAGATATTCGGTAATATCTACATTGAAGGGGAATCAAGCTTTTAAAATGCACGCAAAGTTTTGGTGCGCGAATTACATAAAGACGAACGCTGCAAAAAGTGTCAGTGGAGATTGGCCTATAAGTTGGCGTTGTCAATTTTTATCTCCATACTAGCCAAAATGGACCTTATGAAGGTAAAAATTTCAGATTTGAACTTATACGTTGAAAAAAGTCTGTGCAGAAAATCTCATATTGTTGTAGAGGCCCCGACTTACGCAGTTTTCAAAAATGGCTTTTCCTTTAAACATTTCACTGGGATTTCACTGCAACATCAAATTTCGATCATATCTGTAGAAATATCTAAATATTTTAAAATTGTAGTTCCTTGCGACCTGACGGTCCCAACGACATGACATTTTAAACATAGACTTATTTCAATATAGCGATATTAAATCCGAGGTTCGTTTTTGAAAATTGTCATCAAGTAGCAAGATGCAAATTCAATAGCGTCAACCCTATTCCAACAACAATGGGAAGGCTTTGGGAAAAAAACTTAAATTGTAGACATCAGTTTTTTCCGATCATGCCTTTCACACTATGATGAATATTGCATAAAATTAGCTTTGAAATTAGCTTAAATTGCCTCAAGCCAGAATCTGGAAAACATTACGGTCGCACGGTCACTGACCGGAGGAAGGTCCATGATAAACAAAAGAAGCTCATTTGCCACACCCAAGTCGCGCCCACTTTCTATTGTTTTATAAGCAAGGTTTGCCTTCTGGGGTGTTTTTGTCTGGAGGAAGGTTAACAACTTTTCTGGACTCTGCCTCAAGCTGTATAAATTTTACTCAAAAGAACAATGAAAAAGGCATGGTTTGGGTATGGTGCTTTTGCTCCGTTTCACTGGCATGACTGCAATGTTTCCGGGAATTTGATGGGATCTACAACTCTCCTACCTATTTCAGACATTTCAATCAGTTAAGAATAGAAAGAAAAATTTAGAGTAAATGGTCTGTTCAAAAAGAATGTTCTTTTTTTATCAATGAAATTGTGGCCTTTGGGCTCCAAGCAAAAGTGTGGCAATGTCTTTAAAAATGATCGTTTCTATAAGCATTGGTGCCTTATGTGGTTAAGGTAGCGAGTATCAGTCAGGTTATCTGCTGCTTATCAGGTTAACTGCTGAATCACCTCTTTTCCCTGTCTAAAACCGGCATTCTGTATCTAACTTCCTTGTGAGATTTTCAGTAGGCCTATATTGCTTGAGGGTCTTCCTGAACCAACAGCTACCATGCAAAAATTCTCATCCATTTTCATAGCAGTTGGATTTTATCAGTAAAAATATTTTTAGTGCTTTCTTTCTTTACTTGGCTTTTATTATGACTTTTTTTCTTCTGGCAGCTGGACATAATTCTTTATTTCGGGGAACGTTTCCAAATTTCCATCTGATAAATTTATATACAATTTTAATCTCTGTGTTATTTGAAAGAAGAAATGCCAACCCAACTTTTGCCTGTTTTAATCACAAACAATGTTTTTCTGATTTACGGCTTATTATGTTTACAGTCTGTGATCTTGTTTTTTTTCAGGTAAACCAGACACGATTTTCGCTGAGGATGAAGAGTACAAAAAAGCGAATTTTGATAAATTTTCTGGCCTAAGAGCTGTCTTCAAGAAGGATGGTACAATAACGGCCGCCAACGCAAGCACGCTGAACGATGGAGCTGCGGCTCTTGTTTTGATGGCAGCCGAAACTGCTTCCCAAATGAACTTGAAGCCTCTTGCAAAAGTTGTTGGTACATCAATATTTGCTGCATACATAATTCTCTCTCTCTCTCTCTCTCTCTCTCTCTCTCTCTCTCTCTCTCTCTCTCTCTCTCTCTCTCTCTCTCTCTCTCTCTCTCTCTCTCTCTCTCTCTCTCTCTCTCAATTTCACCTAATTTGTTTCTTTGAGTCTCCATTTGTCCTTCTGGAGTGATCTTAAATGTGACGCATCATTTAAAAGTCTTTTTAGTGGGAGCAGTTGAGTCATTATACGCTTCAAATTAGGATAATTCTTTTCTATTTATTGACTTTTTCACACTTATCTTTTTGTCTCTTTTAGCAATCGGAGACGCAGCCATGGATCCTATCGATTTTCCAATTGCACCGACAGATGCCATGATAAAGGTACTTTGCTTTCCAAGATTTGTAAAAGCAATGATTTATGATACCGTTAGATTTTTGATTTTTTCGCAAGATTGAGAAATGTTACTATGTCTATAATATCTTTGTATTTTAAAGAATGATTATTTCTAAATGAACTTTTGTTTATACTAGTAATCGATAATAAACATTCTACCTCTTGAAGTTAAAGTCATGGATAAATGCTTAGAGTAAATAGCATCTCAATCCATTTTAATTTTTTTATTTCATTTATTTGACGCAATGGTCCCATCACAAGACTGATTTTTAGAGGGCAGTGGAATATTATTTTTCGAATTGCTGTAAAATCGCTTAAATATTGTAGTGTATGAATGTAAAGAGCAAATATACTAATCACTAGTTTCAAAATACCAATTGAATCACATTTATTAGATATATAATAAACAAGATAATCTCTGTTAAAAATTTGAAAGCAATGAAAGTGTGTTTAAATGGTTATATTCCCTTTTTTATTTCACATTATAAATGCGGTTTAAAAGTGACATAGCAGAGGCGGATCCAGACTACAGCAACCTATACAGAAGCATAAGTCAGATTTTTACAACAACAAAATAAAGTAGAAACTATCAAAATGTTTAATAAATAGTTTCTTTGGCAAAATCTTTAGCAACGTCCGTCCTAGATCTGCCTCCCATTGATACCAACAACCTGCAGAAGACAGGGCATATATTTTGCTGACTATCTTTCAGCCTCTGCACAGAATAGTCGAGAGGAAATTCTAGGCATATATCTGGTCCGTATTTTCTGAATTCAGAAACTTGTTTGTCTCTCGAGAGCCAATCACTACTTGTTTGACTTATGCAAACGTCTTGTGAGCCAATCAGAGCCAATCTTTGGCGCGAGCATAGGTCAGATTTGATTTATGGAATCCTACCGGGGTCGGGCAACTCGGATGTTCTATCTTTCGCTGGTAAATTCAGTCTTCACTTTGCGAGTCGATTCCTTAGAATTCTTTTTAAGAACCCCCTATTCAACATCAGTGATACCGATTTTATTCAGAAATTTTGGGCGTTTCCAGCACTTCTCTCTCTGCTAACCTTTGCATAGGTCAGAATCCAGGCTGTATCCGCGCCTGGCATAGGATAATGGCTTTTTTTGCACCTCCGTTTGTGGTGTTCCTTTTGTTTGATTGCGAGCAAATCATTGACCAAAAAATTATCATCAAATTATGATCAGCAACCAATTAGAAGAAAGATTTAATTCTGCAAATTTACAAAAGATTAGGAATTGCAAGAAAATAAACTTTTCGTTTCTGATGCAGCGATTGTCAACAATACCCCTGGAGCTGATGGAATTTGGATTTCGTTTCAGGTTTTGAAGCTTGCTGGCCTACGGGCAGATGAAATCGATATGATTGAAATTAACGAGGCTTTCAGTGTAGTCGTTTTAGCAAATATAATGGTGAGTTCTCATTTAAATACATATAAGTTTCCACCAAATCCTATTTTCTTTCAACTAAACCGAAAAAGTTGCTTCAAATCGTTAATTCCGATGAAGATTTTACAACCCTAAATTAAAGATCTATCTTTGTTGCTCCTGTTTAGGCACAAATATTGGTCGCAAGTCTCTTGACCATTGAATAAGTTTCACCCAAACTTTTTTCTGTTTATTAATTTGGAGTATTGGTCTTGTTGTATTGACGACGTTTTGAGCGCAGTACAGTATTAAGATTTGAATTCCAGTTGGATTTCTGCGCAGAAATTAAATTTTTGCCCCATTATTCAATTTCCACGCGGGAATGGACTTTTCTAGTTTACTGCTCGATTTCCCGCGCGGGAGTTACTATGTGCAGGATTTTATATACTGAATTTTTTTTAATAGAATCTCAACTTGGACCCCGCGAAAGTTAATATGGATGGTGGGGCAGTCTCACTCGGCCATCCTATCGGGTAAGTTGATAATTAATTTTTTTTGGTTATCAATTTATAAGTTTGTCAATACGTCTTTACAAGTGTTTATGATGCTTTTCATATTTCTTTAAATCTTTCAACCTATTTTGACATCATCATACCAAAGCGTTTTATCTTCTCCATAACTGTTAAGGTAAAATCTTGATAACCTTCCGTTTCGATTCTGAATCAGATGTTTTGATCTCTCGATGTTCGGCAGTGTTAGAATTTACGCGAGAATGTTTTTATGTCTGTAATTTAAAATACGCTGCAATAAAAGCAATAAAATTTGAAAGTCCCAAACATAGTTGAAGGGGCGAAAAGTAATCGTGTTTCCAGCATTAATGGCACTTGACATCGCGCGTCGATTTCAACAACAGGAAAGGGAAGAGAGTTTTGCGAGTGGTTGTTGTACAAGAATGTAAAAGAGGCCGAGACAATATCTCTTGGCGGAGCATTTACTACGCCTTTCATTTCTGGACATCATTTCACCGCGTAGTTTTTTACCACGTCGTTTTTTGCCACGTCTGTTATCTTTACCGTATTATTTGCCGATTTAGTTCACCAAGTGGACCAGTTATTTCCTTCCTACGCAGCTACAGAGTTTTGGTTTTGATCCAAGGTCTAGCAAAGGACCACCTTCTCACTGTGACTTGATTGTATAACAGCTTTCTTGGCCATTTGATTCTCAACGTGCTTTTGGATCAGCAGAAATTGATATTTCTTTCACTAGTCCTTCGTTATCAGCGTGATCAGTGAAGCTTCGTTGGATTTTTGCTGTTGTTGTTCACCCTGACCGTTTACAAACGAAACCTGTTTACAATATCAATACGAGGCAACTTCATATGATCAGTCTCAGTTCCATTAATAACAACGCAGTACTAATATCATGAGGCATCGTATTTGGGTTTACAATGTCCTTTTCATGACGCCATTCCGTTAAACAATGCCGTGGAAAGCTTTTTCAGCTACCAATATAAATGCGGCTCAGGTTTGCTGAAAATAATGAAACTTGTTAAAAACATTGGCTCCTGAACCGAGACAGTTAATTTAAGAAAAAAGAAAAATGTGCTGTACCTTGCAATAAACATTGCCGATTTAGTACAGTGTATAGAACCGCAGTGCCATCACAAATTTACATGCTAAACATCCCTTATTATTGACATCTTATTTGCTCTAAAACAAGGTTTTCGAAAGACTAGAGCACTTGTTAGCAATGAAATCTTAGAAAAAGCTAAGAAAATTTTTAGGTTCAAAACACATAGGCTGAACTAGATTTCTTTGTTTCTCATAAAAATGGAACGGGTAGTGCTGATCACCATTTCAGTCTGTTTTCAACCCTTTCTCGGGAGCGCTTTATCCGTGGCGCTAGCATCTTTTATTGATCATTATGTTCTTCTCGTGTCTTCCTAATTTAATCTGAAGTTATTTTGCAAAGGATGTCGGGAGCTCGAATCATTGGTCACATGGTACATCAGCTAGAGAGCGGAAAATATGGATTAGCAAGCATTTGCAACGGGGGCGGAGGAGCATCTGCGATGATTATCCAGAAATTGTAGTCCTAATTATTTTAGTCAGACGAATGGCTTGCGGGGTGAAATGTGAGTTTTCTGTTTGGTAGAGTTATTTATTGAAGTTGCTAAGAAACACAGAGATGAAGTCAAACATGTTTGATATGTGTGAAAACTCTTTGATCCAACAAAGAACATTTTTGTGCAAGAATTACTGGTAATTAATCTAACGGCTTCGTTTTTGTAATTTGTGGTCCATTTGATTGTTACTCTTGAATTTCATACATTCTTTCAAATCCAACCCTTCCTGAAGATATAGGATTTTGTTTCAACAATTAAGGCCTATCAAAAGATACATTTTCATTCACAGGTGTATAAGGGGAGGGGGCTGGGGGTGATGCAGCCCCTTGGATTCGTCAAAATTTACAGACAATGCGACAAAGGATACCCCGTACCTTCACTCCTTTGTCGCTCGTATTCCCATATCCTCAATGATAGCCCTTAAGGTAGTAATTCACACTTTTAAAAACTTGCACTGAGGCAGACACATATGGACATAAATGAAAGGTTCCTTCATGTAACACATTCAACTTTTCAAGAGTGAAAGTTGAAGATATGATGCAATTGAAAATTAAGATTTTTTTAAGAAAAATATTAATTATGCTAATTAATGCAAATTTTAACGACGCGCTCTTTTTTTCTTGGGCAGTCGATAACTTTTTAATGGAATCTCCTATTCAGCTCAAATTTTTACTGTGTATTCCACTTGAGTGCATGTGTGCAATGAATAGACAATTCCTGAAAATTTTCACTTAAAAAGGAAATAATGGCAAAAAACCATGTTTCCATGGTAACGGCTACCATATTTGAAATTTGAAAAATTCCTTTATTCATTCCACTTTTCATATTATTTGCTACAGACTGTGAAAATTTCAAGAAGATTGCTTATCATATGTAAAAGTTATCTCCTGCCCAATTTCATGATTCCTAAAAACAGTGTTTTTGAGAAAATTGACTTTAAAGTTTTGGCTATCTTTTTTCAATATTCTTGGATCTATCTGGGGCCATAACTTCATATTTACCCCCAGTTTTGCTTAAAAAAGACTAAGCATTATTTTAATATACTTATTTTGCTAATAAGTTTTCAAATGTTCACTATATTCTCCAAAGGAACTGCAAATGTTATTGGGATGTCTGTTATTACGTCATCAGAAACAGATTGGTCAACTTTATTTTGTTTGTTGCAATCAGAGTACTGATTTCTCTTTCTTCTTTTAGTTGAGATTGGCTTTTCACCTCTACTGTCAAAGGCCCCAGGTTCATAATGTTCTTTTTCAGATCTTTTCATGTTAGTTTTGGTCCTTTTTCTACTTATTCGCCAACTTTTATACTTTGAAGTGACTTTCTGTGCTGCAGAAATTTGGCGAATGTGGTCTTCCTTCTGAAGAGACTTCAAAGATTCCTCTCCAATATCCTCAATTCCAGCTTCTTTTAACATTAGTGCCCTTGATCCAGCACCAGTGTTAAAACAGCAAACTGCTTCTGATACTGCAGACTCTATTCTAACTTTGCTACAGAAGGTTGCTTTGGGACACCTTTCCCAGTTCATATGGTTTAGACTCTCATTTGCATTTTGCGTTACACCTTTCAGGCATCTCTCAAGCAAATCCTTTGATGTCAATCTTTTGAAGATAGGCTCTAAAATGTCAAAAAAGGAGCTTGGTAATCTTTTGCTTCCATCATAACTCTTCTTGCCAGTAATTAGCTCTGCATTAAATTTGCACCAAGAGTCTTTGCCTTTAGGGCAAAATTTGTGCTGATCATTAAGGGTAGATGCTGTTGCTGGCATGACTGAATGGTGAAAAATTGCCCAAACATCATTCTGCATCTGAACCAGGTTACCTCTGTTGGCTCTTATGGAATTACCAAAATACCTTTGGAAACTGTCAATTCTTTCTTTTGTCAATCTCCCTTTACCACCTATTGTTTTCCCATCTAACATCTTTTTACCTTTCATTTCTTTCAGAAGTGTTCTTAGGGCATTTCCCATACGCTTCTGTATATGTCCTATGCATTCCTCCTTTACAACCTGATACCTGCTTCCATAAGCTCTTTCCAATTCCTTACTCACAACCTTGAAGGTGTCACTGTCACCATCTCCAATAAAAGTTGTATATTTTAATCCCCTTCCTTCAATTGATCTTAGGAAAATTCTGGCTGCACCAATTCCTTCCATACCACCAGATGACCCTTCATAATTTATTTGACAAGAGGCATCGTGATTTGCTTTCCACCTTTTAAAAGCTTCACTATCTTTATTTTCATGTTGATGTTTTCTGCATTCATGGCAATGCATTGACAATACTTCAAAATCGACAACCTCGCCAGTTTCCATTAGAACCACAACAACGACTCCATACTTAGAAGAGTATCCTCGTTTTTGCCATGTTCCATCAACACTGACAGCAACAGAAATAGTATTATCCATATCATCTAGATAGGCATTGGGATTCTGTTCCAAAACACTTTTCTTAAGACGATTTGCTGCATCCTTCATCTGTTTTTCAGCAACTTCTCTTGAAATTTTGGCAGAAGACTTCAACTGCCTTGCATAGGAAGCACTAGTTAGTGGTGAAGGTAAATTCATCATTCCACAAAAATTTGAAAGAATTTTGCGTCCACCTTTCAAAGAATTGCATGCCATGACTGATCTTGTGTTTACTTCGAATTTACCTTTGTCTAACTTTTTGCTGGTGTGGAAGATTGTCTCTGCTGAGCAACAAGAACACTTAATGATCAATGTCTCAGCAAGCCCATGCTTCTTTCTGCTATCCTTCAAGATCTTCAACTGAGAATCTGATCTTTTACAAGCTCTACAATTGGTAGAGGATTGCAAAGCTTCTTGGAGCAGAGACAGATCAATAATAGTGAAACCATCAGCTTGTTCAATTTGCTTTTGCTTAGAAAGGCCCATTTTCTTCGATGATCTTCTTGTAAGCACCCTCATACTATCATTTAGTTCTTCAAACGATGAATTCAACAATTTTTGTGCTGTCCTAGATTGAACTGAGCTCATTGGTGTGAAAGACGAACTGGGCTCCACATCGTCACTAGGCCTAGTGTCAGATTCAAGTCTACTAGCAATATCCTGCTTGCGAATGCCAAAAAACCTCCTTTTCCTCTTAACTCTACTTGCTAGAGCCCTTCTTTTATTCGGTGGCATGTTTTACTTATAAAATCGATTCAATAAAGGCATTATCAGAATAAATTTGTATTCCGTTTCGCAATCCAACATCTAAGTGACTGTAAAGTGTGCGGATTTGGCGTGTTTCTCAGCCTCTGATCGCAAAAGAGGCTACCACAGGGTGTTCATAAGATGTTTATCATTCCACAGGGAAAGCCTGCAGGCTTGGGGGTAATTTCTTACAAAAAGACACAAAAATGAGCTCCTTAGCAACGCTAAAAAGTCGTTGCTAAGGAATAAACTTCCGACTACTGTCGAAAAACAAGTTAATTGTGTCTAAACCTCAATGTGGTTGTCAAAATAACTATTTCTACCGAATTCTACGATAATTTTGGCGTAGAATGAAACAAAAAAATGAAAACTGAAAATTTTTAGAAAATGCTTTTTCAAAAGTGTGAACTACATCCTTAAGAAAGAATAGTGGAGCAGTTGTTGCCATCATAGATTTTCTTTTTGCCTGTCCTTTCTGTTAAACGATTAGCCATTACTTTTATAGTAATAAGTTTTAAGAACATGTATTTGTCTCTTGAAGTTTTACTGTTGTTGTCACTGTATCACCAAGCCAGCTGAAAATTGTTGCTTCTCTGTCGTAAATTAACCCATTTTGTGAAAGAATCATGCATAGGCATCTCATGAAATTCATATTGTGTTCTGTTGTCCGTGATTGTGAGTGTCCTGTTTCTCTTACGGAATGCAGTATTAGTATTGTGACGTGGGCAGGACATAGATCTTTACCATGAGAGAGACCTGTCTTCGAAAAAAATTGTAATATATATATATATGTAATTCTGTATGCTCAAGAACCTCTTTCCCTGCCACGTGCTCCTAACTCTAATTGATACTGCCGATGAGAAGGCGTAATGTGAAGAGATGCTGGAAATGCCAAATATGGTGAAGGCTTCTCGTCCTTGAGCCCTGGACCCAAATAGATATTTTCTGTATCCTTCACAATAATTACTGTCAAGTCTCTAGCACAATCAATCTCTCTTTGGTAGCGGGTGCTTCAGCTAGGCGCATATTACAAACCCATTGAAAAATCCTTAGTGCTTTCAAGACATGAAGACCCCAACCAGAGCCCAGCGTTCGATCATCTGCTAAGCTAATGAACTAAACTTCCGGGTGAGAAACGGATGATTCTTGGTCCATGCGGAAATCGTAATTGTGAGGTTCCTCTGTATTTGTGCAGTGGAGAAAAGGGATCCTGTCATTTCTTCATCCATGGTTGACATTCCCACTCCTGGTACATGAGGACATCTAGCACTATATAGTATCATCTATAAAAATTGAAACATTCTTAGGGTTGCGTTTTTTGAGCTTTTTATCGTATGTATATACCCGAGTCGAGCTTTTTACCACACAGCTGATGAGACTACGCACAGATTTATATCAAGATGTGTTTCTTTTTCCTTTCCTAATGAATGTTTATGCCTGTTTAAAGAGAATCACATTCGTTGCTATAAAGTTGCCCTGTTGATATACTTAATTTTATTTGTCCAAATAATTTGCGTTTGCACCAAATTTTGTATCAGAATATCCTAGAATTGAGCCCTGGTTTGTGTACATGTGGAAATCAAGCCTAGAAAAGGCTAGAGAACTTGCATAATAAGTTTTGACCATGTATGCCAAAGGATTTTCGCGCAATTTTATTGCATTGTAATCGCCAAAACTTTGATATGTGCATAGTCTGCTGTTTGAAATCCATTCTTTCGTTCACCTCATTCTCCACCAACATCCAATCAAGATACTTGTAGCCCCAAAGGCTGATTGATCCCAAACTGGTACGAATCAGCCTTCCGTTTATACTGGAACGCTCGGGATCGATCCACTATCCGCACTAATTTGGTGTATTCCGGTTTGGGATCGATCCCGTCTTGTGTAAACGCTCGTGTATAAGGTATTATCGATTCCCGATTGGCACTGATAGGAAACGAGGCTAATGTTATTTGCAATTCGAGGTGTTTTGAACATGGTACTTTGACCTTTTATTTGTCAGATTTTGTGCGCCTTTTTCGTTTTTAAGATGAGAAAAACAAAACAAGATCAAGGTGGTTTTCTATTTTGTCACGAGTTTATTGATAAATTTAGCAAACAGGCTCCAACTTATGATTTGGTTTGTCCTCCAGTGTGATCTTCAGGAGTAGGGCGGTTTCTTTATCGCTCCAACTAAACATTTTCTTGCTAATTTTCAAATTAGAAGCCATTTTCTTCTCAATATTCATACAAGTTGATGACATAAGCAATATGCACGAGTATTCCTTTCAAAAAGGGCCTGGAAAGCAGTGCGCTCCGATCTGGGATTGAACCTGTGTAAAAACAATATATTTTGGAATCGATCCCATGTCAACTTCGATCGATCCCAAACTGGATCCAAATGAGATTGATCCCAAACTGGATCAAAATGAGATCGATCCCAAACTGGATCCAAATGAGATCGATCCCAAACTGGATCCAAATGAGATCGATCCCAAACTGGATCCAACTGAGATCGATCCCAAACTGGATCCAAATGAGATCGATCCCAAACTGGATCCAACTGAGATCGATCCCAAACTGGATCAAAATGAGATCGATCCCAAACTGGATCCAAATGAGATCGATCCTAAACTGGATCCAAATGTGATGGATGCCAAACTGGATCGGTCCCCTTTTCCCCTTGTAAACAGGGCCATAGTCACCATTGTTACTGTTTTATAGAACGACCTTAAAACCCAAAGCCTTTAAAGTGTCCCATTTCTTTGTCTGTTACATAATTTCCAGTTGTTTCTTTCCATTTTTTCACAAAAACACAATTTTCCGCAAAAATCGTACCTTTTGGCATTTTTTGACTTGTTAAGCTGTAAAGTAGGTGTTTGGAGATCTCTGACCGGATGTCAAGTTCTCTCCATCAACTATTCAAAGTACGGTTTGAATTTTGAATAAGATGAGTCTTTTGATGGCTCCCTGCAGATGTTTTGATCACGTCGTGCTCTCGTCGAACTCGAAGTTTCGCTTGGGTTAGCCGATTTCAGTAGCTTAACGTGTGCAAGATCGCCTTACCTTGTGATAAATCACAACAACGTGTTTAAAATCCCATGGGTGATTAATGTTAATGGGGAATTTTCTACAAAGAAAATGGCAACATTTTAGAAGAAACGGAGCTCGAGCCATGAATCTCTAAGACCAATTTAACTTCTTTCTTGGCTTAAATCGTATACACTTTTTTTTTATAAGAACAATTT